ACTACTACAACCTCCAGTCCTTGATGAAAACAAGAAGGGTCTCAAGAGCAGCCAAACAAAAGCCTACAACAGCCTGATGAGACTTGTAATGACATATGGCTGCCACACTTGGCCACTTACAAAAATTTTTGCTTCCTTGTTTTTTAGCACTCAGAGCTAAGGATAACATGTAGTCCAATCTTTGATGTATGAGAGAATAACTGACAAAGACAACACAATGCCCAACATAAAGCTGTTGGCAGCCATGGACCAACATAAGAATGGAGGAAACAGCAGCAGGCCTATTGGCCCATACTAGGCACCGTCAACATCAAAATCAATTCACTGTATTGTGACCAAATGTAAGGAAAACGGAACCATTCATAACCTAAATAAATGGGCATCAGGTAGACCAAGGACCTCAGGGACGTTGGTCACAGAACCAATTCTTGTGAACACCTTCAATGCCCTTTTCATGGACTGCTAACCACTGAGTGCTGCACAGCATCAATGTTCTCCAGTGTCCCTGAGGTCCTTGGTCTACCTGATGCCCTTTTATTAAGATTATAAACTGTTCTGTTTTCCTTACATTTGGTCACAATACAGTGAATTGATTTTAATGTTGGCACTCTTCTGAAGTTAAGGGGAGTGTCCGGCTGAAAAACAATGAAAATCATTAAATTACGAAAATATTCAGAAAAATTCCTGAGGAAAGCTGTTGCCTATGGCTATCTGCTGACATATTTTGATTGCGTGATTCATAATATTTATGTAGCTATGCATGATTGTTCTACCCCTCCACTTCGTTTAGAGGGCCCTTTTGTTTATGTAGCACAAGCTGTAGAAAAGTATTTATAATAATATTTTGGTGTAAAGTAATACCAATCACTTAGTAAAAATTAGTATCTGGCAACTTTCTCAGATAGCTAATAGTAGGACCAGTCTTGTACACCGCGGTTACACACAAAAGAAGTGAGGGAGAGGTCCCATTTATGGGCCGATTCTAATAAAACAAAAGCTAAGTAGTAGAATAACATATTTTGGGAAGCTGAACATATAGATTTTCTTTATATTTGGCTTTGTTTATTATTTGCTGATTTATCTTTATAAATATTTGGAAGAAAAAATTATGTTAGGAAAAAATTCATGCACCCACAACAAAAGCAATAATCAGAAATATCTATATGTCACATTCAAGAGGTGTAGATTTCCTATAATACACCTAAATTTCAATGTAATCTAGCAAGAAGTTATGGAGAAGTAGGATTTTGAAATTTGATAAGAGTATAAGGAAAAAATCAGGTATCAGGGATTAGGCAGAACCAATTCAGGGGTCTAGTAACAATGAATTTAGTGTCCTTAATTGCCGACATGAAATTGATATTGATTGTTCAATTATTAACGCATTCCGTGCTTCAGCCGAATGCTCCCCTTAAAGTGACAACAACAGCGATGTTGAGTCTGTATCACAGATTTTGTTTCAATGTACAGTTCAACACCTTTCACTTTTTGTGGCGTAGTCAAAACCATATTACTGTAAACTCCCAAGTGTCTCCTTCAATTATCTACAGACAAAACAAAAATATGTTAAATAATTACAGAAATACACGTACGTACTGTATTTAAAATTAGGTACATTTTATTGGTGCAACCTGTAGATGAATTTAAGTCATAACTGATGGGGTTATGACACATGATATGGAGGAGACTTCTGCAGCTGTATGTACTGTACTGTACAGTCACCCAAAAAAGTCCTGTCGCGAACCACGATTCAGACTCGTGAACCCGAAGCAGTAGACACTGATACATTATTCTGTCCATAAATGCTTCGGATTCAAGATTCTGAATCTCGGGGTTCATGGTTAGCGACGGGACTTTCTGGGTGACTGTACTTATGTCAACACCATGATATAAAACAACAACTTCACCTCAGGGTTGCTACCTTACAATACAAGTATTCATGTACAGCAGGTGACATCAAGAGTATGACTTAGTATTCATTCAACTCCCATAAAATACAGTTCTTTCGTAAATAAGTTGACTTTTTTGTTGGTTGTTTGGCAGTTCATTTGAGGTAATATACTACGGGCAAATTCACTCTTTCTCTCTCTTAAAAAAACCTTTCTGCAATGCCTCACCTTATAAATGAGAAACAGCTAAAGTACTACAAAGAGGGAAGCCTTAGTGATATCTCTCTAAGAAGGAAGCCATAGTGATATCTCTCTAAGAAGGAAGCCTTAGTAATATCTCTCTAAGAAGGAAGCCATAGTGATATCTCTCTAAGAAGGAAGCCTTAGTAATATCTCTCTAAGAAGGAAGCCTTAGTGATATCTCTCTAAGAAGGAAGCCTTAGTGATATCTCTCTAAGAAGGAAGCCTTAGTGATATCTCTCTAAGAAGGAAGCCTTAGTGATATCTCTCTAAGAAGGAAGCCTTAGTGATATCTCTCTAAGAAGGAAGCCTTAGTGATATCTCTCTAAGAAGGAAGCCTTAGTGATATCTCTCTAAGAAGGAAGCCTTAGTAATATCTCTCTAAGAAGGAAGCCATAGTGATATCTCTATAAGAAGGAAGCCTTAGTAATATCTCTCTAAGAAGGAAGCCTTAGTGATATCTCTCTAAGAAGGAAGCCTTAGTGATATCTCTATAAGAAGGAAGCCTTAGTGATATCTCTATAAGAAGGAAGCCCTCTAGTAGATATCTCTCTAAGAAGGAAGCCTTAGTGATATCTCTATAAGAAGGAAGCCATAGTGATATCTCTATAAGAAGGAAGCCTTAGTGATATCTCTCTAAGAAGGAAGCCATAGTGATATCTCTCTAAGAAGGAATAGTGATATCTCTCTAAGAAGGAAGCCTTAGTGATATCTCTCTAAGAAGGAAGCCTTAGTGATATCTCTCTAAGAAGGAAGCCTTAGTGATATCTCTCTATAGAAGTCTCTTAAGAAGGAAGCCTTAGTAATATCTCTCTAAGAAGGAAGCCTTAGTGATATCTCTCTAAGAAGGAAGCCTCTCTAAGAAGGAAGTGCTCTTAGTGATATCTCTCTAAGAAGGAAGCCTTAGTGATATCTCTATAAGAAGGAAGCCATAGTGATATCTCTATAAGAAGGAAGCCTTAGTAATATCTCTCTAAGAAGGAATAGTGATATCTCTCTAAGAAGGAAGTGATATCTCTCTAAGAAGGAAGTAGATATCTCTCTAAGAAGGAAGCCATAGTGATATCTCTCTAAGAAGGAAGCCTTAGTGATATCTCTCTAAGAAGGAAGCCTTAGTGATATCTCTCTAAGAAGGAAGCCTTAGTGATATCTCTCTAAGAAGGAAGCCTTAGTGATATCTCTCTAAGAAGGAAGCCTTAGTGATATCTCTCTAAGAAGGAAGCCTTAGTGATATCTCTATAAGAAGGAAGCCATAGTGATATCTCTCTAAGAAGGAAGCCTCAGTGATATCTCTCTCAGAAGAAACTCACCACTTTAGTTTTCCTGGCCTGAACAATGCGGCACAAATACATGGATAATATAATTAATAATTCATATATGGAACAGGATGACAATAACTCATAATAAAAATTCACAAATGTTGAAAAGATTTATAGACGTAAGCAGCAGTCCTTCCCTCATGTATGTTACAATGAACAGTCATCACTGACTGACTGTTTGTGAGCACTGCACTGAATAAAAGCCACAAAAATCTATCAAAGAACACTCGACATAACACGTTAAAAAGAGTGTATGGCAACTTTGTATGTCTTGCAGTAAAACATATATTCACACTGTTCAGGAAATGTCTCATCAATTTATGGTACACAGGTGAGACATAAAACATGAACTATTTGTCTCTGTATTGTGGGTTTGAAGATTCTCTGAACACAATAAGTGTAACCAACAGTTGGCCAGTTGACAAAGCTCTAACCACTTTTGTTATCCTCACAACCATTACAATATGTTGGGGTTTACTGGCTGATCATCGCTAAGTGAATCACTCGGCCACATTGAATTCACTGCCATTTTTTTCTTTTTAACTTTTAATCCTTAAACTGTGGCCAATGTCAATAGACACCGTCCTTTTCCGCCAAGACATTTAAGTGTGTATGGTGTTCCTGCACTTTGTTTTAGGCCAGCCTCCACTGGTAAACACCCTGTTTCCCTCCAGAAGCCTTTGTAGTTGTTTCTATGTGTGTTTGTAAGTAAGTTAGGAAAGTTGAGGAAATTAATTCATGGACAATATCTGTAAAGGTAAAATAAGTAAAAACAAACCCAATGACCTCATGGTAACACTGCCACTTGTCAACACCCAAATATCAGCCACTGCGACTGCCAACATCCAAACTTCACTTGGCAAGAGCGGGGTCCCTGGCCATTATTGTGTTATTATAATGGAATTGGGCATGAAGAAAAATGCTCGTTTCTAATTCCCTTTAAAATGACTGGCATGCGTAAAAGTGAGTTCTGGTGGTGCTCAGAAGAAAAAGAGACAGTCAATTACTTTTGAGATGAAAATGAAAATAATAATACAATATGAAAATGGAAAAACGGTAGCAACCATTTCACGCGACCTTGGCTTCTCTCACTCGACGATATCAACAATTTTGAAGGACAAGGCAGAGGTATTTGCTACTATTAATAAGGGGATGCAAATGTTTGAAGAATTTGATAAAAATGTTGAGCGTTTTGCAAAAGTTGACAGACAGATCCAAGATGCACTTGCTTGCTACAGGGAGATTTACAATATAAAGAAAAGGCAAACTGTGCAGTCTAAATTGGACATATATTTTAAGAAGTCCCCCCACTGCTGCCTCTTCACTCCCTAAAGATGATCCAAAACCTTCAACAAGCAAGTATGTTAGCCTGTCTTTAGAAAGCAAAATTGATGACCCACCCAGCCTTGTCTCCTCCTCTGCTTCATCCAATTAATGTAGTCTCCATGTTTAATTAAAAAATTATTGAGGCCCCGTGTATTCAGCTGACTACATTAAAGGTAAGTTCACAGAAACACTATTCATTTTTCATTATTGATTACCTTTACTGTACTGTATTTCATTTTAGATTTTCTATGTATTATTTTCGCATTTTCGACTTACGACCTGGTCGTCGGTCCCTAACCCCATCGTAAGTAAAGGACTGACTGTATGTATGGAGAAAAGCATCCACCAGATGAGTATAGTAAGATAAGTAAAGATGTTTTTTCCCCACAGTCTGTTATTCTGCTTGCTAGCATGCAATTGTATAAGAAAATATACTATTGCGATTTTTGTAAGATTTGAAAAACTCCAGTTTTATAACACCTAAGAAGAGAAGGTAATTTGTCCCGGGGAGCAGTTCATGCATAATAAAGTAAATTTTGGGGTGAAAGTAATTTTCACATGAAATAGTTTTACTAAACTAATCTTATGTGTTGCAGCATTCAGTATCTCTGTACGGAATTTACGGTGCCCCCAACTGTGGTTACATCTGTCTACCCAGCAATACTTGGGGACCTGGATGTTAACCCATTCTAGCACAGTTAAAATTATCTGCACTTTGTTTCAGCCCAATACAGTAGCTAATCATTAGTTTGTTAACCTAAAGAGTTACCAAATAGTGATATGCATTTGTAACAAGCTTAGTTAGTGCTCAATAGCTGTAGATAGAGAGGGTGTGTGTGCAGGGGCAGATCCAGGAATATCAAAAGGGGGACTCCAAGAATTTGTAGGTGGGAAAACCATTGCGAACACAGAGAGAGCCCACCCGGTTGAGGAGGGGTATACTGCACCCCACCCCTCAGAATTTTTTTGAAATCCGACCAATATCATGGGCATTTTGAAGCCATGTGCACATCATATTAGGAGATATTCTGAGGTCACTAGTAATTACTTTTTACAATACAAAAATGTCTGTACAATACTGCATTAAAGAAAAAGTATTAGAATTTTCTGATGAAAATGGGGAGTCATCTGTTTAGTGGTCCCATTCATGACTCATACATCAGTAATATTCTTCTCTCTATTGAAGTGAGAGAAAACGTAAAGTAAATACTTTCATAACAATTGGATATGGAAGACATTACTAAAAGTTAGTTTAGTGAAGATGAAATCAGTGATGTAATAAAAAATTCAAAGGTGGAAAACATCTTATAGCATGGCAGTCCCACTGCTGACTCAAGCAAGCAAAAATAATGCAAGTGATGTCATATCATGTAACTTTCAATGCTCTTTGTCACAGTAAGTAAAAATGAAATCTGCTTTTTTTCATAACTTTGTTAAATACACTAATGTATTTTTCCATCTTATTATAAAACAAAAATTCTCAATTGGCGGATTTGGGAATACAGTATGTGAGATTACCGGTAATTCATTAACCATTGGTTTAGGGTTAAACAATTAAAAGAAAAACTGGCAGTGATTTGGGCAAAACTCACTTAACAAATTATGGTGGTTGTTATGGACAATTAAGAGGACAGAACTTGGTCAAGTAGTTAAATGACACTATGGGATGGTCAAAACTGCTCTTCCTCGGTCATAATTAGTTTTTATGGTGGTGACTGATAAAAGTAAACAAAGCCATGGATGCCTTACCATCTTCTCTTTAGTATCCTTGACATAGGAGGCGATCATGTCGTGGAGGAAGAAGAAGTTCTCGGCGTCAACAGCAACAAATATGTGGTCCTGGAACTCTGTCACCAGTGAGCACTCCACTTTAGGCTTCTCATCTGTTGGACAAACTGTATACTGTAGTAAAAAATGCACCACCTCTTTATTTGTAGCTCATACAAGAAATTCAAGTAAAGTTTCACTTAAAGCAAAGTTTATTTATTTTATTTTTTGTGAGACTTAAGTGAGTGTCTTCCATCTACTTGGAAGACAAATACAGAAACTAGGAATTAACAAAAAGTGACAACATACAATTTGGTCACTATACTGTTGGTATATACATCTGCAAACCCAACCTGACCTTGACACATGCATGGGTGACCAATCAAGTGTTTTCTAGCTTCAACTTAATTTCTGTATTATTTATATCAAATACAGTATACCATTTGTTTTATCCTAATAAGTGAATAACTGATCCATGCGAAACACTGAGATCTGACCTAAACTTCATGAAATTTACTCTCTCTAGTTTGTGATTTATTTATTATTCTGTATGTATCTTTATGCCATTTGCCTGTCTACCCAGCAGTAATTGGTATTTGTGAATCGCATTCTTGAGTAATGGTTAGCCAGTGCTCCGATTTTCTCGGACTATTCCTTGACACTGGGTCATGCAGCTCGTTACCTTTGAGTGTAGTTGATGTGTTGGCGACAGCTTCTACACTTTAAACAAATTCATGCCTAGGTGGCCCTTGGGCCGGCCATCCTCAAACACGAGGGGCAACCATTATTATTATTATTATCTATGATACTCTGTTATGGGGCAGTAATGTTTGTGCTGAACTTTATCTGAGCACTTATGTCACTGTTTCTGTATACCATTTTACATATGTACACCACTTCACATCTGTACAGTACACTACTTCACATCTGTACAGTACACTACTTCACATCTGTACAGTACGCTACTTCACATCTGTACACTACTTCACATCTGTACAGTACGCTACTTCACATCTGTACAGTACACTACTTCACATCTGTACAGTACGCTACTTCACATCTGTACACTACTTCACATCTGTACAGTACACTACTTCACATCTGTACCTAAAAAAAAAAAAAAAAAAGATTTACCCATAAAGTCAGGCGTTGTTGCTGTCTGCAGATGTTTAGTGTTAAGGTGAATCTGCATGGAAGGTAAAGCAAAGATGGTCTCTGAAGAGTGGTTATGGTCCTGCAGGCGGGCTGATGACCGCTTGCCCTCTGATGAAGGTAAGCTGTCACTGCGGTCCAGGGAAGGGAACCGATCCACGTCTGTAAACATGACATACATCGGTTATAAAGATTCATTTACAGTAAGATTTTTTCCTCATTACAAAAGCTAAAATGATGTCAATTACATAACACTTTACACCAGAGATACTGTGTAATGATTCCAAGTGAAATGTTTCATGTCTTATGACACCCTGGATGGTTACTGACCAATCTTCATGAACAGACTTAAGATGAACCCTTATAATTAGTAAAAGAAACTAAACATTCAGTAACACTATTAAGTAATAAAATCTTATATTAAGCTTACTGTCAAGTTCCGAGGTGCAAAATGCATAGTGGAACCATTCTTGAATGGTGCGGAACTGAGGCGGGAAGACCATGTTTCGTGTTATCCTGCAGACAGTAGCCATGGAAATGTGTTGTGCGTGAGTCTGCTCCATAACTCCCAAACTGAAGGTCAAGTTCTGAACGATGTGGGTGTCACGAGGTGCTGGTGTGTCAGAAAAGAGGATCAGCATCAGAAAATTCAAACTGTATACCAATATCTCTATCAGTGTACTTCTTTACCATTTCTTGTCGATTTATTGACCTATCTTTCTCTATTACTCATTCTTTTTATTCAATACCTAGTTTTCCATTCCTGTTCCTTTCAAATATGTTTATCCAGCATTATCTTTATAAATTTGCTTAAGTTCATACTATATGAGGAGTATGAAAGGGACAGGGGCAGCCCAAGGATTGAAAGCAAATGGGTGGAGGGAGCAACTGACAAAATGGAAAATAGAAAGACAGCTCTTGGATAGTTGCAGAAATACCAAAAGCATCAGGTGATGTAGGCGTGTCAGTGGTGACCAAATTGATTAATGCAATTATGATGGAATGTACTGTTCCAGATGACTGCAGTAAGAGTGTGATCATGAATACTTACAAGGGTAAAGGTGATACTTGAATGCGGGAACTACAGAGGCCTAAAGCAGTTATGAAAGTTGTAGAAAAGTGATTGAGAAATTGATATAGGAGAGAGAAGACAAAAGAAATGCAATTTGGGTTTATGCTGGGGGGACTACAGAGGCAATGTCTATGGCCAGGCAGCTCCAAGAAAAATATCTAAGAAAAAAGAGAAAATTGTACTACATGTATGAAGATTTAGAGAAGGGATATGACATGAAGTTATAAAGTGGACAATGAGAAAGCTAGGAGTCAAGGAGTGTTTTGTTCGAGTGGTTATGGCAGCATATGAGGACTCTAAAATCACTGTGTAAGAAATTTTAAGTAAAAGTAGGAGTCCATCCGGGGTTTGTCTTGAGCCCCCTTCTATATATCATGGTGTTTGGAGGCACTATCACGAGACTTTAGGTCCGGTCTGGTCTGCCCTAGGAGTTATTGTATGCTGCTGAGTTAGTGCTGATATCGATAGTATTGAAGAGGTAATGGTGAAATTCAAGAAAAGGAAGGATGGAACAGAGGCAGTGGGCCTGAAAATTTACATGGCAAAAACAAGAGTACTGATTAGTGTTGTGGGAGAGAGACCCATGGTGGAAAGTGGAAAAGGGCCACATGCTGTCTGCAAGAAAGGTGTTGGCAGCAACTCAATAATGTGCAATGAGTGTGGAAGGTTGGCACACAAAAGGTGCAGTGGAGTAGACAATAGACTGTGGGATATTACAGACTCAGTGTTTGGTATATATAGGTAACCATGTGCCCACAGCAAGGCTGGAGAAACTCAACATTGGGGATATATCCCAGGGTGACATGATCAGTGCCGGTGGGGGTGGTGAAGCCTGCTCATTTGTAAGAGTCAGAAGTAGCTGGAAGAAGCTTAGGGAGCTGCTGTCTTCATTGATAGCATGAGGACCTTCCCTCCAAATGAAAGGAATAATATATGATGTTGGTTGAGAAGTGTGATGATGTATGGAAAGTGAAACATGGATATTTAAAGGGGATGACAAAAGTATACTTGAGTAAGCTGAAATGAGGTGAATGTTTAATGTGACACTGAAAGACAGAAGGCCCTGTTCAAAGCTAAGAGGGTAACTGGGTATTGAGAGTATTGGTGAAGTCCTACATAGGGCCAAGTTGAGATGGTTTGAGCATGTGGAGAGAATGGATGAGACCAATTGGGTGAAGAGATGCATGAGCTTAAATCTGGAGAGAAGGAGAGCCAGGGACAGGCCAAGATTAACATAGGGAGAGGTAGTAAGAAATGACATTGGAGTTAGGAACCTGCCAAGAGAGATTGCAAGAGATCATGCAGCATGGAGAGTTGCCATCAGGTAACCATGGCTAACCCACAGAAGCGTGGAAAATGGCCATAAAATGATGATGAGGATTATTTCAAGACAACACTGACTCTCCATCATCCTGGGATTTCAACCCCTTAAAAATATTATACTTTTATAAACCAAGACCCTAATTTTTTTTACTGAGATAAATTATTCTAATAAGTCAGTTTATGCAGACATGTAAATAAATGCAGATCACCCAATGAATAGCTCACAAAATGCTCACTTGATGATTTGCTACCACAGCTTAACCCACTTGCAGTTTAACCTCCCTGACACTACCTGGGAGGGAAGGCATATCTTCAGGTGATGGTGGACCTCAGTAGTCACCTAAAGAATGGCCCCCCAGCATATCCCACCTGGAGTTTAACCATCCTGATGCTACCTGGAGGCCTAGTCTTTAGCTGATCCATAAAGATTAAAATTGTGAATGTTCCCAACAGTCAGGTCTCAGGCTCAGTCTCAACAGTCAGGCCACAGTCTCAACAGTCAGGGCTCAGGCTCAGTCTCAATAGTCGGGGCTCAGTCTCAGTCTCAACAGTCAGGGGTCAAGCTCAGTCTCAACAGTCAGGGCTCAGGCTCAGTCTCAATAGTCAGGGCTCAGGCTCAGTCTCAATAGTCAGGGCTCAGGCTCAGTCTCAATAGTCAGGGCTCAGGCTCAGTCTCAATAGTCAGGGCTCAGGCTCAGTCTCAATAGTCAGGTCTTAGAATCAGTCTCAGACTTAGTAGTCTTGATTGCATCACTGATTTAAGTATAATTTTGTTGTAAAATAATTATAAAAAATTAGTAAGTACAGGACTGTTACCTCCCAATATCTGGTCTGAATTTGAATGTAAATCTGAAATAAATACATAGCCATTACTGTACATATGATCTGTTAAGATTAAAGTTCAATGAATGTGGAGCACAACTTACGGTCTCCCGGCACTTCCTGAACTTCTGAGGTGAAGTTGATGTATGGTTCCTGAAGACTGAATAATGCCCAAGACTTGCTTCTGAAGTTAACACCATGGAAACAAGCTAGAGAGATTGTTTTGCCATGGAGCTCCAGTGATCCACCCAGGACTGTCCCAGAGTCTGGCAGGGGCAGTGGCAGGGTGGTGAGTCGCAGGCCAGACACACGATACAGTACACCCTGCCAGTGTCGATGGTGGCGAGCGTCCTGGCCCGATGTCACTCCCAAGACTGGAACAACAGTGAGGGCAACATAAGAAATACCACATGTACTATCCAAAAACTGGCTAATATCCAGGATGCACACAAATGATGCATGTGACACAATGATAAAAGTTGTTCTTCAGAGATAGAGGAATTTATAGTCTCCTCTCTTGCTCAGTCAGACACCATCTGTCTTACACCATGCTCCAGGAAAAAAAAAAATTCTCAACCTTCAAAACACTACCCACCACATGGCTGCTGCAGTGTGCTGCCACCACCCACTACATGACCTTGTTTCTCTCATTTTCACATTTTGAAATGTATTATTACTTTATTTCTACTAATATTCGGGAAGGGAACACAGGTTTAAGTATAATCAGAATAATAAACTAATTATTCCCGTATATTACACAGACAGGTAAATGTTTAAAGACCCCCTTGACTTCTTACAATTGTGTCACTGTACAGGAATTTAATCCTTTTATTACCTGAGTGTCTATAACTATTAATTAATAATTGGTTATAAGATGCATCAAAAGTTCCATCAGTTATAGTTCAAAAATTTTTAAAGAATAGTTTAAAAAAGATTACCATTAACTAGCTTGCGGTTTCCATCCCTGAGTCTTTGTTTGACTGAGGACTTATGTCTGGTGGGCTGGAGGGAGGAAAAGACACGCTTGCTGGACTTAAACTGTTGAGAGAAGAATTCATCAAGCTTGTGGTGCATCTTCAAAAGGTCAGCTGTGGTGGACTTGCTGATGATGAGCTGCAACTGGTCCCACTCCAGGTCCCCCAGGATGAAGATAGTCGCACCTCTGTACAGTATGGTTAAAAAATTAATTGTTATCAAGTTATCTTCTACTGCATGTCTCTGAGGAAAAAGTCAAAGTAATAAAAAAAAAAAAAATGGGAGCTGTTATGCATTGCTTCTGGTTATTTGCATTTCACTCTGAACTATGCAAGATGATGATAATATTGGTTGCATTTGTACAAATAGACAACAGTGAATTGGGATCAGATTCAATCTTATTTACCTCCCACAACACGGTTCACATCATGAAGATAGTGGCAGCTGTACACAAGCAGTTACCACAACTTTAGGTTCTTTCACTATTGGCTGTTTAAGTAGACAATAGTAAAGTTTCTGCATTTTTCTTACTCTTGGTTTCCTAAGATATACAAGATTACACTGCCATAACAATGGTCAATATAGTAGCAGAATAAGACAAAGGCATGTGCACCTTTACATCAAAGTTAATTTCTCTATCTTTACAAGTAATGGTCCCACTATATTTCTCACTACAGGTTCATCATAAGCCAGGCCTTCCTACCTTCAGCATCAAAATGATTAAAGACACATAAGAATCGTCATACCTGCGTGTGGTATCTTCATCTGAGTCAGCACACTGCTTAAGCTTCCACTCATCTCTCAATGTTACTCCAAAGGATGAGACTCGGCCCATCAGGACGCTTGTGCCCATGTAGTCTAAGCGTGACTGTGAGGCAAACAGCTTGACACCAATAGTGTGGTCTGGCTCTGTTCCTGGGTCTTCACGAATTTTTACTGAAATGAAAAGATGATGCACTCACTCTTACTTATATTTTCTATTTTATCATAAATTAACAGAGAAAAAAATAAGGTAAAATGGTTAACTTCGTGTTTTTACTTATCCTCCCAGATTTTGTATCCCCACAGTGACCGCACCTTGTAATCCTTTATGCTACAGAAACATGTAAAGATGTATAGAATTAATGTGACCACAGCTGCAGTTACATTCATACATGTTCTTGCACATTTAAAACTGGCTACACTTTGTTTTGGTCTAATATAGTAACTTAATCACTTCTTTGGCAGCCTATACAGTTACCAGACATTAATATATGGTAATTAAAATGTTCACTGAGACTATAGAGAGAGGGTGTGTGTCATAAAATGTTCACTGAGACTGTAGAGAGAGGGTGTGTGTCATAAAATGTTCACTGAGACTGTAGAGAGAGGGTGTGTGTCATAAAATGTTCACTGAGACTGTAGAGAGAGGGTGTGTGTCATAAAATGTTCACTGAGACTGTAGAGAGAGGGGTGTGTGTCATAAAATGTTCACTGAGACTCTAGAGAGAGGGTGTGTGTCATAAAATGTTCACTGAGACTGTAGAGAGAGGGTGTGTCATAAAATGTTCACTGAGACTGTAGAGAGAGGGTGTGTGTCATAAAATGTTCACTGAGACTGTAGAGAGAGGGTGTGTCATAAAATGTTCACTGAGACTCTAGAGAGAGGGTGTGTGTAATGTGAAGAGATGTCATAAAATGTTCACTGAGACTGTAGAGAGAGGGTGTGTGTCATAAAATGTCTACTGAGACCTAGAGAGAGGGTGTGTGTCATAAAATGTTCACTGAGTGTGTAAAATGTTCACTGAGACTCTAGAGAGAGGGTGTGTGTCATAAAATGTTCACTGAGACTGTAGAGAGAGGGTGTGTGTCATAAAATGTCACTGAGACTGTAGAGAGAGGGTGTGTGCTAAAATGTTCACTGAGACTGTAGAGAGGGTGTGTGAAAAATGTTCATGACTGTAGAGAGAGGGTGTGTGTCATAAATGTTCACTGAGACTGTAGAGAGAGTGGGTGTAAAATAAAATGTTCACTGAGACTGTAGAGAGAGGGTGTGTGTCATAAAATGTCTACTGAGACTGTAGAGAGAGGGTGTGTGTCATAAAATGTTCACTGAGACTCTAGAGAGAGGGTGTGTGTCATAAAATGTTCACTGAGACTGTAGAGAGAGGGTGTGTCATAAAATGTTCACTGAGACTGTAGAGAGAGGGTGTGTGTCATAAAATGTTCACTGAGACTGTAGAGAGAGGGTGTGTGTCATAAAATGTTCACTGAGACTGTAGAGAGAGGGTGTGTGTCATAAAATGTTCACTGAGACTGTAGAGAGAGGGTGTGTGTCATAAAATGTTCACTGAGACTGTAGAGAGAGGGTGTGTGTCATAAAATGTTCACTGAGACTGTAGAGAGAGGGTGTGTGTCATAAAATGTTCACTGAGACTGTAGAGAGAGGGTGTGTGTCATAAAATGTTCACTGAGACTGTAGAGAGAGGGTGTGTGTCATAAAATGTTCACTGAGACTGTAGAGAGAGGGTGTGTGTCATAAAATGTTCACTGAGACTGTAGAGAGAGGGTGTGTGTCATAAAATGTTCACTGAGACTGTAGAGAGAGGGTGTGTGTCATAAAATGTTCACTGAGACTGTAGAGAGAGGGTGAGTTTCATCTGTCTTAGGAGGTCAGTGGCCCCAAAGAGTTACTGACTCATTCATCAGTTATAGTTTTCTGTCTCCTGAAGTAAGACATAATGATAAGCAACTACTTTTTGTATCCTTTGATTTGGGGAATAGTACCAAAATTAAGATTAATGAAGATGAAGTTTAGTGAAATAACAAGAGCAATGATTGAATAGGATAGGTAGGAATGGAAAACATTGAACAGTGTGAGTTTCTGCAGACTTAGTTAGTCAAAATAATACAAGTAACATCATATCATACAACTTTCAATGCTCTATATCATGGTAAGAGAAAATTAAATTAATTTTTTTTATTGTTTCTAAATACAGTATGCATATTTTTTTCTATTGTAAGAAAAACATGGAGAAAAAATCTTAAGTTCACAGCATTGGGACTAATAAATTCAATGAATTAGCCAAAGGTGTGTGGGTTAATTCCATTCATTCCAGTTCTCTCTCCTACCTTCTATTTTGCCCATTAATATCTCTATTATTACACCCTCATCCCTAATTATATGGCCAAGGAAGTGTCCTTATTAAAAAAAAAATCCAGTATTGTACAGTAGTTCTCTTGTTGCTCCAGTCAATCTTAATACACTACAGTATTTTTTCAATTGTTTTTGTATTAGTGTGAATCATCTTCAGCATTCTTCTATAGCACCACATTTCAAAAACCTGTCGCCTCTTTCAGGTGTCTGCTGACAATGTCCACCAGTTAATGACCAGTCCAACACAACCACTCACCATCACCACTACTGATCTTATTTACCATATCAGTCACCTTTCCTCAAACTAAAATTAATGTCTATTCTCAAATGATGTTTTTTTTTTACTTATACTGTACTATACGTGTAAATTTCTTTTTCACTTCTACCATCAAATACAGAAGACAAAAATGTCCACCTGTTTAAATTTTTTGTTCCCTGATGAATGGTTAAAATGCCTACAAAACAATTAACAATATAATGATTACTAGAACCTCACAGTAACACGATACAGGCATCCCTCCACTGACATAAGGTTTCCTCTCCTGAAAAACATTGCACTGTACACACATCCCCTGCATTTATGAAAGGGTTCCATTCCTGTGACTGTTCCCAAGGAGTTAGTATATATGCTGAGTTACTGTGCATCCTGAGTTACTGTGTATCCTGAGTTACTATGTATCCTGAGTTACTGTGTATCCTATTGGAAAAAAAAATATGAATAAGTTTTGGAAGCAAGGAAGTACTTGTATGTCATACTTTAATTAAAGAAGTTGTTGCTGCTGCTTCTGCTCTGTAGCTAAAGTACAGTCCAGAGAGAAGTAATAAATATGTAAAAGAAGATACCTGACATGGACAACTTACGGTACATGTTGATTTCTGAGAGTTCGATGGTGCCGCCGACAATTCCACCTTTAGCTTCCAGGCCCGACCCTCCCAGACCAATTCCTATATACATATTCTTGTGGCCAGTACTGCCTATTGACAGTCTCCCATTTGCCTTGAAGTCTTTTGTTGTCCAGCTGGGGTAAGAAAAAATCAGTGTCAGTTACCATAACAACTTTCACTATAAATTATATATCCTCAAATACTTAAATAATAATTCAAACAAAACTTGGATACTAATGATCAAAACTATTTCAGCAGATGCAATGATCTTATTCACAATCCTCCACCTCCCCTAAAACTCTAAAGAAGAGTAGAACATAATACTTTACAAAAATGGTAAGTAGTAGCTGAAGTTTGTAGCACTCTACTTCTAAAAAAAAAGCTTATTGATGATGTAAAGAGTAGCAGTAATGGAAGGTAAAATGATGTAACACATACACAACATTGCCCATCACATTTCCCATGTTCATCTGCACACCCAGGCGGGTAAAGTTGACAGCAAAGAGCACCAGCGTTTCCCAAGAGCCAGCTTTGTTTGCCATCTGAGTTGCAGCTGTTCCCTCAGTTTCCGACGACTTGCCCGATGCCGACGTGTCCGCTGGATCTGCTGCCCCAGTTGTAGCTCCTGAGCCTTCCAGGTCCTCCTCACTCACACCCTCAGCCTTCCCACCTATACATTGTACAAAGTTTCTCAAATATTATGGTGATTAAAACATACCTGAAAGTTATACAGTAATAAATTTTCTATTTTCAAATATTTAGTTCTTGTGCTTTCAGAAGATGTATTGTTCAAAGAGCTTCTGAGCTAAAAATGCTTAACTGAGCCACAAAATTCTTCACATAACATTTCTTAACTGTAGTAGCTGCTATGTGACATCTAGTTTCAGCTCAAAATTTCTCCTCAATGAAGCCTTTTCATCCCAATTTGATCTTAAAATAATATTTTTGAGATCAGATGACAGTTGAGGAATTTACCTAAATGTTAATACTTCCCAACATAGTAGTGAACAAGCTTTCTGATCAAGGCTTTTGCAACTTAAGGTGAGCAAAGTGTTCACTGAGTTTTGCATTGACGGCTTCACTTGGTGTGTTAACAATGATGGGTTTTATAGAAACTGACTAATAACTGTTCATTATAACACAAAATGCCATGGCTTATAGAAGCGGAAGTCGATCAGCTGATGGAACTGCACCAGTAGTTTTCCTTGCTCTTACTAGACGACAGGACAGCCATGTACGTCGTCTGCAAAGCCTCAAAGGCCCAACACTACACGAGTCACCTTGAGTCTGAACAACTGAAGGCCAGGAAACAGTTGTTCAGACTCAAGGTGAATTATAATTGATTAAAAATTGTTTTGAAGTGATGAAATTAGTATTAAAATGAGGAACAGTATTATCTTAAGAAATGTTTACTTCATTCCATTTTTTACTTGTTGTTTGTCTAACACACTTAGGGTACTGTAGCTTATCCTTTTGATATTCAGTGTAAGATCATAAATTATGGCTTTAATGTTTCATTTCTTAATGATGTGCTAAAAGTTTTTAACACTTTCCATTTCATTAAATAAGTTTTTAAAAGATAAATAAATAAATATCAAATGAAGACAGTCAATCAGTTGATGGAAATGCACTAACAATTCCCCCGCCCTCAATACTATACAGTACAGTAGATGACAGCACAAGCGGGCACATCGTCTGCCAGCAGATATTCAAAATTTCTGTACACTACAGTATTAATACTTAGTATTTTATTGCTTCCCACATATTGTCGAAGGTACAAATACGAAATATGTAAATAATTAATCAGTAATTACTGTACTCTTTAATGGTGATCAGTATGTAAGTTGTTATTAGATAATGTCATTATATATCTGAAATTACCAATACTGAACAACTTCAATTTTATAAGCTGTTCAGTTTTGGGAATTTCAGATTGAGGAATCTCAACCTGTATAATGTTTCTAGGACAAAGATGGATCAATCAGACATGTGAGCACACCTTTTTCATATCATAATAATAAAAGTCAGCCATAATATTTAACTTTGGCTTCTCAAATCCACATCACTCACTTCTAACTTTATCCTCAAAACATTTAAGCTTTAAAATTTGCACTACATATCAGTAATATCCAGCTACATGAAAACCTAAGTCTTATAAAATTATCATCAAAATGATCATGAAATAACACAATGATCTTAAAGTATAAATGAAATACTGTATAATAATAACAAGACCCCAATAATGTACAGTACCTGATAGCTTTGGGCTTCTCCTGATGTTGACTTCCGAATCAAAATTGAGTCTGAGTTTATCTCTTGCTCGACTGCCAGCACCAGCGGCACCAAGAGGCTGAGAGGAGGTGGTGGGCGTTGACTGGCTGGCACCGCTGCTTATGCTCCCGTTCTCCCTACGACTGTTGTCAATGCCCTCCGCTGAGCTGTGGAGTATAATCTGCCATGTCATATCATAAGCTGGTGCAGTTGGTTGTTAACACCTTATACATCCATCATCTTCAATCTTTCCAAAAACTAGATCAGAAAGATGATGTGAACTGAGTCTTACAAGAAGCTAATGACAACTCCTATTTTGGTAATGCTACTTTTAATTTTACCTTGACTGGCAGTCACAAAGCTTGTTTACACAACTTACATCAATGAATGATATCCACTGCCTGTTTATAAAGGCACAATTAGAGTAAAGTATAATGAAAATGGGAATACAGTACAGTGGAGTGGAGTCTGGATTTATGCGGTTTTGGTTAACGCGTTTGGTCATTTAAGCTGTGCCTTGCCAGAATCGAAATGCTTTAATTACGCGGTAAATTTGGTCATTTATGCGGGTGAAGTATAATTTGTTTACTATATTTACTGAAGATATTTGTTTTAGCTCATAAAATTCATACAAATTACCCGGCCAGAATATAATTTACATTGCTGGAATTCTTATAAGATTGTGATTATTTTCAATATAAACATCATAAAATTTGCATTAGACATACAAATTTCAGATCTAATTTAAGAATTGTAATTAGAAAGAGCAAAAATTTTATCTTTTGTGCAAAATATATGACATTTATATTCAAAATATTCCTTGTCTTGCAAGGAATCCAGCAATGTCAATTATATTATCCTAACTTTAGTCTGAGGTATTATTTATTACTAAAAGTGTAAGCCTACTGTTTTCACCCAAACATTTCTCAGAGAGGGAGGAGCCAGCGAGCGTGGGAAGAGGGGAGGAGGAGTTGAGTCCATTATTTGAATGGACATTAACCGGCGACTGTATTTCTCTTAAATATTAATTGTGTGCGTGTATCATCATAAAATTAAGATGTTATTTTTACTACAACTTAGGTATTGTGTCGGAAAAAGTGGAGTTTGGGGGTCGGCCCAGTCTCTATTTCAATTAATCACATATGTTCTGTTATTTCATTTACGCATTTCTCGTTTTACGCGGGCCTCCACGGGTTCAATTGACCGCGTAAATGCAGACTCCACTGTATATAAAAAAAAAAACGGTAGACAACTGCACCTCTGAAGGTCTGAGTAACCAAATACTATACAGTACATCTGTAATGCCCAATTTGCTACCATTACAATTTTACCACGAGTGCTCATCTGCATATCAGGAATTTCCACATAATCCCCCAAATTTTGCTGTAAGACTAAATAATCAGACTTGGTCCTTCTTGTTATGTGACTGGCTAGTAATTGAGTGATAGACCTGTACCATCACTGGCCAACAAGTCACAAGACTGCAATGTGAACTTGGGTATAGAGCATTGTCACTGCTGTGATCATTTGTCTCGGTCAATGAGATCCCGGCAATGATGTGCACCGTACTCACATCTGTGGTCACTGTTCTTTGGTTGTGTTCTTTACAATGCTCTACTTACTTTCTGGTTTATTATGGCTCTCAACCAGGTAATAAGATAATAAAATGGAAACAAGTGGTTGTTAACATCGTAAGGAATGCTGCACCCATTGACTACCATTCAACTTTCCATCTTGGCTACACTGTAAAGTATTACTTTGGGACTCATGCCCTTGAGCATATAACATTAGGTGTACTGTATAATGTACTGGGTGTACTGCATCCCCCGGGTTATTGAAACTCCGGTTACGGAAATTCGCTCTTGCGGATTTTGTAAATTATGACCAATAAATTTAGGATACGGACAAAAATTCCCCCTTACGGGAATTGGGTACATTTTGATTTTTTTTAATACTATTAGAAAAAAATCACAGAAATTATAAAATTTATTTTGTGTGGATTTCTTGGTGGTTGTTATAATACTGTACAGGGCGAGACAGGGGTCAGTAGTGTCCCTCCGTCTCCCTCCCAGCAACTCCGATTGCATCACCTTACCTCACCACCTCACCTAACATAGCACTCAACATCGTTTGTGGTAAGTTATATTCAAGTGTTTTGTATATTTATTATCATATTATATCATAAAATAATCAATGTATGTGTCAAAAAAAATTATTTTCATTCATATATACCTTCCGTACCCAGGGGATGCCTGTACGTATTCTAAGGCTTGTTTATCCATTCCTAGTATTTTCATTTTAACACTTATCTTAATCTTTTCTTTTCCCACAATATTTTATATTTATATAAATATATATATATATATATATATATATATATATATATATATATATATATATATATACACCAGTATCCATAACTTTTTTGGGGGGGACTTCTGGATACCTGTAAGACAAATGTTGTGTAAGGTCTCAGGGATGGTTCCCTTAGCTATGTGCACTTTTACTGTAGTCTGTTAAAGAAACAAATGAATATTAATGGAAATATTTGGAGATCATTCTTTTCCAGTCAACATACACAGGTAACTACAGTACCTGCACAAGGTTGGCTGTGAGGAGTTGCAGTGAGCAGTATTTTATTTACCTGATGACTTCCCCAGAGATATGTAACAATGTAATGAGGAGACATACCTTGAAGAATGTCGCTTAGGTGGGACATTGTGACTGGGTGGTGATTCTCCAGAAGAAGCGGCAGGACTGACCTCGTCCCACTCGCTGGACATTGCACCCCCTGTAAAGTCCCCTAAAAACAATCTTCTTACAATCGACCGCCTGTACCATGCCCGAGGGAACGCTAGGATTTCTGTCAGTCTCCGCATATCATATTTGAAGTGTGCGGCTCCGATGTCAACAATGGCTGTTGGCAGAAAAGGAAAAATATAGAGAAAATGAAAAGGTTGCCAATGATTATTACCAAAAATAGGGTTTTACTGTTTGACTAAATATGTAAAATTTGCAAACAATGAATATATCTAAATTTCTATTTTTTTTAATCGTTCGCATCTTTTCTCATTTATTGAGGTGTATGGACTCATGCAAGCACAGACAGAAAACCCCCTCACATGTTGCCATTCATTCCCTCTTACTGCTATAACATACAGTATATCGCTTCTCACTTTTGATCTTTTTTTTCATTTTTGTATTTATAGTTCTTTATTATCAATATTATTATTATTATTATTAGTTACTGTATTATTATCATCATTATTTTATTATTTTACTTTTGTTTGTTTTATCATAAATTTTATTTATTATGAATTATTATGACTTATTTATTATTATTAATACTGTATTATTATTATTATTATTATTATTATTATTATTATTATTATTATTATTATTATTACATTTTCGCCCCCCAGGCCTCAATGTGGGTCAGTGACCTGTGCCCGGGTGGGCTAACCCCGTAAAAAAAAAAAAAAAAAATTGTTTTCTGCAATTGTTCTAAATACTGTATCTACTAATATTAATAATTTTCTGTGATATACCTTAGACTCCCCAAGTACAAACACTGTTCACTGTTTAATACAATGGAAAAAAAGTAATATTTATAGAAGCCATCTTTAGCAGAGATAGGTCTGCCAGGGTTGTAATGTACATAACGAAAGGTTCCACTAGAATGTGTACAAACATAAGCAGTTGGAATAATAACTCCATCAGAGTACACATGAACACTTAAGTTTTCATATTTGAAGGTACAGTATATGACTCCTGAGTGGTTTATTGCCTCAGTCTTAACTGAGCAGAGACAATGACTTGAACAGTAATGAATATGTTGTACTGTACTCAGCAATTTTCATTCTTTTACCACTTGTAGTTAAAGAAGATATCTATCAATAAAATGCCCACACACACACACATACCAACAACATGACTGCTGTACAGTACAGGGGATATTCCCTTCCTCTCTGGGTTGGGGATAATATGAGGTTCCAATAATATTATGACAACAACACAATTTAGAATGTCAGAAGATAATAAAGATAGATAGTAAGCTACTGACCAACATTTAAATGAAAATGGAAATTTGTATAATGCTATTGTGCATCAGATTAGATTTTTTTTTCAATAAGTGTAATGTTGTATAATTTTTTTTTTCAGTCAGTGTGTGGATGAGTGACCAAGTAATGTACAAAGTTGCAGGTGCAGCTAACATTTGCTGATTTTATGGTTGCTGCAAGACACTGCCTGTGGTGGTACAATGTACTGTACAACTTACTGGAGAACCTGATGATTGCCTTGGCTGAGTCTGCAGCATTGGAAGTTTTTATCTTGGCGCTGAGCTCTGGTTTGTAGTTAATTTTACGTGACCTCGAGATGTGAAACTTGACAAACTCTACCATGACACTGAGGGAATCCTTTCGTTCACTGTCTGTGAGTGCTGCCAAGGGTGAAGCTGCCAAGTAAGGCGCCCCTGAGGTGCCTCGCTGTTTTCCACCGTACGGGTGAAACACGTAGAGTGAGAAGTCCTCCAAGACGCCAGTTACACTTAATCCTCCAATTGTTGCTGGCAGTTTGCTGGCTAAATCTGGCATGGATCTGTTCAAAGTTCAAGAAGGAACTATTAAAAATAATAATAAATGAAACAAGAAAGAAAATTGCACTCAAAAAATGTCACACAAAAGTCTACAATAAAATATACACAGCAGTTAAAAAGTCAACTGACCCATCTTCTGCCCTCTTGGAGGAGAACACAAGGTTGAGGGAGGGCAGCTGCAGCAAACATTCTACCCGTGACACTGGCTGACAGGAGAACCTGTAAGAATATACATAATACAGTAACTACAATATTCTCATTCAATTTTTGACCTTCCATTCTTACAAGTCTTGTATTACTATGATATAGGGGACCAGACATAAGAGCGTGATATTCCCTAGACAAAACTGGCTGAATGATTACAAAATAGTGACTGAGAGGGCCATATGGAACTAAAAAATCTAAATGTGCACCCTAGCCCCTTCAGTACAGGGATGCCACTTCCAATATTTTATTTGGCTAAAAGCAGATGATTTTATTCAGCTCAGAGGTGACCCCATACACAAGGGGTTAAGGTGGACAGCTGAATGAGGACGTAATTACATCAATGAAAATCATTAACAAAACGTACCTGATGGTTGATGGCTGCATGTGGAAGTAAACAACTACATCAACAGGGAAAGAAGAATACACATAAGGCACGCCTCCTCCGCCAGGAGCTCCTGAAGTGTCTACATCCACGTTGAACACTGATTCACGTTCTGAAAAATACCATAACAGAATTATTAATATTGAAGCAAGAGCACACACACTAATATTCAGTACAACACTGAATCATGACAGTGGGTTTTGTACTGCTCACGACCTGTTAGGGGTAGTGCTTACACAGCACACTGAAGACTAACATTTTTTTCTGTAAACAACAGGGCAGCATGAATGGCACTACGCTTGACCACCTTCACTTTCTCAACAGTAAAGTTGGGTAGGCATACACAGCTGTGTGGACTGTGAGTGCTCTAGGCACATACCTGTGGTGTAATGGTCAGCATCCTCGCCAGCAGTAATTGGGAACCTGGATATTAATGGATTTGCGGATCGTGTTCCGGGGTAATGGGTAGCCAGTGCAGTTGGCGAGTTGTCCGGTCTTCTCGGACTATTCCTTGACACTGGGTCATGCAGCTCATTAACTTAGGGTGTGGTTGTTGTGTTGGCAACAGCTTCTACAACTTAAACAAATTCACACCTAGGTGGCCCTTGGGCCGGCCATCCTCGATTTTGAGGGACTTCCATTATTTATTAGGCACACACAAGTTACTCTCAGGACAGGAGGTATGAGCTGTACTCATTGCCATATGTACAGCTAATCAGGGTGTGCAGCCTTGAAGATACAGCAATCATTTCTTGTATGAAGGGTTGCTGGATTGCAGCAGGGGGAACCTCCAGGTCAACTAGCTGTGAATGGGTACCTAAGTTTGCAGTTGGGAAAGTAAAAGAGGACACATTACCATACTAGCATGATTTTTCTCTCAGAAAAGTCACCATGGGTCCAAGAACATGTTAAGTGAGGAAAACGATCACATCCTCTCCCTGCCGAGTGAAAAAACTCATCCGAGGGACATCCAGGACAAGGCACAATAACAGTTAACACTGAAGCACACAGCACAGAATTTCCTGCCAGTTCTATTCCATCTCAGAAATCATCTTCTGGGAGGTCCAAAAAGACCTTCAAGGCCACTGACATGCTTAGGAGACAGGAAATAATGAAGATTCTGACAATGACTGCAGCAGAAAAAACCCATTACCCTATAATTTCTTTCAAGATGTATCAAAACAAAAGGTTCAGCACTTACTGCAAGTACCTGAACATCCCAACCCATCAAGCTGCCAAACAACCACTCCACACAAAGCATATGCAAGAACTACTGGAGTGCTGGAGTGACCTGGAACTCACTAAACCTAATTTAGTAAAGAGTTCATGGGATCACTTGTTACACAAGCTGTCAACATAGTACACATCATCATTAATTCTCCTGCAGGTGATAAAGCAGATCTGGACAATCCATGCCAAAGAGACTTCAGCTAGTTTTAAACTTAAATGGAATCATTAAAACAATATTAAATAATATAATAAAACAATTGTGTGTTTGTCATTTACTTTTCCTTATGTTTTTGCCAAGTCATGTAAAAAGGTTCAAAGAATCATTATTTTTGCATATTCACCTGTAATGTATTGCAGTAAATATGACAGTGTGTAACAATGGAGGGTGTGAGCATTGAGTGTCTGAAGGTTTTTTTTTTAGCCAATCACATATACATTATACAAAGTGATGCCACACCAACTTGAAGCTTACCTGGTGAGGGAGAGATAATATGGCACAAAAACTATATATGGAAGTACAGGTATTCAAATATTAGTCCAAGAAATTTTTTAACTTAAATAATGAAAGTTTTGTATTGTAGGAGTATAAGAGACCTTGTGAGGCAGCAGGAGACTTGTGTTGTGTCTCAGGTACTGGTAGTGGTTCAAGGGCTAACTCCAGGAACTCCAGAATGTTGGGGCTCACTGTGGTCTCTCTCTGTATGCTCTGTAAAGTCAGCCACGTAAACAGAGAGGCACGTTTAATGCCACCAGTGCCAATGCCACTCTTGCGGGAGCTACTGCCTCCCAGACTGCTGCTGCCTCCTGTAGTACCGGCAGGCGACCAACCGGATCCATCTGGCACCCCAGCACTATTGCCAAACCCACCACCGCCGCTTCCAACTGGAGTCTCCTCATGAATGTTGTGGGACTCATAATGTACCTGGGTAAGGAAAATACATACAGTATTTTTCACATGTTTCTTTACTGTTACTCATTACTGTACAAAATACCATATAAATACAAATAAAATATTTAAATAATCTGCATTTCATTATGATGTACAGTATTGTACTCATGGGTGTAATGCAATTAAATGGCATCTTAGTGAAAGTTAACGTACTGAGAGATTCAAATTACTGTAGGCACAAACATCTACAGTATATGGTATTTAAAAGTTACCTACAACTGTACTTAAGTATAAATATTACAAACTGATTAACCAATGAAGACCATTTCTCAAAATACTCATTACCGGATACTCCATAGCAAATCATTGTGGAATGCAGAGAAAAAACTTTGTGGTAGGTGGAGAGACAGAGTGTGGGAGCTTCTCAGACTAACACTGCCCATGCAAGGATGAGCATGCAAGTTGTAGTGAACATAGTTTTATTAAAAGAGAATCTTAATTTAGATATTTTTCTTTTCCTGTAATAGATAATAGGCAGAATATGTAGATCAGTATAGTATATACTGTACAAGAAAGGCACATTACTGTACTGTCATTGATTCAGTGACTGAAATAATGAGTAAGGTGAAATGTTGCACTGACCTTAACATCAAGACCTGGGATATAAAACACAGTGTCAGCTGACACAGAGAGTAACGGTGGTGGTGGTGCTCGCAATTTGCCACTTGGTATATTGGGGCGACCTTCGTTTTTTTTACGAATTGAGCCGGGGCTGCTGGGAGTCTCAGATATTCCTCCCGAGAAACTCCGCTCCTTCTTCATCCTGTTACACAATAATTCTTCAAGTATTATGACCTATGCTATGCCTAAAGGGAGCAAAGAACATGATATCCCAGCTGGTAATTTTCTCAACTTTCAACCCATCAGAAACTACTTCGACCTCACAGCCAAGCAGGGTTAAGGGCTCTTACTGGCTCTGTGTATGATGGTTCACCCACTCACAATAAGGATAATTGGCCCTAGGGTCCCCTATGTACCAATTTATTTAAGGCGTAGAAGATGTCATCAACAAACAACTACAGCCATATTTGGCAAATTGTGTAACCTTTCATCAAGGAAGAGCCTCCGGAGACCAGATGACTTATGAACAATACAGTGTGTACAGAGGTGGTCACCATACACCAGGAGGCCACATTAAACTAATCCATCTTGCTTGGGAGTGACATGGTACAACACAGCTAACATGTCATAATGAAGGTTAACATCTTAGCTATACCTGAACAACTGACAACATAATAATATACAGTATCTGGCAACCCAGACCAATATTACCGTACCATAAACTTCTATCTTTCTCTAAGCAACTAAAATACTGGGGTTACAGTGTCTCTCACACTCATAGCTGGAGGCAGAGGGGTGAATACTTCTTACACACAATACCATTAGTTAAAAAACACAACAATATGGCATAGTTCATATGTTGCCAACTTTACCACAAACAATCATATGTGATGAGCAAGTATCACTGTGGGATCCAATATACACAAAAAAGCACCAGTGTGGAATACATTATATACAGAAGGTACAACTGTGAAGTCTGTATACAAGGCATATTGGTCAACCTTTAGATATAATTAAACCATAGCATTATGAATTTCTCATCTTCATTCTTGCAAGCCATTTCCCACTAAGCTGCAGTGTAGCTGGAATCAAAATTAAGGACAGACTCTTGCACACACACTCATTCTTAACTGCTGGGACATCCTCATAAAAATCACTCAACCCCATGTTCTGCCATCACTCACATGCTCTGCTGCTTCATGGATGTTTATCCCCTCATTTCTGGTACCTCTTTTACTCCACCCTTTCACCCCCTTGGTCTTCTCCTCTTCCTCCTACCATCCACTTCTGAGATATGATTTTGCCTTAGCAATCTTTTACTTCCTATTCAACCAATATGTTTATTCCACCAGAACAAACACCTTGGTCAGTCCTCTTGTCTAGCACTCCTCATTTCCACACACTGTACTGTACTGTACTGGTATCCATCTAACTCCTGTACAGCATTTTTTATTCTCTGGATCTTGTTCATCCAAAATATAGATCTCAAGCATGTCATTTTTGTTGCTTTTAATTTGCTATTTCTTATGAATTCTTATACAGTACAGTACATAGAGGGAAGTTATATTCCCGAGTTTTATCAGATGTTTCTTCACCACCAGCTTCTCAGAACCAATGGTTCCAAACTGAAGATGAGAAAGTAGAAACTAACCTCTTCTCTTCCTCCCTGGAGACACACTTGGTGTACAGATTACACATCCCGGAGCTGATGCACACTCGCACGTCCAACTCCAAGTCAATGCTGGGGTCGAGGGGCTTGACTGTACCTGAACTGCTTGACCCGTGGCCACCTGGTGTGATGGGCCCTGCAAGATGATGTAATGTGAAGTTGTGTGTATGTGACACAAGCATAAGGCTGAGATTCTCAACGGACATTGACACAAGCTTCAGGGAACTGATGATGTTTCAACCTGTTTGGGCATAAATAAATCAAGCACAACATATCACAGCACCAGTGTATCACTTCAAAGTATATTCTGTTCTTCATACCCAGTTGCCATTACTAGTATAATGCAAAATAAAACCATTCCAGAAGAATGTCAAGTGACCAATAGCTATTCAAAGCTGCATTGATGGAATTCATCAGACACTTGTATACATTTATGGAATTTATCATAAACTTATATACCGTACATTGATGGAACCTATCAAGAAGCTTGCATGTAATGATGCAAATTAACATACACATGCAAATATTACTGACATTGATATCAACTTTCTTAAGTCTTTGCACACACTACACCCTCTTGTATACTGTGCCTTATACACACTCCCTCACTACTGAAGGTAAAATATAATAATTTTAGTTCCTACTTACTGGGTTTATATCTTGGCAAGTATGGCAAGTTCTGTATGAACCCCAAAAATTAACTCTTTCTATACCAAGCTAGCAAAACAAATTCATGGTGTTCATTATTATTTCAGTTGTGATCTTATACTGAGTAACTCTCTAACAGTCAGTGAGTAACAGTTTTTGCTCTACTAACTCTTCTAATATGATGAACAAGAAGGTAGAGAAGCCAGGTAATATAAAATGAAGAGTTGAAGGCAGTGGCATAGATGCAATGTAACACAAGAGGAACATTTCCTACCTTGTCTTGGTACACAGTCAACATGCCAACAATATGTGTGAGGTACCCCCAGGTCAATCTTAAGCTACAGTGACTTTGCCATGAGCAGTGACCCTTTAAAGATGCATATACATACATCGGAAAGTAATAATAATAATAATAATAATAATAATAATAATAATAATAATAATAATAATAATAATAATGCCTATCAAGTTGTCAACAAATCTAATCGATCCACAATTTATACATGAGATAAACACACCCATGAACACCTTGAGAGACAACAATACCCTTGGTTATAACTTAGTAAAAATAATAATGCACAAATTTCTCATTTTATGAGTTACAAAAATGGCACTCACCTCTTATGTTTAAATTAATGTACATATTGTACATGATCTGTGATGCAGTGTACAGACACATCATCCATACATTTAACAACAAAACATTAATGCAGAAGGAGGTACTCATGACAGAGGTTCAAACAGTACACTTCTGTCTCTATTACTAAAACTAATAAGTACTGTTACCTCAGAAGCTACACCACTCTACTGTCTCACAAGCAGCACCATACAAAGATGCTCATAAACCAACATGCAAAGTGTAAGGGGTCATATCAGAGGTTCAAAATCGGTGTCATCCTTAACCCTTAAGCCCCGGGTGACGTTCCAGAACGTCCGCCTATTCCCGCCACTTTTTTTTTTTTTTTACAAGTTGAATTTTTTTGTATTTATCCCCACAGGGGGGTGGGGGGGGAGGGGGGGTTACTGCCAGCATTCTAACCCAGGGCTTAAGGGTTAACATGATCAAAAATTCAAATGTACACCCCTGCCACCCCTCAACACACCTGAATTTTTGTATGAGTTCAAGCTGTGGGTTTAAAGTTGTCATGACACTGTTTTTCAAGCCCATAAACATACTGTAAACAACTAAACACACACACTGGTATGATCCCTTTAAGATGGAGAAAAAACAAACTTGGCACAACATAGAGCATCATTCATGACACTTGGAGGAAACATTGTGGCTGAGATTACAAGAAATTCTAATACAGGTACTAACAATAACAGCAGCTTTTCCACTCATGAGGGACCTGCAGGGTGGCCAGAACCAGTAGTAAACAAAAGCTCTGTCTTCATTTTGTGTCATTCATTCACTCTTACTGCTGTAACATATGTGTATTATTATAGTGTTCCTCTTCCTAATGCATGGTCCAAAGATATCCACCTGGTTTACCAGTCGTTTAACTCATTTCACACAAACCAGAAACACACACACCCTCAGGAAACACTCAATGATAAACTCTCCTGTCTCTCTCACACACACACACAGGGGCAGATCAAGGGGGGTCCTGGGGGTCCAGACCCCCCCTTTCACCAGAAAATCCCAACATTTTTTCTTTAATGCAGTATTGTACTCAGGAGTTTTTGTATAGAAAAAAGTAATTACTATTGACTTCTGAATATCTCCTAATATCAAGTGCACATGGCTTTAAAATGCCTGTGATATTGGTCAGATTTCAAAATATTTTCTGCTGTGGGGCTTACATCACCCAGCTGGGTTGTCTCGCTGTGCTACCTATGTACCCCCACCCACAACTTCTTGGACCACCCTTTTGATATTCACCCCATCCCCTTCTTCGTCTTTCTCTCTCCCTCAAACCATCCATCTCTAGTTATACATCTTTCATTTTCATATTAAAATAATTAAAATGAATGTGAAGTATAATATGTAATACAGTTATGTTTGTTGGCATCACTAACCTTTTCCTCCTGGATTCAATGTGTTCACCTTAAATTATCTCTCCATTTCAGACAACTCATATATTGTCGTGCCATATTGCTGACCTATATTCGGCTTAATTCATCTACTGGTTTATTATAGTATCAACAAGACTTTTGACTTCATTGGAAGTTGCATTTTTTTTATTTATTAACATTAAATGCAGTAACACAACAATCCTTGGAGTATTCTTGATGACAGTGCTGAAGTAATGTTCAGCATTAACACCTGACCACAACCCCCAAGCTAATGCAACATCACATTTAGATATGATGAATATTTACCTGCCTGAGTGGTTCAGTAAAGAAAATGGAATATTTACTGAACACTTACTGCACCCACTTAACACCACTGAGACCAAAACAACAAATAGAAACACACTTTATGTCTGTAAATAAAGTCTGGAGAAACTGCCAGCACACGACTCAAGAAGCAACTTTAAAAACAGTGAAAATTTATGGCAGCTTTTTAGCAGCATCAGGCAGCTCTATGAATACCAATCTTGACTGGCTGAGAGAACATTTTGACCAGCAGCACAATGCTGAGGATCAACCTTTGATCACACTCGTTTTCAAGTGATTGTTTAAAATAGGTGAAGGCTGAGAGGAATAAGTGTTGACCAAGACTGAGGGATTTAAGATACCATTATTGTACAGTAATATAAATAAGCATCAGAGAAAGATGAAGGAAAGGAAAATATGATTGTTCTCTTACCTGCACAGCCAGGTAGAAGAGGGAATACTGAAAGAAATAAGACATTGTCAATGTTTAAAACAACATCAACAATTAGGGTGCAGTACACGAGAAGGCCCCAGAGTACACAAATCATTTCAGTTGACGGCTACATATCCACAAGTCAGTACAGTACACACGGACGTACAATCTAATGGGTAAAAAAAAAAAAAAAAAATTCCACCAAACTTACAGTATATCCGTTGAACACTATCTATGACTTTTAAATTAATAATACATAAAGGAATACATTCACATGAACCATTTTCTACTAATATAACAACACATAAAGGGTCATCACATGCCAAGACAAGGTTGGTACTGACACTGATAACATGAACCAATACACTCACCAACTGACTAAGATGCACCAGTGATCACCACTATCATATAGTACACATAATAACGGACAAAGTGGAGATCTAAACGCACCATTAAAACAGTGTCCAATGGTAATTTTATAATTTATTAGGCTGTCAGCAATGAGTCACTGTCAGATACAGGTTAATTGCGTGCCATTAAGGGATATAAATAGAGTATTCAACGTTAGGTGTCATGAGAATTAACCTGGAAATCGTCAGCTCTAAGAGTGTTCTAACAACAATAAAGGTCTCTAGCTCTATCATGGCACAAAATTTTTAACTATGGCAACAGTGAACTTGAAGATGATGCACCATCAATATGTTTCAGGTACAGTGCAGTATCGGTGATCACTGTAAACTACTCTCATACGTCACACAAATTCTTACAGAAAATGTCATAATAAATTAACAAAATTTCATCACGATGAAGGCTTGGCACTGGAAAATAGATGTTAAACTGGGTGAAAGCTCAATACTATTCAAGACTGTACAGTAACATAAATGAATATACAGTATGTAGCAGAAAGATTAGTCTTAGTAAGTTGTTACTGATCACTGATCAAAATCCAATGGTTGACAAAAGTAGCACCATTCTAATGTGTTTAGTGATATTAGTAGTGATGATGATGATATGATGATAAAGATACTGATGATGACAATAGTGGTGGTGGTGGTAATGAGGACAATAGAAGTGGTGGTGATAATCGTTATGAGGCTGTTTCTTTCTATCTATCAATCAACAAGACTTCATTGTTACTCACAAAGTGTGGTCAAGATACACCAGCCTTTTGACTGCTTTCCTTTTACAAATTAACTCCAGTATTGTTATTCACAAGTACAGTACTTACATCACATTAAACTAAAAAAAATATATATACGTACAGTAATATATTTGTTTATTTCAATGAAGTGTGAAAGTGGCAATATACAATGTGTACATGTTAAGAGTGTGGCCAAGTCAGAGGAGAGAGGGGATGATGGTCATAAGTGCCAGCAGCGGCTGATTGGTTTTGTTATAATTCTAAATGTTTTATTAAACTTTCAACAGCTCAAATACACTGACAGTGAATGTAGGTCCTGTTAGCCTGATGATCCGGTATGGGCAGTGTTGATACAACACACTAAAGACTAAGCTTTTTCAATACAAAGGGAGATAGTATGTCCAACACTGCACTTAACAGTCTTTATTTCACCAACTGTAAATTTTGGGTGATCTATGGGTGCCCTGGGCATGAACCAGTGACTTTAAGGAAAGAAAGTGAGTGCTGTATCCACTCAGCTACCACACACCTTTTTAAACTTACTAGGCATGTGTCAGTATGTTAATAAGTTTTAAATACATTTCTTTGTTGTCTAGGTAACACAGTAACTTTTTAAATACTGTTAGTAAATGGGTGCTAATATATCTGCACTTGTACTCATATTTCTAAATTTCGTTTGTATTACTGTACTGAACCTGCTATCAGAGTACGCTGAGTGACGGAACACTTTCTGTAAGATTCTGAATGTTATTGTCCATTTCTGAGGCGATATATCACTTATAACCTTTAAACACAAACTGACTACAGTACAGTACAAGATAGACATAACTGCACTGTGTAAAATGCCATGCAAAACAGCTAAATACTATTTGCTTTCAGTGAGCATTGCTAGTGTTTAATGATTCATTCATAATACAGTATCTACTACAAGCAGCTCACCAACATTAATTCAAACCCTGTTTACTCATGTCAAATTTATGATGAAGCAGTTGGCGGAGCAAACACTAGGGGTAAGAAAACAAAAACACACCTCTACTGTACATTCTCTACTTGTTGTGAGACAGCTACAAGGGCAAGATAATATTGCCACAAAACACAATCTCACCAAGATGTGAGCTCTGCAAACCTCTTCTATTCCATTTAGTTGGAAATGGAGTAAGGTTGATAAGTGATGGAGCTTTTGAGAATCTTAAAAGTTAATAATGGTAAAAATGCCTTGGAAAATATATAAAACACAGAGTAACCTCACTATACAAACAATAACTTATGGATAATACTGCTAATGATGCCATGTATGCAAAACTGAACCAAATGATAAAACAAAATGAAGCGTGTTTATGAGAGGATGGGGTAAGTGAAGAATGACATGTGACACAGCACAGTCAAGAAGAGTAAGACTTTGATGAGACAAAAACCTGCAATGTATACTTGAGAAGGTCATCTTCAGGAAGTTCATTTACAAGTAAAGTGACCAAGATTTTAATGGTTGGGTGAGGAACTTCATTAAGTAATATGTGAAAGGTACAAGAGATGGGGAAGTGACCCACCTTGGGTATGCTCTGAGTGTCAGTGTTTCAATTTTTCAGGTCATGAAACAGGGTTTGGCTTATGTGTGTGAGATAACATGTTCACCTTAGCCAATTGTGGCCGTCATATAATAACTAAAACAGCAACGAGAAACTGATACAGTAATGAGCTTCTTTAATTTTCATTGTTGATGAATTAGAGAGAAAAAATTAACGGAGATGGACCATTTTGAATAGCATGAGCATGCTGACCAACCACTGAATTCTTCCACTGTGTCCCCTTCCCAGTATCAGTCTATCCTAGTGCTGCCATATTCACTTGAGCTTGTTTCTTTTGAGTGAGTTAAAACCTTATCAACACCCTATAAAATGAGTGTAAAACACCCAGCAAGTGATACACAGTATTTGTTGCTAGCAAGAAAAAATCAAGGAACAGTATTAAGCAAGAGGTTAAATGAATGTTTTGAAGATGGTGAAGGAGCTGTTGACATCACCAGTGTTTGGCCTACCTGCCATGGTCAGTGAGTGTGACCCAAACAGAGAATGCATCTCTACAGTTAACAAGTTAATAACAATAACTGCTACAGGCAGCTTCACAAAAAGAAAATGAAATGTCCATCCTTAGATGAAGAGACAGACAGTCCTGTAATAACTTCACCATCTCCAACCCCAGCCACCTAAAGCATCTCCAGTCAGTGTAATTTTGCCGACATCTATTTTATATATCAATAGCCACAGGTATCTAACTTTTAGTACTGTAGTTTACTATAATTTTGGTATAAAATTAATACTGTACTATACTTTAGTAAGAAAAATTTGACCAGAAATGTACCCCTATTTCTATCATTAGGTCTATGGTAAAACTGTGTTAACTATAAGCTGTTTCACCTAATGTCATACTTTTCAAGAAAGCATGTCCGACATATAGCGAGGCAAAAGATTTACTTTAGAAAGTTAATCTTTGTCAGCTAGCTCCATGAATACCAGTCATGAGTGACGGCTTCCTTCACTAACTAAAAGTACTTTCAGTTTGGCCCGCAGTACATGAGCTCCCTATGCACATAATTTATCAAAAAATTTTGGTTACTTTTGTCCATGTTTGTTTAGCTATAATACAAATGCAACACAATGAATCCCCAGAAATTAAGATTTCAGATGTCTAAGACAACTGGAACATTCAAAGAATAATATCATCATCATCATCATCATCACCCTTATACAGTACAGCCATTTTCCATGCCTGTGTGGGTTAGCTGTGAATACTTGAAGGCAGCTGTTGGGTAGACTATTGTGGAGAGTAAACTACACACTACTTTTAATGTTCTGTTACCTGTAGCATTACAATTTTTCATGCCTTACGTACACAGTTCTCAGTTTGATTTGTGTTTGGCAGAGCTGCTCTGTAATTTGATGGACCTTTATCATGTAAAAAGATGAGAAAGTGCCCAGCATCATCAATACCAGGATCTACACCCAAAAGAAAAGTGATTTGTTGAACTAGAGTATTGAAGTAGACAAAAGAGTCACTCCTCCCCATCCTCTGCAGCCACACCATCCACTGCTTTGTTTATGATCACAACTGTAAGACTGTTAATAATAAACAATAAATTTGATTTGTTTTTATAAATGTACTTTCTAAAATTCAAGAACATAAAAAAATACTGAACACTTAGCTGTTAAATTTTCATGATTTGGTTACATATACAGTAAAGGGATATTTTAATCACAAAATTTAAGTGCCAACCTCCACCACCCCCCAAAGACCAACCATATGATTTATCATCACACCAACATTTGGAAACTGAATGAAAATAAGAATTTAAACTTTTGTTTTTGAAAACAAATGTTGTAGGAAAACTGAGAAGTTGACTTTCTCCTCACCCAACTGGCAATGTTGTGGACACAATACTGAGGCATGACACAGTGCAGCACCAGTGCACTGTGTTTTAGGACTCTCCAGATGGAAAAACTCTGTGGTTTTAGGGAAGGGAACAAAGGGGTTGAGACCCTGTTCAGAACACTGACCAATTCGCATACTCATGATGCTCTTCATCCCACGAGTTCCAAATTTCCAAGGTCATCCTTTAATTATCTTTTGCCTGTATTATTATGTCTGAGATCTATACTTTTATTTAATTCTTGTCAATGTAGCTGTTTAGACATGAAGTCTTCATTGCATTAAGACAAAAATACTGGCAACACACTTGGTAACATGTTTAAGTTTATAATTATATGGAATCTACACATACATCCTCGGCTGTATCTTGCAAACTAACTCTGAATTTATTATGTTTTTAGAAAGTTCCACATCCAATGATTTAGCTTAATAAAATGATCTGTCTACAGAACTATGAACAACAAAGCCTTTTCTAATTCTCTAATACAATTAAATTTTATTATTAAACAGACTAGAATGAATGCACAACAGCGAATCTGTGTTGTTCTTGATGCCAATCATTCTGCACCACTAGGAAAGAGATTGATAGAGTGAAACAACATAATCCTTCACAACTTATTGGTGTGTTCTTACACTTGAATCACTCACTGTTGTGTGCTGTCTACCTCTTCTTCTCTTACTACCTACACCTGTTATCTAATTTCACTAACATTACTGTATATTGTTTCACTTGCCCTTCAAATCATAACACTTTCTCCAATAAACTGATGAAATTATTTTCATTAATGAAACTAAACTCTGTTAACCCTCTGGTACTCCTGGCCATAGTCAGAAATCTCACCCCTTCGCAGTCTTTTGATGCAGCTTGCATTGGTAACAGGAACGGCTTTTCCATTTCAGTAAATATTGGGTAGAGTGATCCAAACCTAAATTGCACCCTTAGAGATGCATTTGCCAGTCCAGGAGGCTAGTGTGGAGAACTTAGGCGGTTGATAGGACCGGTCCACTGTTACTGTGTTTCTGCTTACGACAGAGGTGCTCTCAGTGAGAGATATGGCTGAGCATGTGAGTGCTTAGCGACGTAAACTGCGTCAAAAAACCACGACAGGGTTAACCCGTACAGCGTCAACGGCGTAACAGTTACACCGCAATGTATCTGTACTCCCAGCGTCAAAGGCATAACAGTTAGGCCGATATACTTTCGAGATAAATGAATAAGTACTGTAAAATCTATACTTATAATGCAAAAGTGAAACAAAAATAAAAATAAATAATTATAAAATCATAAAAAAAAAATACGTATTGGTGAAAATTATTATGAAAATGAGTGTAAATAATCCGAAAAAGGATAAATATATTTTTGTTCCGAGATCGAGATAGACGATAAATAAAGAAAAAACGGCTACAGAAAGTGAAAACTTATGGTAATTAGCATAATTCCACTCTCACTCGATGTAAAACGTCAACACCCGTAAAACTCTACGGGTTCTACGCGTAAACTTTCAACGCCGCGCCACGTTCACCCATGGGCGTAACTACACCTTCCATGGTCTGGTGAGTTGCTAAATGATGTTTTTCCTTCATTATATGATAGCATAAGTCCATTTCAGCCAAAATCCAAAAGTTGAAAAATTTCCAACGCCAGCCGAACATAATTATATTAACTTAGCTGACGCCGTACAGGTTAAGGGTCTGCTTCCTTATTTAAAACTCTCTTTTTCTCAATATTTTCTTTCTTGTTCAAAATTTAGATTTTGTTGTAATATCTATACATACCAGGTTTGGTCAAAATCCATTGATGTTTGTCAGAGTTACCATATTGACAATGTAGGACACATGCACACAGACACAACGACACAAACATGAGCACTGGTCATTTGTCCTTCTCTGCAGGAGTGGCAGCAACAATGACCTGATTGATATACAGTATTTATGTTCACATTAATTAAAATACCTGTAACACTAATACCCACTATTGTACACAGTCCATGTACTATACAGTCAGTGTCCGCCTAACGTACGTTCGATGTATTCACATTTGCAGATACCTGTACATACATTGCACAAACATTGAAAGTGATTACTACCACATAATCACAGATACTGTTTGTTTACTTAATTTGTTTTGGCAGTTAAGTCAGGATGCAGTTGTGTAGGTACAATTTGTATTGCAACTGAGAAATTTGTTGTACCCTACAGTAGTATGAGTGAAAAGACAATGCAGTGTAAAGAGATGCTGCTACATCTGGTGGTATTAAGAAGAAGAGGCAAGCTATAACTTTTAATGAGAAAACTTAAATAATTTAAGAGATTGTTGAAAGAGCGAGAGCTTGGTATCCATAGGTCGTGAGCTTGGTTCTGTCTGTTCAACAATAAATACCATGTAGTCGAAGATAAAGAACAGGGCCGGTATACTGTACACAAAACTTTTAAGTGCTAGCAAACAGTTGTTAAGGCTGACATTTTCCTGTTAAGCACTAATAGTACATGCACAAAACTTTTTAGGACCTTAATAGTTCTGTAAAGTTTAAAGACCTCGGGAGCACTTTTAAGTCCCGTAATAGTTGTCTGTTAGTTGATACCATGGCGAACCATCAACAACATCAGCGGTGGCAATGCATTTATCGAGAAAGGAGAGACATATTTAATGAATATAGTGAGTATATATTAAATATACCCATAGTGTGTTACCTGACCTAACAGGCCATGTCCTAACCTAATTAAAAAAAGGTGATTTGCCCCAAAGATAAATGTCAGAATCCTCTAAAACAGCAAGAAACTTGCAAAAAAATATATTTTTCATGTGGAAAAAAGGGATGGGTGGTTAACCAAACAAAAGTGACACTGTGTCACCATAACATTAAATTGGGACTTGGAAAAATTCTTGATTTTTACAAGCCATAAATCGTGAATACAATATCGCGTTTATTTTTGGAAAGTGCCGCTTAATTCAAGTATATTCTTTCGTTAATCAATGAGATCTACTAAATGGTAAGAAAAAAGACCCGTAAAAAGGTGATGGGTTAATAACAAAAAATAAGCCCCTCTTTTTGTCTTTATTATTCAGGAAAGCCTTCAAGTGGCCATTCAATATTAACTTTTTCTCTTCAATGGCATTCACCAATAATAAAGTCTGGTCTGCTCTCTAGTTGGGCTTCCTTTTCTTTTGTGGGGTTGAGACTTCCATTTCCTCAATAACACGTTTGTTTACAAACAGCACAGTAAGGAAAGCCACCGATCACTATCCTTGGTTCATCAAGCCTCCTTCAAACTGCATAGATTAATTTATTTTTATTTTAATGGTCAAAATGTATATAAATGTAAACATTGAAATTAATCTTCATAATTTTATTGAGGTTATTCAGCCATAAGATCATTTTGTATGATGAACTCCTGCTATCTTTAGCGCTGTTTAGCGGTACTTAACAAACAACTATTTGTGCGGTAAAAGTCTGCTAGTTAAGCTTTGTGGTTAACTTTTAAATTTTACTGCTAGCTAACAGTACTATTATGTCATTAGCATAAAAGTTTTGTGTATACCGGCCCAGATCATTCAACACATGAAGAGTGGTGCAGGTAGTTAGCAAGTCTCTGCAACTCATACATATATACTGGTATAATGGAGGAGATGAGAAGTCTTCTCAAATTGTTGATGGAAGAATAATTTCAGCATTGTGCTCTTCTTAGCTTTTTTATAATTCAGGTAAAAAGCAAAGAGATATATGAAAATCTGAAAACACGAAGGGGGAAGATAGTTTTGCTAGTGATTTTGTCCCTCTTAATGCAAGTTGGGGGTGGTTCTGCAGGTTTAAGATCCATGCTGATAATATTAAGTGACATCTCCAGCTATATCTCTTTAAAAATAACCTGAGAGGAGCCACTCCACTACCTTCAAGCAATAAATTCTCTTCTCATCGTTAACTAAACCTCAAGGTAAAAAACCTGCTCAAACTTCTATGTTTCTTTGTTCATATTTCACTATTCTTTGAGTAAATCGGGGTAATAAAAAAATTGGGGGAGAGGGGACTGCTCTGAGACCAATCTTAATTTATAACACGGGTTTCTGCGAGAATTTTTTCCACCTAATGTACGGGTCTTCAGTAACACGTGTCTGTTAAGCGGTGATGACTGTGATTTACCAGAATTCTTCCATACTTACCTGTGACTTCTCCTTCTACTAGTGAACCTTCCCAGCCCTCCAGTACTCTCCTGACAGTAACCTAATTTTTCCCCTCCACTTACCTACTTTACTGCCTATTTGAAGACTCATCCAAAAATGAAACATCAAATTCACTCTTTCCCTTATTAAAAAAAAAAAAAAAAAAAAATCTTTGGTATCTAGTCCTCTTGTTTCTATCAACCTTACTTCATCAATAACTAGATGGTGAGGAAGATGCTCATGTAGACCTACAAAACTACAGTAAATACATTCATCATCAATACCAGAGAACAGAAAAGTGAATCAAAAGTTCCACATTGTTTAAATGTTTTGTAATTATTCACTCTTCTGTCACACTAAGAGGTGAGTGAGGTGGAGGCAGGGCAGGGCAGCATCTGGCTGGAAGTGAGAGTTACACCAAACTGTAGCAGTAATTATCCTTAACTTTACCTGAGCTGTGCGTACTTGAGTGGCCAGAAAGTGGTGCTGTAGCTGTTCCAGGAGTGCTGCCACTGCCACCACCCTGGGTGCCATCGTCCCTATAGTAACCATCGCCGGCACTGCCTCGAGTTGTGTCACGATCTAGGACTGTCACCAGGCCTGTCAGTCCACCTACGCTCTTGCTAACGGCACTCCCGATGTTGTCACTACTGCAAGAGATAAATTTTTACACTCCTGTTAATCCTTAACTTTACAATGAGCAATATAAAGTAAAGTAAGTGCTTAACTGGTGTACAGACTTAACTATTATTTCAAAGACCAATTAGCTTATATATACAGTACAAATAAATTATAACATTACAGTAAAAGTTACTAAAAAGAGTAAACTCTCTCTAATAAACTTTCTTCACTTAAAATTTGTGATATATCTTGACAGAGCTGAAGCCCCAAAATACTGTATAAATGTACAGTACAGTACAGTACACAACCCCATAATCTGAAAGTTTTTAAATAACAAAAATAAAAATAAAAATGATATTTGTCAAATATTTCATATTCTCTAAAAGAATTTTCAACTAACATTCAAATTTATAGACCAGTAACCTATTGTACCCAAAAGTTAGTGTAAACTGTTGCAATACTTTACAAAAGACTACAAGGAGATGTTTACAGGTTGTTATACAATCTGGTTATATCTATAATTATATCATAGTAACATAGTAACTTAAGAAGATTTGCTACAGATATGCCAGTTTTATGCTCTCAATGACACTGGTCTCAGAAAAGGTCTTTTTAAAAAGTGCTGTTGGCTTGTGGTTTATTGACTGGTTGAGTTGGGGTAAGTTTGGTTGATGTGAGAAATGTCTGTGATGCAATTTACATAATAAATCTCTCTACAAATGAGAAATGAAAAATTAAACCATTTTGATCTCAAACTAAGATGTCTAACAATGTTTATATCTAATTTCTGTTAAGTCTTTATCTGTGGTGTTACCCTCACTCAAGTTGTCAGTCTGTTAGTGAACCAACTGTAACACAGGTCTGATTCTGGAAAACAAATCCTCATGTAAAAGTGTCAAAACTCAGTTTACATATGTATATAGTATAAACAATACATAAATACATGTACAGTACAATATATACATAAGTAGACAATATACAAAGATACAATTATGTAGACAATATGTATACACAAAGATGGAAAATCCCAAGAAGATCCCCCAAAATACCTGAAGTTGGTGATAGTAATAGTTTCAGTCTCAGTGTCAGATACATTGGTAGGAGTGGGAGTTCTCATGTGCCCTGGTGTTGCCAGGAACACATCCCCATTGTCAATCTCATCTGTTGGGTATGAATCTGACGAACCACTAGTGAAGGACAAATGCCGTCTGCAAGGACAATGGAAAACACAATACTGTACTGTGGTAATCTGGTAAATGACAAGTGACATGTTATGACAAGGAAACAAATGAACAATTGCACACCAATACATGTTCCTAACGGGGCCTCTTTAGATGTTCCCTATTCATATTCCATGGAAGAAAAATGGCCACTCTATTGTCATTTTCAATGGGATCAAAACTTTGCTAAACATACATCACAATACAAGTGCTATGATGCTGATCATTTACATTGACATTTGAGGCGTCCCGCATCGTAAGGTGCATTCAAACCGTACGGCCGAAACCCGTTTTTTGTTGGAAAGCAGTATTTTCGGCCTAGCTCTATACGATGGTAGTTGATAAGATCTCCTTACTACACTGTAAATTAGGTTGAAAGCCCTTTGAAAATAGGGTAGAACAATGATTTGTGGCAGATCGGAAATTATGGGCTTGGCTTTCGCGTCGTAAGGTGCTCTCATCCCGTCAGTGAGCGAGTGAGAGGAGCGGGCGGCCAATCACAGCGGCCGGCATACAGCCTCCTCCACCGTCTTGGCCACTGACAGTGAGCTTCTGCTATCTACATCACGGCCCCTCCAGCCAATGAGGCGGAATCCCTCTCTCCCTCTCCCTCAGTTCTCCTTTGTTGTGGCGGGAACTACACTGATATCGATTAAAGTAAAAAAAAGCCATAAATGGGTGGGAGTTTTGTTGCTTCAAGTCAACACTGCAACAACCCAGTACATTACTTCATGATGCGCAATGTATCAATGGTAAGTACAGTTCTTTAGCTTCAAAATGCATCAAAAATGAAAGCTGTATCTCAAAAAACAACAAAGTTATGCATATTTGAAGTTGGAAAAACTTTACACTCGGTTTTCTCGGTTTCAAATTTTGGCTCGAATAACCCGTACGATGCAGGGCGCCTCCTCATTTACAGGTAGCAGGCAATTATCAAACAGCGAGGTACTACCCACCTGGGAAGATATTGAAAGTACAGTATAATGTTGTTGTCTAATGGTAGACCCTGCTGCCATATGGCATCATAAAAATTGTGACCAAGTCCCAGGTTGCTGGTCTGACTTTCTGCCTCATTTACACACAATTGCAGGGTCTCAAATGTTTCTCTTACTTTGACAACACAACATAATTTATAGTGTATACTATATCGTTTTTCACTCTTGATTTTTATTTTTTTTTTTGTGTGTTTACTTATGGCTCTTTATTATTATTATTATTATTACAGTACAGTATTATTATTATATTTTCACCTCCCCAAGGCACTGATGTGGGTCAGTGACCCTTGCCCGGGTGGGTCAATCCCCATTAAAAAAAAGAAAGAAAAATATGTAGAGTAGTTAATAAAGTGATGCTGTTTACACACAAACATACATAATGATGGAATGGACAAACACAGTCCCTCCTGGTTTCACCAACACTGAACAATATGATGATGATCACTTAAGTACTGTAACATGGATGATAATTTACTCAGTACTTTACTTTTATCTCTTAATGAACAAATTTTTTCCATATCCCACCACTTATCACAGAAAAAATTTGTTAAGTCAAAAGTTTGACTATTTTTGCTGGTCCTGAAAATTTTAGGTCAGTGGTCTGGAGATTGTCCAGGTCACCAGTACATGACCAATATCTTCCTTAATGTCTCCTAAATTTTCTCATTGAATTCATGCAGATCTCAGAAATGATCCTCAGCAACCAAAAATCCAGAAACTCAATCCAGTCTGAAAACTCTTTGTCTGGTCATAATGAAGTTTTCAAATACATGAAGCATCTATTCTCATCCAGGGTAAGACAAAAATTTCATAATGGTGTAATGTCATCATATTGGAATCATGGTCCCTGTACTTTGTATTGTATTTAAATTTATATTCCACAATAAAATGAATATACTGCAAAACTTGTAACTTGTACCAACTTACTCAGTAATAGTTGTGTGTACTTTAGTCATAATAACTCACCCATGAGATGATCCATCCACAAACTTGACTTTCTGAGCAGTGGCATCATTGGCAGTGTGACAGGGGGAGCTGTCCACACTGATGGAGGCCTGGTCTATACTCCCACGACTCCCACAACTTCTGAAGTACCAAAAAAAGTTGCTTTACATTGTTCTTAACCAAGTGTATGCTGAGTTTCAATGATATTGATACATTAAATTTTGATCATATTTTGGTAAAATACTTATATAATCACATTAGTGTTCCTAATGATAGGCCACACTATGAAATAAGCACAAGTGTCATCATTAAGAGCCATGTTGTAGGGAAACAGTGAACACTTACGCTGGTGGCTCTTTCACCTCAATAGTTGGTGAGGGAACTCTGAAGCTCTTAGACCTTAGGTGATGTTTGGGTCCCAGACCCAGCCGGTCTTTCATGGAAGTTGCCTTTACACTCTGGCGGCGAAGTTTCTTTATAACATCTCGACGGAAATCATGAAATACTACTGCTTCCAGTTCTTGTAACCGCCGCATTTCTTGCTCGATAGTGGATGCGGACGCTCCGAGCATCTTGAGATCATTTACCGTCTTAGCCTGTTCATTCATTTCAATCTCCAAGAGCTTCGCCCTCTGTCTAGCATCAAGGTTGGGGTCAAATATGAATGCTGGAAGACTCTCATTAAAAGCAAGTTGTCTTCGCAGGGCATGTGATTCTTGCTGAAAATTCATAAAGAGTTTGTGAGCAACACAACAACAAAGAGTACTAGTGTGTGGTAAGTGTTGAATCAGATCTAGTGGGTGTTGTTAATACTGTACAGTTAACCCTCCTATAACACAATTTTTTAATACATGGTTTTGGTTTTGGCCTCACAATTTTTGGGTTTTAGAAGCCCTCCTTGGTCACCAGGGTGTGTGTGTGTTGTCCTTACAGTTTCAGTTTTGAGCCTTAAACCTGCACCTAATAAACTGAATTAGCATAATCCCAGATTGGGCAAAGTTCCCCCTTACCCCATAAAAAAAAAGGAAATTATATGTCACCCATTATTACAAGAAATTACCGAGAAAGTTTAGTTTTTTTATTTCCTTTTTTTTATCTTCAAAAAATTTCAAATAAAACAAGGAGCAAGGCAAGACCACATTTATTGAAGTACAGCTTCTATTACTGAATTTTGGTCTGCACAGCCGAGTACCCTATCAACATTGCAGTGTCGGGCGACTCGGTTACCTATAAAAAATATGATTCAATTTACTGAGCATTTGATTTTGGCACAAATCCTTTATATTGGTCACTTTTTTTCCATTTTCATATCTTCAAATATATATCTTGAATCATGTAGGGCACTTTTTCTAGGCAACTGAAATCTTATTTACAGCAAAAGTTCAGTACAGTCAATTTTTTTTTAAAATACAGTATATGGTAACTGCATCCACACTTCCACAACAGAGGGTGGCTGCTATACATGAGCACCTACAAGAACATTGAAAGTTGCAAGACATGACATCAACTTGCTCAAGTGAGTAAGATGTATTTATTGACCTCCAGTCCTTGTGATTAAACTATGATAAACATTATGTAGCGGTTTGCCAGTCACTGATGTAACCTTCAGCCTATTCATATTAATTCTTTGTAAAACAATGCAAGTTGTTATCCATATAAGTGAAAATAGTTGGTCTTGGAGTAGAAGCTCAAGGGTCTAAGAGCCTAAACCCTTATTTTCCTCAAAGATTTTAGTCTCACACAACATGGTTTTGGTTTGTCTGGGGTTTTCAAGGAACATAACCTCTTTGTTATAGAAGGGTTGACTGTAACAGTGCCACAGTAAATGGTGGTAACAAATGGGAAGAAATCTAATAAATGAATAATGTTTCAGTGTAAGCCATTTTACATATAGGATGAAAGTCTTAATTAAATGAAGTAATTTACTGAAAAAAATATTCAGGAAAAAATATTGAGAAGAGAAGAAGGGAGTCATTGTGTGCTGAAGGAAGGAGCAGAGTTGAACTTGAGTTGTTATGAACACAGACTAGGCTGAATGCTATGTGGGTCACCTTAGGTTTTAGGAGGAAATGTAGTGTCATATAATATAAAGTGCTAGTATAAATAGCAAACTAGCCAGCTTTATGTCCAGTTACCATACCTGGGAAGTAGCATGATCTGTGTGGTCAACATCGTCGTCTGAATCATAATTGGCTTGAGGCGCTGCAGTATCAGGAGCCCCTGTGAGCATGGTAAGTGTGCGAGCTAATGCACTCAGGTGCTTACCAATGTTGACATCCAAGTGAAGGTCAACTCCCTCCATCTGCCACTGGACATTCAGCAACCACTTCGCATTCTCTGCTGTATGAGAGGGAAGTATAACATGAAGTTAACCTTACATGGGTTGAGGTAATAGAGTACAGCTGGAGAAAGTAATCAAGATAATGACAATTACAAAACTTGCGTCTATTGTTCACCGATAATGTCTACATGAATTTGGTTTTGGATCTTAAAATAAAAGATGTGAGCTGGAACTCACTTAAGAGTGCCTGAATTACTTTATCTCAACTTGAACTTGGATTTGGAGGATTCTACTACAACACTGATGACGGGTAATATCTCACAACAAGGACGTGAAAGTGGAGTTATACCCTTTTCGGAGTGTCCGGCAACTGTACGACTGCAGACCTCGTACGTTCCTTCGGACACTGTGCACAAGTTGATTGTATGGTCCTTAAAGTCAGGCTTCCAGTCATCTAAACTTGTCTCAAACTCAGGAGCAAAGCGCATGCAGAAGCCCTTGAACCTTGCCTTACACACTAATGAGCCAGAGTTACAGGCAGAGATGATGGTGCTCTCTAGTGTGACCACCAAAGCATCTCTCGTCTCTGTTGAATCCACCTGATGGCTCACCTATTAAAGGAAAAGCAAGTTTCATCATATACAGAGAAAGAAAAGATGCAATGCAAATCTACTGTAACCGATGTGCCTCATTTTAAGAAAATTTATAAGCATTTTATAAAGTAAATCTCAATGCCAGTTTTCAGGAAAAATCCTTCGTGCCACTGCCATTGCTGCTATTTAGTACAGTACGTCTACTCACAGTTCGACAAGGGTTCAGCGGCAAGCAGATGCCTATGTCATCTACCGTGAGTTGTAAGTAAACATTGTTCGTTATGTGGGCAGCTGAGGACAATGATGAAAACTGTGGAACCTTTTCAAACACCTGTTGTGTTGCTGTCAGTACTTCCTGAAGAAAAATTATATTTTACTCAACTATCATATAGTTAAACAAAATATATTAATTATTACCAGAGATGTGTATCTAACAAACACAAAGATTACTGGGGTCTAAGTGTACACAATGATATATGAGAGCAAAAAAAGAGAAGTACCCAAACTAAACTTATAAGCTTACTTTATTGAGAGACGCCCGCTGCTCACTCCAGTACTCATAAGCATTTTTGTAGTTGAGCCAGACAAGAACAGCTCGGTCTACGGCCAGGGGCTGCACACACACCAGTGGCCTCGTCAGTGTGATTAAAACCACCTCCCCATCATCACCAACACTCAGCATCTCGTTGTATAAAGCATTGCGCAAGCCTTCAAAATAAAATATATCAAAAGATCAAGAGGACAGTCAGTCATAGAAATAATGGGACAAGATTTATCTGAATAGTAAATACATTACAAGTTAAGAAGGAAGATCAGCTTTAGGAAAAACAGGACAAAACACCAGTTCACAAAATCAGCACCAGACATTTATCAAATGTAATCCAAATTTAATTTCCTTACTGTGTGATTAATGTGATGCTCATTCAGTTCTATGATTATAAATAAATTGAAGCAACATGAGTGGAGGAATATTATGAAAGTATATTCAGGGTTAGGATTCCTGATTTTAAGAATACAGTACAGTTCTCTCCTGTAAGTCCTATTTAAAATCAGCGTCAAGTATTTCCCAAGCAGATAAGGGATATTTCCCACTATTCCCCACCTGCAAGCTGTATGTTATGTTATGGTTATTTTTAACTCATAATTTCAGGTAGATACATGTATTTTTTAAAGTTATATACAGTACATTATGTGTGTATTCATGTATATTTGGCCCCCCCCCCCGTATACGGTATATACATACAGTATAACCTCAGATATCCGACATTTAACCATGCGGAACTCTCAAGCAACCGGCAATTTTTTGGTGGGGGTCAACTTTCAGTATGAAATGTTGAATCACATTTAAAAAATCAAGAGGTCCACCTACTTGAATGTTTGTGCTGGTGTAACCGCTATGATCACCCCATCCACATATACACTTTAAATGTACAAACAGACACTCAAACCATCCTCTGGGCGATGTGACACAGTTCAGCCTGGCAGTCACCCAGCTGACTCAGAGACGTGTGTGTCTGCTGCACTGTGTGTATACCATGATGTCACACAGGGAGAGGAAATGTGCAGCTGGGTGGCAAGTTGGCGATGCAGTTACAGCCCAATGTCTCCACAGGCACGTTCACTCCCACACATACACACCCATGCTTTTCAATTTTCTTATTTTATAGTTTATTATATTTTCTTTATTTCTTAGCCACATTAAAGTATTGTACTGACTTTTTTTTTCTCAAACGAGCACAGACAAGTGATAAACAAGCTGAACTAGCGAGAGATGTTGGGTGGGTTGGCTCACACGAGAGTGAGACCCAAGCGTAAGGGCGGTTCAGGGAGTCAGAGCAGGGTCTTATATTATGGATATGCGTACTGTGCAACCCTATGCTTACAGGTATGTAATTTTCTTCATTTTTTTATTCAGTTACATACACACACAATCCTACATACAGAAAGTGCAAAAATAAATAAAATAAATAATTATCATAAGGAATAAAGTTTTAAGTATCTACAGGCTTCCACCGTGAAATTGTGCGTAGACGTCAGAGGGTCCATGGTGGAGCACTGTAGCTAGGGATGATGCTATGTTGCTAAGGTGAGCACCAGGGGCGACTGTAACACAGTGTAAACACTAATTTGTATCATTTTTGTTCTCTTTATGATTTCATTAATGCTATTTATATCCTTTTGTTATTGATGTTTATATATGCCTACAATTTTAAGTTTTAATGTTACAGTGTACAGTAACAGATAAAGCTACTTTTAGTGGTGAATCTAGCGATCTGAAAAAGGCTTCACCGGCAGTTACAGATGGTTTACTGTACAGTTTGTATATTTCAAGCCTGGTGCTCCAAATCCCAGAAAAAAATACCCTATTCGGCAACCCCCAGGTCCCAAGCATGCCAGATGTATGGTCCCATACCTGTATAGTAATTGTATTTACATTGTGTGTACTATGTGAGCTCACTGTGTTGAATACATATAGGAAAAGATGTTACATTACATTTGTAATAGTTAATTATCCAGCCAGATGATGGATGGTATAGGCTTAGCTCTCTCATCATTCTGTATTCCATATGAATTCCTGTCAAGCTTTTTTCAGCACATCAAATAAAGTAACTGAGGTGAAAATTTTCTCTTTAAAAAAAAAAAAAAAACTTATGAACACAAGTTGTACGTACATATTCTTGTCCGGAAAAATGCAAGCTGCTGGAACTCAGGCTCTGCTTCCTCGAACATGTCGTTTCTGAGGAGCTGTCCCAGAGCCACGTTGATGTCCACCTGAGGAGAGGAGGAGGGTTAACTCAAGCTCCAGTCTGCTGTAACCTTCAATACTGCATCTTTTACTACAGTAATTTTGGACTGAGCAAAGTCATTCAAGCTTTTGGAATAATTATGTAGTTCTTTTAGGGTCTTGTTCAACAATATATTTTTTGTATCACTCTTTCAAGACCTTTCCCAATATATTGCAGGACGGCTGGAATAAACAGCCCACACAAACTTTCTCTCCATTCATTATTTCTTACTAACTGTACAGTACTGTATTCCTCTGTGTGGTGTTTCCCTGCCATAACAAGACCCCAAATATTGTATCTACCTGATTTATTCCAGTTACTTCAACCAGATTAATGCAATACAATAGTAAATATTCCTAAGTTTGCCAAGACATATTTTTCTCATTTTCAGATTCATATATTTCCGATTCATACTGCGGATAACAAACACATACAATTTCCAATACAAAATCTGAACAATTAACTTGTAATTCATCACACACTAACATGAGTTGAATGATTAAAGAATACACTTCCAAACACAGTACTGTACTTAGACAACAACTAACTAACCTGAGCTTTGCCAAATATTTTCATGTGTTGCGTTGGATCAACAGACGTGCGGCTCGGTCGACTAATGTTTTCCACTCTGTTGCTGAGCTGCAGCTCCACCACACCAGTCTCTAGCCGCACTGCTGACTGTGTTGGTGTAGTCGCTGTGATGATGATCCCCTGAAACCAAATCAATTTTACGTCCATTTCATCACTCTTACATCACACACTCCTGACCCATGCAGAGACAAGGTGGTGTGGGCACAGTCATCCCAAAGTGCATTATGTTACTACAGTAATTCTAAATGTAGATTAATTATGAAGGTCTTGCACTGATTTTAAATCTGTGAGACTTCACTATAGTACAAAGTCTACTTCTCTCCCATGATTACATTCACTACAATATACCAGAGAGATGTATAGTTGGTCACCTTAAGTCGAAGCTGGAGTGTAAAGAGGAGTCTTCGAGGCTGAGAGACATGGCTGGTGGGTCCCTCTTCCGTCCACAGTGGTACTGGCTTGTCTCCACCGGCCATTTTCTGCACCACTTCATTTACTTCCTGTTAAGCATTCAGAGACACGTTATTAATATGAATTCTACACATAAACTAGCACACCTTTCAGAGTTTTTTCAAGACCTTTTCTGCTTAAATGGAAGGTGGCCACAATCAGCAGCAATTACACATATATTCTCCCTCTTTATAATTAAATAATTAAGCAATGGATCTCTAGTCCTTAGGGGCCATCTTAATAAAACAAAATAAAACACACATATTAATAAAATTACTACTGTATTCCCTTCTTGTGCACACTTTGTGGCCCTTCACCGCTACTATCATCAGTGCTACCTTTACTACTACTCTACTGCACACACACTGATCCTTACAACTGACTTCAACTTTTTTATACAAGAACCATGAGTAAATAATAAAGAACAAAATAAATAGCCAAACATGTGAACATTGTCTACAACTACCCAGTCCTGTACTGTACACAGATACACTATAACTAATAACAACAATATCATTGGTAACTATGAAGAGGAAGGAAAACTTTTGCTACTAACTTTCATGAAGACTTTCTGTACAAACACCAGGTGGTTTAACAGGTCAGTTGTTAAGCTGTGTTCCAGAGCACCAATCTCTGCTACAGCACTGAGGTAGCTCCCCTCACGCAGCACCATGCCATCTGCTGCTGTAAGTTAGGTCCATTTTGTAATCTATCCATCTAAAATCTTTACTTCTCTTCCACTTGTGTAGGAGATGGATCAAGTGACAGGAAAAGAGATGAGGCAACAAGTTGAAGTTCTCCATATATACTTCCTCAACTTTCATATAGTTTAAGGCAATGTTTTACACTATACACTACAGTAACGTGATGGCCCTCCATTGAAACAGCACTAAGCTCTCCAACATCTTAACAAAAGTATTTTATTATGTCTCAGGGGGGGGGAGTGCCCAATAAACTAGCCCCCTCGGGGGCAAATCTGAATTATGTCTCAGCTGACTGACTATCTGATAATTTCCTGTTGACCTTGTTCTCTTGCACCCACTGTAACTTTATCAGTAAATATTGCAGACACTCAACCATCATCTATGTAGAGTATCCATAAGTAGGATAATTCTTAACCTTTATACTCCTTCAGTGACATTCCTCTTGTGCCTTTCCCATTTACATCATCAATATTTTACGGCCATTTACCATACTTGGATGGGTCAGTTGTAATTACCTGATGACAGCTCTCCATGCTCCTACATCAATATTTTCTTAAAAAATTAGTTATGCTGTAAACCATCACATCTCTCAAATTTATAAAAAAAATTATACCAATCTATATTGTCAGCAAATTTTCTTAATCTCAAACACTTACTCTTTATTACAGCCACACCTTCTGAAGCTTACTATAATATGGTGGTTTATGGAGACTCATGACTGCCCTTAATTAATTAGGATGTTGTCTGACCAAAGTAACTGAATAACAATTATGAAGAATACCTTTGAATACAAAGACAGGAAAATGCTCCTTCAACTTTATAAATCTCACATGCAACCCAGTCTGGATTATTGTATACAGTCATGTAAACCCTACCTCCAAGAAGACCTAACATCCCTAGAAAAGGTGCAACATAGAGCAACTAATATCCAAGTAGACTGAGGGCCTTAGAACTAACAACCCTTCAGCCAAGATACAATAGGACAGATCACATTGAAACATTCAAAATCTTGATAGGGAAGGAAAACGTGAACCCAGACCCTTTTTTTTGTGATGTCATGCACCACCAATGACGGGACATAACTACAAGCTCGCCAAGATATCATGCAGAATGAACATAAGGAAATATTTCTTCACACACGAGGCTGGTAGACCTATAGAATGGTCTACCAGCCCAAACTGTGGAACTGAAAACAGTGCTGGGGTTCAAAATAGTCCTTAACAAAGATTATCAAGAACACTGGAGGGATCCTACACAGGTAAAATCACTACGAGTAAATGGCTTTTACAGTAAGTCCGTGCTTAATGTCGTCCCGCTTAACGTTGTTTCGGTACTACGTCGCTAAACTTTAGAGACCAATAATTTGCTTAATGTCCCGGTGATCCGATACTACGTCGTTTTGTGTCGTTACGGACTACATTTTACGGTGCAACACCCGCTCTCATCTGGCCACGCTATGCTCTCTTGGCTTGGCACAGAGTCTCAGTGACTCACCACCCTCCTCCTCTCCCACCCTCCTCCTCCTCCGCTTCCACCCTCCTCCTCCTCCGCTTCCACCCTCCTCCTCCTCCGCTTCCACCCTCCTCCTCCACTCCCGCCATCCTCTGCTTCATTACCCACCACACACTCACTCTACCACCTCCACCCATCAGTGAGTACCAATACAAACTTAGTAGCTGTATATGTATGCATTATTTTCTATAGAAATGGCAATGATTTTCTGTGGATGTAATGTATTTCATGGGGCAAAGGGAGGCTCAGGAACGTAACTCCCGTATTTTATCTATTTCTTATGGGGAAAATTTATCCGCTTAACGTTGTTTCGTATAACGTCGTGTTTTTAGGAGCGTAACCCCGATGTTAAGCGAGGACTTACTGTATGTTAAATAGTTTTCATATAAGTATAAAGGCAGGCAAATAAATAAGGTAAAATCACTCGGAGTAAATGGCTTATATGTTAAATAGTTCTCATACAAGTTTCTATTTGCATCTAGGTTAAGGTAACATCATCATGAGACTTGTCATTACATACTGTACATATTGCTGTTATTATACTTTATATCAAAATCTATTCTTATACTTACTTTTATGAATAAGGTTTCTAAATGTGAATTTAAATCACAATTTCATTCATCCTTTCCTTCTGTAACTCAGGAGTGAGTCATAAAACTCATTCCATCATATAGAAATAAAGAGAACCACACCTGCATGTTGATCAATACGAGAGGGGGGGTCGTCCTGTATCAGCTCTGCCTCAACGTGCACCTGAGGTAACTGGATGCTGGCAGATGACGGAAGGTGAGTCTCGGTCGGCTGATGAAATACAACACTGATGTGAGTAAAACATATCATGAAAATCGTATTATCTTTAATGAGAATATCTTTTAAACTCCTCCAATATGGGAGTGTACAACAACCAGAATAATTACTATATATGATAACACTGTACACACATTCTCATCAAACCACAATACAGAATAACAGTGGAATATATAAAATGGTGCTTGTGTTTGATGAAGTCATTAAACTATTCTATCTGTTTTCAATAAGTCTTCTATTGGGGCTATGAAAAATAACTTCCTTATCTAGAAAAGGCACAAAGATGAGCAGAAAGAGAAAGGTGAGAGAAATGGGAGGAAGAAGAGGATGAGATAATGAACAAACCACTCACCAAGTCCTGCAGTCTGGTGGAAAAGGAGAGGTGGTGTGTGGGCAGATGTATGGTGAACTTGGCTTTGGCACCAGTGATCCCCAGGCTGGACACTTGTTCCATGCGGTACTGAGCCTGTAGTGAAGGCAGGAGAGCTGCCTGGATGCTTAAACTCTGGAAAAACAAAAAAATATGTTGAGAATAATCTTAAATGTATAAACAATATTAAAACTGTTTACATCTTATTCATCTTCCCCGTAATGCAGCAAGACAAGTCAGGCAGCCATTCTTCCACCAAATGGCACACACCTCACCTATCTCGCTCTCACTGCCTTTTATACTACAGGTATCTCCTTTCATTCTTTTTTGTGGTGTACTCTCTTTACCTAAATGTCTTTCTCACACTCTGCCTTTCCTCTCTCTCTGAGTTTCTCTCTCACTCTTTATCATTTTTTCCCATCTAAAAATATTTGCTGGATATATACAAGAGTGACCACAGGCAGGTAAAAATTTGTATTAGCAGTTTGGTCAAATAGTTCTCTTAGTCAGTTTTAAGACTGGTATTCATAGACCTGGAAGCTGCTGCTAAAAAAATAATTACAGTGCAACCTTGAAAATTTGAATTGCATGGGCCCATGAAGTATACGAATTTTAGAAAAATTTGAATTGCAGCTGTATGGAAGTGCCAGAGCAAATTGTTGTATCAAAACATGCTACAAAAATTATTTACATATCTAAAAACTGTCAATAAGCAATAGGTATAATAAATTAAAAGTATTACTAACTTACTGTATTTATATTCAACAACATTTATTCTAATATATTTAGAACATTATAGCTACAGTGGTCTTCATGTGATCCTGCCAGTCTCCAGTACACCACCACAAAACACGGAAGGGTAAACAATGCGTGACCTAGCATGTCTTGAAACCCGGATGCACTTGTTGTGCTTAGCATTATGATCGCATTTGAAAGCTTGAATTATTATGGTAATATTTTCAAATTCAAAACCTAAAATTTGGCACTTATTTTTAATCAGATGCTATTCGAATTTTAGAGGTTTTACTGTGTCTATTAATATTGATTGGTACTGTTTACATCCTAAGTGTTCATGCATAGGCCAGTGACTGGTTGGCAGAGGGAAACAAAGAGAAACTTTAAGTAAACTCTAATTCATATCTACACAACAATTTCCTGAAAGAAATATCTTAACCTTAAATTTTATTTCATGAAAGCACTTGTTCTTTTTGGAAAACCAAATAACACTCTGACACACAACTTGTTTTGCCAACCAGTGATCTGTAATACCCTCAGTAAATGCTTGAACACCTGGCAAGACTAACCATAACATAGACTGGGTACCTGTAGCAGGATAGAGAACTGAATGACCAGAGGGTGGAGCAGTGCATCAGGTGGGATGGGCTCCTGAGGACCAGGCGGTTCCTGAGGGGGACGAGGTGATGCTGTAACATCTTGCTCTTCTACAGTGGCTCCCCGGCTCAGGCGGGCACTTGGACGTGCCACACGCAATTCCTGTAATTCAGAAGAAGTGCGTAGGAAAGAGAAAAAAGACCTTAAAAGATGAGTGCTACTAATATTAGGAGTTAATATGAAGTGTTCAAATGAGAGATGTTAAAGATGTCAGCGCTAAAGATGTCAGCACTGACCATGAGTGTGGAGGATAGCTGCTTGCTGCCTCGAGTCATCATGTCATGGAGGATGACCGGGTGCTGGGGGATATCTATGTGAACATCTCCAATGGTGATGAGAGCAGAATTCTTGTCTTTGGTCTTACGAGAGAGGCTGGAGTACAGCCCTTGACTTTTGCCAATAGTCACTCTCACCACAGTCCTGAAGGATAAAGCTTACTATAATGTCCATTTACATTTATTTATCTATTTCCCTTATAGTCTTATCACTTTATTTGCCATGACAGCAATCTAAATGCGCCCCCCCCCCCCACACCGAGTGATTTTTTACAAGAAACTTCTGTCTTTTACAGTTACAGTACAGGGGTAATTTTTTTTATTTTTTACAGGAATCAGCCCACCCGGACACAGGTCACTGACCCACATTGGGGCCTGGGGGGCAATAATAATAATAATAATAATAATAATAATAATAATAATAATAATAATAATAATAATAATAATAATAATAATAATAAAAATAAAAATAAAAATAAAATAAAAAAATAAAAATAAAAATAATAATACAGGTAATAATAATAATAATAATAATAATAATAATTATTCATAATTAATACAATTTATAATAAAAAATTAAAAATTAAAATAAAATAATAAAATAATAATGATAATAATAATAATAATAATAATAATATTAATAATAATAATAATAATATTAATAATAATAATACAGTAATAATAATAGTAAGAGAAACAATTGAGACCCTGCAATTGTGTGTAAATGAAGCAGAAAGTCAGATCAGCAACCTGGGACTTGGTCACATATGGCAGCAGGGTCTACCATTAGACAACACATTATGCTTCCAATATGTTCCCAGGCAGTAGTACCTCCCTGTGTGGTAGCTGCCTCCTACATCCTACCTTAACTATTTTTATTTCATATTCCATTATAACAGGGTGACTATACATAATTTATGCACAACTATAATTTGTTTGTTTTAGTTGAGTAATATTATCTTTTCAGAGATGTATAGGAAGATGCAAATGCAAAAAATACAAACTGATGCATCTAACACAAATTAAAGCTTATCTTATGCTGTAGAGAGAAGGTTTACTTTCACCTACCTACACCTAATACTGTATATCTGCATAACCCACTCTAATCTACATCTAAAGATACTGGACAACTACTGCAAGTTAGTTAAGATAATTTGCTGAAATAATTTTCTTAATTCACGAATGAAGTCAGTTCATGATGGAGTGGACGACTTACTGCTGGTTGGGAGCGATGCCTTCGAGGAGTACGATCATGGTGCTGCCGATATGGCCCGTGTGAGAGAGTTCAGATGTTGTGCGCTGGGTGGCCCGTACTGGAGTTCTGGCTCCTCGCACTTTCTCTCTGCAGCACATACAGTGCAACACAATTAACTATTTATCTACATCTTATTTACTTAGTGACTTTGGCACATGTAAGAGATTTGACGGTATCTTTGGAATGACAAAATTAAAAACAAATTCTAAATGATATACAGCATACAGTACAGTAATACAAACACAAGATATACTGTATAAGGGATCATTTTAACAACTCAAAAAGTTATGGACAAAGGTTACATAAAAAAACTGCCAAGAAACACATCTCTAAATTTTCTCTTTCACTCAATTCTGTTTTTGCCAAAAATATATTTTTTTAGCCTTGCTGAGTAATGAACTTCACACTTCCTGTTCTACCAAGGATACTGAGTTTCAGAAGAAAAAAAAATAAAGAAAATCAATAACTCAAATTCCACATCTCCTAAGTTAGTTAGTTTTGGGAATGCGCTCCCCGCACGTAGCAAGAGGTTGTGGAACTAGGCCTATACGATATTAAATGTAATTTACCGAGTTAAAAGGGACGCGAATAATGAAATTAAATATCAGTTATCAAATTGAAAATAATTATAGATCGTTTCCCAGTCTGAAAATGTTGCGTACGTCCTAATTAAGCTGTTAATCGTCTGGTAAATAAGTCACTCCTGGAAAGCGTGAACCAGTGAGCAAGCATGGCTGGGGAGCTGTGAGAGAGGTCAAGGACCACCTCTGTGCTGTACCCAGGAGAGACTGATCGTGTGACCTGGTTCCTTCGTTTATTTAACATCAGTATTAACAAGTAAGTTTTATTCAATCTCAGACAAAGCTTGATAGGGCGGTAGGAACAAACGGTGATGTGAGACAATAGCTAACAGCCCGGGTTTTTCAGGGTTCTGTAGACCCCACGCAGTATGATAACGTCCACTGGAGGTATGAGACACGAGTGATGAAGCGAGCTGTATGACCGTCCATTGACCTGGGTTTGAGCCACCTGTTGAGTATGGTGAGAGTTGGAGTGAACCCAGCTGTCTAGGTGCCCAACTAACGACGTGACGATCATTTGGGGTCATCAACTCTCCTCTACCTCGGCTCACAATACCACATATCGTCAAGAAGCTTAGTGAAAACCTTTTACTAACGGGAAGCTAAGGCTTCTCTCAACTGTACAAGGTCTGAGTGGCTCACTCCCTTCCGTTTCATGGGTGTACTGGGGGTAAAGTGAAGCCAGCTGAGTGATACAGGGTCACACACTGGGACCAAGAGTCCAGTGGAACTTAGAGGTACATTTCCAAGGTTGAGAAAGGCTGGTTTGGGCCTTAAACTACGGGTGCCTGTTGGTTGTGTAAATTTAAGTGTTCTTGTGCTGCTTCGGGATTTCCCTCAAAGGGGCGCTTCCACTGCAAATACCATCGAATAATCTTTAATAAACCCCAAGTCTAGTGAGAAATTAAAGTCCAGTAAATTCTGACCGGTTATATATATATATATATATATATATATATATATATATATATATATATATATATATATATATATATATATATATATATATATATATATATATATATATATATATATATATATATATATATATATATATATATATATATATATATATATATATATATATATATATATATATATATATATATATATATATATATATATATATATATATATATATATATATATATATATATATATATATATATATATATATATATATATATACAATCCTTCCTGTTTACTTGAACCGTAATTTGCTGAACTGCCTTCATAAGGATCTTCAATTGATTACGAAAAAAAAATTCTGCTTAACGAACTTCTTACGAACCGACCTCAACATGTTTTCGCTTGCACTGACCGGGCAACCAGCTTTAGTATCAGTCCGCCAATACATTAATCGGTTCTAGGGCTTAAATTCCTTACTATTTTTGTAAATATCAAGAAGTTTATACTATTCAATAATTTTAAAAGTTTAATATTCAATTTTTTAGTCATTTTAACAATTATTGAACGAAATTGAAGGTAAAGTGACTAGTTTAATGCGCGGCATCCAGCCTCTTAACACAGCAAACAGGCGTCAGTCTCTCTCTGTTTTCACTGGAGGTAACATCTTGCTTGAGACTCTCTTCAACTAAATGCTTTTTTTCTGTGTTTCCAAGCAAATTATTGGTCATTTTGAAATATATTTTATATATTGACAATATATAATGCAGTGCAGCATTGATTTAAAGAAAATAATCTTGAATTAAACCAGAGAGCTAAAATTTTATGGGTGAAATGGCACCATGGGGTGACTTCTCTTCCACCCCAATGCCTTCTTTTCTTCCTTCTCCTCCACCCCCATTCTAAATCCCATCATCATCATCATCATCCAGGAGCCTTCTACATACACACCTCAAAGTAAGTGAACTTTTCTACCATTTTTGTTGAATTTAGGAAATTTTCGGTGAGCTGGAACCAATTACCCAAAAACCCATTGAAACAATGGTTTCGGTTAACAATTTTCGTTAACGAACGACCTTCTGGAACGGATTGAGTTCATACTAATATATATATATATATATATATATATATATATATATATATATATATATATATATATATATATATATATATATATATATATATATATATATATATATATATATATATATATATATATATATATATATATATATAAATATTTCATGTAAATCCACAATGAAAACGTGGATAAGATAAATTTGATAAAATCACACGAAAATGGAAACAACGGAGTACCTTAGCTTTCGTCTTTATTCAAGACATCTTCAGAGGCAACTGGATTACATGGACAGAGAGAGGCTTAAATATACAGGGTGACCTAAAAACATGAGGTCAGGTCATAATGATGACATCCACTAATCCCCACACCAACACACACGTAGAGGAGCTTAAGAGAAGGGTGGTGACGTGACTAGACAGGTCAGGTCAGAAAAAAGGGGACCCACAAAATAATTATCATACATCAAGATCAAAGGTTTTCAAAGCATTTTTAACCTTGGGCCACTGACAAATAAATTTATGTAACATATTATCAGTTTTGAACTGACCATCACTAAGGTTTATTGATTTTAATTCCTTAATCAAACTGTCCATGTAATCCAGTTGCCTCTGAAGATGTCTTGAATAAAGACGAAAGCTAAGGTACTCCGTTGTTTCCATTTTTCCCGTGATTTTATTAAGATATATATATATATATATATATATATATATATATATATATATATATATATATATATATATATATATATATATATATATATATAAAAGTTTAGCCTTATTATGTTGCAGAAAACACTTATAAAACATAAAATCAATAATCAGGTATTAATAAAATGTAAGAGTTAATTTCAGTTAGATGCTGAGTGATCTTCATGAGGGAGAAAGAGAGAGTGAGGGAACACCCTTCTTTCCCCCCCTCACACTGTACCAATCACAGCAGACACCAATTCAACCAGTTTTTTCTTTTAATTATAGTGGAAATAACAGAAAGGTCATATTATGTACCTCCCACTTTTGGCCTACAAAACTAGTGAGGTAATATCTCTTACTGCTCAAATGGTTCAGCATGAGAAAGATAGTGAGAGACACAGGTGACTGGTGCTAGACAGGTGCCTCTCTCACCCACCTGAAGGTTAGTGAAGAGTGAACAGCATTCATCTCAGCCTCCAGCTTCAGTCCACTCAGTGTTGCCAGCAGCTTCGTTCGTTGAATCTTTGCCAAACCAAACACAACAAATGGTGTCCTCTCTCCCGAAATCAAACCTGTCCACAAAACACAAGTATTTAGCAAGTACATGTATGTATGTATGTATGTATGTATGTATGTATGTATGTATGTATGTATGTATGCATGTATGTATGTATGTATGTAGTACAAGGAGGAGGGACAAAGTCCCTCGGGCCTGAGCCTTTGGGGGCCCAGACCGTGAAAAAAAAGTAGGGTAAAGTGTCTTAATTTGTATGTACAGTTCCTAAATATGTACATTCATAAGAAAAACAATATTGGCAGCACTGTGATCAATCAACCAACAAACTCACACCTCAAATATTGGCCTACGGGAGCCCTTTACTTACCCTCATGATCTTGAAAATGGAAGATGTTGCCTTCATGAGTAAATCACATTTTTGTAAACTAAACCGTCAAACATTAGTGGTGAATTTCTTACTGATCTAAAATTGGGTTATAAGTTTCCTGTTGAGTGTTTTCATTTTGGTCATTGTATATTTTATATGTTGCTGTTGTTGAAGTCTTGATGTGCTTAAGAATTATTGTGCTCGCTTAATTTAGCTGCCAATGACATCTGGCTCTTGTACATTTAAATTATTTTGTATGAATGTTTTTAGGAAGACTGTGTCGTAATAATGCACTAAAGCATGGTGGGTGTGTAAGTAGTGTGTGCAAGGCTGATCATGCCATCACATACCCTCCCAGACTACATGAAATTACCAGGACTTGAGCAATGTCTGGAAGGAAACTCTTATGTGTAACTAGGAAGTACCACATACAATGTCTGTTTACTGTAACTCCTCTCCTATTAGAGCACTGTGTCATGAGGCTTAAGGAACACCACAAGAGGATAAAACTATTTGGTTCATAACATTTTAAGGTGATTCACGAAATGATTCATTAACACTTCAATGTGATTCATAACACCAAGTTGAGTATTATCAATATACATTATGGAACTACAAAACTCCCATAATCAAAGTTTAAACAGCATAACAAAATGAAAAGGTTAAACTTACCAAGTTCTTTGGTCTTGTCGGCCACTACAGGCGGTGAGGGTACAGAGGGTAAGGGGCCGGCTTCTAAGTCCGACTGTTTGCTCTCCTTAAGAATGTCATATTTTCGACTACCTTTGTACCCATCTGAGGCCTCAACAGTTACTGACGACCTGATGGTGAAAATTAGCCCCATGAGTACAGTACAGTACCAACCCCCTGAGATCTATGCCTTAACCCCTTGAGTACGATGCCTTAATCCCTTAAGTAAAATTACTTAATCCCCCTTGAGTAAGACAACTTAACCCTTTGAGTAAGATGCCTTAACCCCTTGAGTAAGATTACTTAACCCCCTGAGTAGATAAGTCAGGGAGTTGATTCATCACACTCAAAAGGTTAAGTAGTCCCTTAGGTCAACTTTCAAACATACAGTATATATCAAAACCAAGTACTGTATACAGTCAACCCTCACATTACGCGGTCCCGCATTCCGCGGTTCACCGTTAACGCGGTGCCCTGCCGGAACCTAACATGCTCACATTCCGCGGTCGTGAACCCCATTACGCGGAGAGCGGCTGGCAAGCCGCGCCATTTTTGGATCCAAACCTCCCGCCATCCGCCATGTTGTGTAAGAGGCGCGAAAATGGTGCGCACAAGGTCGCCCAGTCATCAAAACATTACCAGTTCTTCACCCGCCACCCACTACAGCCGGCCCAAGTCAGTGATAGTGATAATTATAGTGAGGATATGGACTTATATGAACTTTGGGGGGTTTGACAAAGAGGCCCTGCAAGCCTCTGTGGTGGATAGTGATACAATTGATACAAGTGATACAGGTGAGGGCCAATAATCTGCCCTCTGCCTCGGAACCAACCGCCCATCCCCGTGTGCCCAGCCATCTTTTCTACTAATGTAAGTGTTAAAAAACCTAATATTATTGATATTTCTCTTAATTATTAATTGTGTGTGCATGCCATCATAAAGTTAAGATAATATTTTTACTACAACATAGTTGTGTGTCATCAAAAAGTGGAGTTTGGGGATCGGCCTGGACTCCATTTCAATTAATCCCATATGTTATGTTGTTCACTTTACGCGTTCCTCACTTTCCGCGGTACCCTCCGGGTTACATTAACCGCGTAATGTGAGACCCAACTGTATAGATACATGTTGATAGACCAGAAGAATTCATAAATAATAACAAAACAATAACAACTAATGTGCAGTGCTGTACAATGTAATAAAAGTCATGGTACACTTCAGGCATTCAATCAAGTAAAGTACATTGTAATACTTCCCAAGCCTCTGCCAGACACAGTTTTGTACTTTTATGTCAAAATACAGTATAGACCAGAGTACAGGTATCCTTCATTATCTGAAAGTTTGGTATCTGAAAATGTTATTCTTACACCTCTTTTTAACTATCTGAAAGTGATCCTCACTTATCTAAAAGATGGTCTGATCAAAAATTCAAATCAACCCCTGTGCTGAGCCAAGACTGCCCTCCAATAAGGTAATGTACCCATTGAGCAGTGTACCTTATTTAGTTTAGGTATAATATTGGGGTTTTGTTGTCACTGGGAACTGTTATTAATTATTCAAAAATTCAATATTCAAATAGTTTTCAAGGAACCTAACCCATTCAGATAATGAAGGATACCTGTATTGTTTCTGAAGTTTGAGTTGAAGTGTTTGTTTAGTTCTCCAGAAGGACATTTACAACTAATAAAATACTACACAGTACTATTAATGTTTATTAAGAAATGAAAAGTCTAACAACCTAATGCACATACAGTAATGATAGTGAACATACTGTATACATAACACTTTTAACAACTAACTTACCTCTGTTGTACTGTTTTAGTTTCAGGCGTTGTAGTGTACAGGTCCAACAGGTAGTAGATGTTCCGCCAGCACTTGGGTGTGGCAGTGACAGCAGCTGGTGGTGTGGAGGCTTCGGGAGGACCCAGTAGTGGCGACTTGTCAGAGGAGCAGATAGTGGCCCCTTCTAGCCCTGAGCCACTCACACTGATGCTGAACAGTGGACTGCCTGTACCACGCTCTGTCCCAAGATTGGTGTAGCCTGAGGAACACGACATGACACACCATACAAACAGGTGTGTATTTTTTTTCTTTGTCAGTTGAGTGGATGAGTAACTTATACCATCTTATAAAAGAGGTGAAATAGTAATGGACAGCAGAAATGTTGTAATTGTAATCAGGAATTGAAGTTATTGGAATCAATTACATATTTTCTGAATAATCATAATTGTAATCAATTCATTGTCTTAGGAAACCAAGGAATTGTAATCGTAGTCGATGCCAAAGCAAAAGGATTCATACTCACGATTACCGTATATTCCATGATTACAACATACCAATTTGACATTATGGAAATCAAAGGTGGGTGAGGCAGGACCTCACCCTTGCTATGGGACACAGAGTTGGACGATTCCAAAAGGACTTAATGCTTCTCTGCTGGCAAACTATTCTCACTCAGAAGCAAGACTGGGTGAAACATGTGTAACAAAAATCTGTCAATATATTTACAATGTTCTGAATTTATATAAATAGTACTTTATAATATAAGTATGAAATAGTTTTAAGAAAATTAGAACTTGTGGAGCCACACAACTATAAATTAAAATACTGTACAGTAATATAATTGTAATTTTTGTTGGGCCAATTGGAAAGTTATACTGTACTGTACTTTGTATTTTTTTTTAACATGTACTGCTGCTTTTGTTGGCACAGCATACTTACTGAAACACTGTGACTATCAGAGTGACAAGTTGGCTCTGCTTTATATTCTAGATAATTAATTATCAAATTATCATCAGTATGTTGGTAATAAAATCTTCAGTTGTGTATAATCATAAGAAGCCTGAATATTGTGAGAGTGGGTATAAAGCTAAGTGCAAGTATTGTGCATCCATCATATCTGGGACAGGCAAGACTACATCCAACCTCCTCAAGCACATATGATGTTCATCAAAGGTAATGAGCAATTTAAGTGAAGGACTCTATACTAATATGGTGATATATGACTGCTGATCAGCTTAATAGTTAGGCACTTCCAGTTGTTATACTTAGAAATAGGTGCATTTACCTGCAATATGTGACTTTAAAGAAGGAAGATAGATCACATCAATTGTAGGAAAATTACCAGAAGCAATAGTTACAACCTCAAATGATAATCACCTTCAGAAATACAAGTTGATCAATGATTTTTGGTATGGCTTCACCTCTGGGCATTTATGTCTCACAAATCTATTGTCATTCTTTTCAACTGTTTTCAAATCAGTTGATGACAGACCCGATTATGATGTAGTTTACCTTGACTTCAGCCAAGCCTTCGACGGGATCCCCCACGAAAGATTAACATGTTAAGTGAAGGCTCATGGAATTAGAGGGGATATTCTAAATTGGATTAGGGCGTGGTTACAAGACAGGAAACAGTGTCAGCATTAATGGCACTTAATCCAATTGAGATTATGTCACTAGTGGAGTATCCCAAGGTTCAGTACTTGGACCAATACTATTCATTATATACATTAGTGACATAAAGGCATAGACAGCAACTTTAATATTCACTAACGTACAACATTAAATTAATTTCATGACAGTGATTATATACTGTTTCTTTTGTTTACCTAATTTGAAATTGTAGGAATTATGATTACAATTTTTTATGTAATTGTATTCACTGGGAAAAATACATACAATACTAAATATATTACCTTTGCTCATCTTTGTGGATGACCTCAGTCTCTGAGCAAAACTCTGTGGCCGATTAACTCTGGAGGTAGTAGGAGGTGGAGAAATGCGAGCCGACAGTGAGGAGACAACGGATCCTCGGGGGCCCTTGATGCCAGCAAGGGAAGACACGGTTGCCTGCTCCTCGCTGATGCTCAGACTATATTCATTACCCTTGTATTCACCCTCATGCAACTCTGTAAATGATGATAAAAATTAAGGGGCACCAAAATGTAAACAATGGAAGTGTCTAAATAAGTTTGGCTTAAAATCCAGTTTAACATTACTATATATGTTCCAAACTTCTGGCTATTAAAAAATAACTTCCTGTTTTATGTACAAATCCAAATAATAACTTTTTACAAAATTAGTCAGTACGTAGTCTATAAAGGTCATGAGGCCATCCTCCAATGATTAAATTGCTCATACTAGCACTCAGTAATCCTTCCTATATACTGTACAGTGTATATTTCAGCATCCCCTTACAAGTAATATCTTAATGTGTATGACAGTTTGGGATGGGACAACTGGCATTTTTCTGGGGTCTCCTTTCACCTCTCTCCATATACTGTACTGACAGGCACTGGGGGCTGACAGGTTGTACAATATTTTAGCTGCCTTAATGCAACCATTTATTACCGAGACTCTCCTCAGCAACACCCCTGGAGACGAACCATTACCCTACTTGTCAAATGTAACTATGGTGGGCCAAAGGTGCAGAAGTAGTTTCACAGCCAGACAAACTGAGATGCCGGACATACTATTAGACGAGCTTAAATGCCACTATAGCACTGAGTCTTAGACCATCTCTTCTACAGTAAAAGGTTGAGTAAAAGATCACATAACAACCTTGGACTAGTGCTACAAGACTGTGGGGGTATGACATCAACAGCACCAAGGGATGTGACATCATCACCAAGGGGTGTGACAACATCTCCAAGGCTGTGACATCATCACTAGGGAGAGTATCACCTACACAGTCCCTTCATGCCCTACAGGTGCAGGAGATAATCAAGTGAACTACCCTTGAGCCTCATGGTCCCACCTGAATATGATCCTTCCTTACGGTGTGATGGCAGATTTGTATCCTTGGTGCGTGTTGGTCTCTGCTCTCGGAGTCCCAACTGGGTTTCTCTTGCATTCTGGTACATGGAGCTGATTTGGTGCAGGAGTCGCAACAGTGGCATGTTAACCTGAAAATAAAAACCATATTACTTACTTCTCTATTTATCTACTCATTTGTGCCCAAGTAAATTATTCAAAACAAAAGCACGATAAACTGTAATCAAACTACCATAAATGATTTACAAACAGTTGTCACACTTGATGCTGAAACATTAACGAGTCAACCTCCTGCACAAATTTCTTCTTCACTGATTGTCATTCAAAATCACAGTCCCACAAAATATTTAGAATGAAACTGTTTCAGGACAATGTATTCTGCCCACAGTATATTAAGCTGTATTATAGCTTAATGGTTAACACCTTTGAACACATACTGTATTCTAATAACTAATGCCATTTTGGATATAAATTTCAGGTCCATATATATCAAGACAGTCTTGTGTTTGTATAACACTAATGGCTATTGCAGCAAGTGGGCTATTAATTTTCATTTCATATACATACTGTGTTTCTTTACCAATAAAAGTCAACATAGGTTGTACAGTACTACAGAAATTAAAAATAAAAGCCCAAAACCAAAACTAACCTAACCTACTTTAACTTATGCTACAACAAACAAGTCACAGAAAACTAACCTGCTGAGCAATGTAGTTAACATTGAGAGAAAAGTGGACCATGGTGGACGTGTGCTGCTTCAGTGCACTGCGTGATACAAACAGCGTTGGCTGTTGGCTCACCCATTCTCGCGAGTCATCTGCTACTTTGCTCACATCAATCTCGAGACCAACACGCTCACAGAGGAAGGCTGGAACCTCACTCCCAATGTCTAGGAAGAATTTACCTGCACACAGAATAAAAAGAAAGTATTGAAACAAAATTCTCATAATTTAAGCAACACACAGCACACTTAACTATCTTAACATATTATTTTTCTCATTGTCTTCTCAACAAACAGAAATATTGGCATCGAATTTATACTTGTCTCTTTATCTACAAATAAATAAACTAAACTGGCCACCACCACAACACAAGCTTCTGCTCTTAACATAACTTAAGACTCTAATTTGAGACACACTGTCTACCGTTAATTAAATTTTTCCTTGTACATACAGTACAGTACAGCACTGTACCTCTCCAAACTCACTCACAAAATTCATCAAAATCACTCAGCACATTTTTAGACTGTTCACATACCGTATACCTGTACATGAAAAACATAGTGATTAAAAATACCTAATTAATTATTTTCTTAAGTCTTAGTACTGTACATGTGTTTAACACTAAATACATTAGAATGAAGTTAAAAAAGAAAAAGACAGAATGTAACCTATATATTAACTAAAAAATATCCCAATGTAGCTTATTTTGTTTACACATCTTGAGGAAATAAAATTCTTTATATTGTACTTTTGAAACAGGGATATTGAAAATAAATAAAAATTGTTAACAAAATGCATGAACTGAAGCAAAAGAAAGAGTTTCTCCATGAACTCTAAGAGAGATGTAACTAATGTGGTGCAGCAGAGACAAATGTAGTACCATGTGATTGTTTTTTTATGGCAGGGGATAAGCAGGTAGGGTCATGCAAAACCTTTGTATTACTTCAGGTTTCACAAGAAATATTAAACCTTATCATCAGTTATGAGAGAAGATCCACGGTGTAGAGGGCAACACAATGGACTCACAACTTAAGGATGCACAAAATTATACCTGGGAGCTATATGCAGTAAGTAGTGCCACGTACTGAGGCATGCATAGAGCTTGTAATCTTGTAAAATATACAAAAAAGGTCTACTAATCAGTTTCTGCCTCATTCAGGAAACTACATAGTTTGCCTGGGTCAGGTTAGGTTCTAACCTATCCTTTCCATCACAAGACTTGAACTCTGATCACTAGACCTTGGTGTATACCTGCTGTCATCCACAGGTCATTTGTGAACCCTGGGAGCCAGAAGCAATAAGCATTGTCACTTGCTGAGGCATGTGCAGAGCTGGACACTCTGTTGTTCACATAAAAGTTATGGGGGGTTACAGGCTGGTTCATCCTTTTCTGAGTCTGAGATTGTCTCCACTGTTAACAGTGGTCATGTTACTGACATATCTTCATGAATTACAAACATTATGCTCTCTTGTTCAACACCAAAGTTAACAACAGACAATAAATTTAGGCTCCTATTCTATTGTGTATTTATTTTAACCAAGTCTAGGAACATATACTTGGTTCACTTTCTCCTAACCTAACCTGTAGACATTCACTTTATTGTGCACTGACATCACAGCATAAGTTTACACCTCATAAAATTTCTATATGTTGTCATCTTATCTCAAATTATCTCCCTTAGAACTAATGCACTGCCTTGATTTTAACCTATTGTGATAATTTTTGCCCTTTCTTCTTCTGATTTAGAGCATTAAATTGTATTGTGTTGATTTTAAACCTACATGTGTTGTCTTGACATATATTTTATTCCATTACATCAGATGTGTTAAGCCTACATGTCATCCAGTTAAGAAAACACCAAATACTTTATCTTGAGTTATACAAGCATGATAGCACCTTCTTCATCACAGATTTGCTGACCCTCTATGCCCGGGTCATTACAGCCATAGCACGTTTTCTTTTGTCATGGTTTAGTCGTCCTGAGAAGCTAAGAAAGCTAACATAACCATATTCCAGTTGTTCTTTGTAACAGTTTTCTCCACTCGTACTACGTGCATCTTGCTGTTTCTTCTTCTCATCTTATCTAAAGTATACAAGTTACATACTGTATTACTTTAAATCAGTTTCCCTCATTGAGTTCTAATCTTCAGCCAGACTTTCCCAACAGCTATAACCACATCCTCAACTGCTTATTGTAAAAAACAAATTTGTTCACAAACATACAAAAAAAAAAGTGGTAAATATACTGTCCTGTCTCAACCAGTCTGTGATATGTGATGCTAGACACAAATGGATGCTATTGTACCATTGCTTGCTTTATAACACTTTTCACTGTAGGAACCAAACTGTGAATATAGGCTAATTCTTCCCATTAAGTTTTTCACAAAGAACAAACCAAAATCACTAATCTAAAGACAATATTGTTTCCAGCCACTCCTCCATGCACTTGGCCCCACCTTCTTCTTCTCTATCTCATTACTTTTTATTCATCCCTGTCACATGACCCAAATAAAACAGCTCTGTCTTACTCCTTTTCACTTTAGTTTTATTCAGGTAATCATTCATCACTCTTTAAACACTTCCTAGATGACACCTCCTTGCTATCCTCACTCTGAGTTAAATAATATGGTACAGCCTTTTCTTTTTTAATTTAATTTTAAGGTTCATAATGAAGTCAATAAAATCTGACCATTGTTCTGCCTGGTTTGCGATGTTTCCCATGCGTAGCAGTCATGCTTGTGTGGTCAGAGAGCATAAAGTTATCATCGATGAGACTGACTGTGGTGCACTAGTACAGGTATCCCTTGTTTAATGATTGGGAAGCATTCCTGAAAAAACGATTAAGCAAAACGATCGCTAAATGAGGGTTAATGAGAAATAACTACGTAGCCAAGTCACCGCCTCGCCACCCAGTAGCACTCAAGAGTGGGTGAGGCTGTGCTGCGAGTTATATTATTGTTCAACTCGTAATATCGGGTAGATATACGCAATTTTATTAATTTCCTTTTACTCTGTTACATGCATGCATAATCGTTCATACAGAATGTGAATAAAAAAAACAAACAAATTATCATCAGGTCAAAAACATAAAGGTAATAAACATTTCTTAAGTACTCAGCAGTTATCCCACAAAGTGGGAAGGGAGAGTGGGAACTTGGAAGGGGAGGGATCTCTCAGCTGTTCTCTGCCTTGTGTCCCATGAAATGATTGCCAAACTGCACTGCAGTATTTTCTCATATATTTTATATACTGTATTATTATTATTTGTATTTATTATTACGGTATCATAACTATTATTATATATATTTATTCCTTGCGTTTACTGGTGCAGTATACAGTACATGCAACACACTTCAACCGGGCAGTCACCAAGCTGACTCAAACGATGTGTGTGGCTGCTGCCTGTATGCCATGACATCACATAGGGGGGGATGGAGAGTTTGGCTGACCGCAGTTACAGCCTCAATACATACGTTCACTTCCCACACATACACACCCATGCTCTTCATTTTTCTTATTTTACAGTTTTATAGTACAGTAAAGTCTCCGATAACAACAGTTCGACCTACAACTTTTCATATTTAAAACCTTAGTTAATTTAGGACCCAATTCAATTTACGTCCTTATTTCATTCGTATTTACGACTAAAATATAATAAAAATAAAATAAAATTACATTTTCATATAAATAATATCTAAATCCCAATATGTTTCAAAAAAAAAAAAATTACTGTAAAAAAAATGAAGAGCGCCTTGCGCAAAGAAGCTGCCTTGCTAATGAATGGTAAACAACAGTCGGAGCTTAGCGGGCCTTTTGTTTTCACGCATCAGGAACAGGAACTAGAGAAAAACTTTCTCAGGTTTCTTACAGCATTTTTACATCCCTACTCAACATGAGCAAGAAAGCAAGTGATGGTAGTGTTGTTTCAAAAGCTAATAGAAAGTGTCTAAGCTTGGCCGAGAAACTAGATGTGTTAAAACAATATGAAAAAGGTGAGAGGTCTGTGGATATTATATGGAGCAAGCAATGAACATTTTTCTGAAGTGGATCCATTTACAGAACAAAGAATAAAATTTAAATAAACGCAAATGACCTCGACATAAAGATGTATAATGAGAAAAGAAAGAAGCTGTGCAAGGTTCTTTTGACAGTTTTATTATTCGAAGGCCTAAACCATCAACTTCAGCTACACCATCAAATTCGGCATCATAAGCAGCTTCAACACCAACTTCAGGTTCAGTAACAGTTTCAGCAACAGCTTTATGGAAAGCTACAGCTTCAGCCAGAGTTGAACCTGATGACTTCGTCATCTGAGAAAAACTTGCACAATATTCATTGGCTGTCCTTATGTTTTAGACTTTACCACCATTGGTGAATAAAATTTTAGTTTTACATTCGTAAATATTATTTACAACATATATGAACAGTAAATAAGTGTTGCTTTCATATTCATATGTAGAGAAATGACGATATGTTTTCACATGTACGCACTTACTGTTCATAAGTTGGCGTTCCCAATCGCCTTGCCATATTTCTTTACCGTTAGTTGTTAGCTACTCTTAGTGTTCCATTTATTAACGCACATACAGGTATTCAATTTTTTTTAAATTAAGTTCACTACAGCTACAACCAGGGTTGTAGAACCATCGTTCCCAATCTTGTGTGTTTTAATATTCTACTTATTATTGATGAATTGCATTGTTCATTTCACTTTTCTTTCAAATTCCAGTAATTTAGTTGTAAGATAAAGCTATGTTTCCTCATGTATACATTGGGTGTTCCATTTATTAACGTATTAATGAATTGTATTGTTAAATACAGTATAAACATTAATTCAATCAAATACATATTCAGTTACTTAAAACAGTATTCCTAAGATAAATGATGCGGTATCCTTAAATGCGCACATATTTGTTGGCGTTCCCAATATTGCCATTAGTGGTGAGCTACCTCGATTTTTTATTATCATTAAATAACGTTACTTAAAACATATATATTAATTTTTTACATTAAATTTATAACAGCTACAGCCAGGGTCTTATTTTCTTCATTTTCTTGTGTAAAACTATCGTCCAGGACTCCCAGCTGTAAACACAAACGAAAACAATGGAGTCCCATCTCCTCTTGTGTGACCATATTATAATTCATTTATATTGTATAAGGTGCATTCAGAAACATTATTTAAAGAATATAGTTTGCACTTTTCATTAATTGTATTGTTTTGGGGGGAAAAGAGGGTAAAAAGCCACACAATAGATATGAAAAGGTCACACTTGGGAAAGCATCTCATTATTATTGCTTTATTTTAATGGTAATTAATGATTCGCGATAAGACGATTCACCTTATACTGCAATATTGGAGGACACATTATGTCGTTATTCGAGGCTTTACTGTATACAGTCTCTCCTCGACTTACGACATATTCGACTTATGACGGCCATGGTCATATAAAAAATTTTCACATTACGTATTTTCGAGTCCCAACGTTAGTGATCGCGCTGTGTACTGACAAAATTTTCGTTTGTAATTCCCTTTAAAATGGCTGGCAAGCATAAAAGTGAGAGTTCTCGTGGTGCTGAGAAGAAAAAGAGACACCCATTGTAGAATTTCTATGTACTATTTTCGCCTTTTCGATTTACGACCAATTCGACTTACGACCTGGTCTTCGGGACGGAACCCCTTCGTAAGTCGAGGAGAGATTGTACTATAAAACTGTAAAATACCGTACTGTACCGTATACTGTATACAGTATTGTAATGATGCACACTTTGACCACAGAATCCCCAGTTTTTCCAACTTCCCTTACGAATTTTTCCAAGTGAGTCAAATATCGCTAAACCGAAAATTGACGATTGTTAAATGAGAAAGGGTGTTAAAAATTTTGAATCGCTAAGTGAATGATTGTTAAACGAGGGATACCTGTAAGCTGAGAGTTGGAGAAGGAGTTGATGGGAGAGGCAAGCAGGTCAGTCCATCACCATTACTTGACCCCAACCCTCTACCTACCGGGAGCATCACTGCTGTCCCCTGAGGTGCCGACTGTGTTACCTGGGTGCAGCCCCGTTTTTCTCTTCTTGCGATTTTGTTTGGATGCCTCTGACTCTATGATGTCGACACGGAGGGTCTCCACGCTTCCTGTGATGGACACGTTGGATCCTAGCTGCTCCAGAGCTCCACCAGTCACCTGTTGTTAGAATGAATTGTTCAGCAGCAATAGCCTAATTCTACTGACTTACACATGAACAATCTTCTATTCAGCATAACTCCTAAACAGTAAATTCAATCAGCCCTAAATGAGAGAGGCAACAGCTAACACAATAGTTAACACAAGCAAAAATTTACACACTTCTACCTTTATTAGCCACAGAAAAGATCCATAAAAAAATATTCAAACATACAAGATACAACATAACAGTTACATCACTACATCTTTAACTCAGGGGGATGAAAAATATATATTCCAGAAGCCTCAAAGTATCATATTAAACACTATTCTCAAGATAAAATAGAACATTTCTATTACTCTAGTATAACATAACTAACCTATAACGAGTTAGTTCAATCAGCCCTAAATGAGTATTAGGCAACAGCTAACACAATAGGGCACTTGGAGAGCCCCTGAAAAGAAAAATATTCAAACATACAAGATACAACATAACAGTTACATCACTACATCTTTAACTCAGGGGGATGAAAAATATATATTCCAGAAGCCTCAAAGTATCATATTAAACACTATTCTCAAGATAAAATAGAACATTTCATGAGATTTAATTAATTATATGAGTTTTTATGAAAGGTTAATGTTGTGTATTACTCCAAAACAGAACTATGTGGTATAACAGTGTGGAGATGTTCTAACCTGTTGAGTGATAACCCCGATGGCTGAGAGTAGTGGCTCAAAGATAACGTGGGCTTCCAAAAAGTGGGCACTTTGTGGTGGCTCAAGTACTGTGTTGGGGTCTCTGATGGGGGGGTATTCCCGCCGCTCACTGCCACCCTCACTCATGGCATGCAGGCCCTCACCCTGCTGTTAACACAATATTTTGGTCTCATTAATATCTTAATATGTACATCTATGGTCATTATCATATCTAAAATTACAAGTTAAATCTTTAACATCAATCTATTAATTTGCTATTTACAAAACTTATAAGAGAATCCTTCAGGCACAATATCCTTATTAACTTAAGCTCACTGCACTTTTCAATGTACTGTATTAATCTGCATGTACACATCTCTATACAGCAGCACATCTTTCAATTTACACTTTTACATCTCTCATATACAATGTTAATGATTTTATACCATCTTTGGTTTCAACATTTTTCTAGGACTTCAGGCAGTGTCCAGATTAGACCACAGGGTGGCCAGAATTAAGGAAGATCATTTTCATGTGTCATCATCTTCATGTATGTGTCCATCAATCTTAGTCAGACTAGTGGTACAAGTGTGTGGGATAACACAGAGACACAGTACCTTAGGAAAAGTGACAGTGGGTCTGGTGGCATCTGTGGTGTGGGCGTACTCCTGCTGGCGCACCATCCAGTTGTACAAATTTTCATGATCTTTTTCACAATTAACAGTGGGAGGTCGTCCAGGGGTGGCCAGACCGGAACCTCCTCCACCGTCCAGGCTGGATGATGAAACGTGATCTGAGCCAGAGCTCCTGCTGCCACCACTACGGTTGTCACCAGCTTGTCCACCGCGGGAAGGCTGGCCTCCACGTAGAAAGGCTAAGTGTCCACCAATACCCGTGCCAATTTTGGGAAACTGGAACCTGTGGTTTGGAAGACAACAAATTCTTTTCAGTGTGGAATATGTATTGTATTAATATATAGGTCCTGAAATTAAGTACTAATGTGTTTCCTTAAGTTATAAATTTTGTGGGGATTTTTAACAAACCCCAAAACTCTTCATTACCTAATAGTATTAATAAATAAACACGGTAAACTTTACATACATTTTAAAGAATAGGATCAAGTAACTAACCGACAATAATCTGTCAAGTTTTATAAAATCTCAAGTAAATTTTCTAAAATAAAAAATAACACTAATAACAACTTTTGATGTGTTTCCTACATGTTCTAAATGTACTAAACGTATTTATTTTCAAAGAAACACATTTGTTTCCATACCCAACATCCATTACAGAAATTTTGCCAGTGTTGTGGCATGTTCACAGAGCCATCAAGAGTCCATTATATGGATGACTGATTATACTGAGTTATCCTGCACCTGTGGATCCATCCTGAGGTCCATGAGAGAGAGGCACATAGCCTCTTAACGACTTAAGTCTTAACTTTATAAATAAGGAAACAAAACCCAGGATGATGGATCATAAGTGTTAAAGACAACACTCACAAGGCTGGATCTTGAAGAAGTGTATGAAGAAAAAAGAAATTTGTTGCAAAGTTATACATACAGTAAATGAAAACCAGGAAATTTTTACCCAAATTAGAAAGGTAGAATTTACAACAACAAACAATGCTTAAGGAAGTATACTTGGACCATGTTGCACTCACCTCGCTGGGGACTCAAAATTGGTGTTGAAGATGGGCAAGATGACTGATGCTCTGGATGACCGAGGGGGATAAGATGGAAGAGAGCGTCGAGGAGGAAGCTGAGTAGACTCTGAGCTCATTATACCATCGGTCACATCCTCTACACCATTGGTGACACTGCCATCTGATTCTTACAGAGAACACAGTTTTATTTTAAAAATAATCCAATATCTGTACATATATACTTAATGATATCCTACAAAGCACATCTCAACTCATATCATGTATTTCACTGACAAACTTACTATAATTATTTCCTTTTCTTTAATATTTCAAGGCTTTTCCTGTGTAATGTAGGGTGGCCAAATATATGGACAAACACATACAAATATTTTCCCTTCATTTATTTTCATTTATCCAGATTAACTGTTGAAAATGATGTGTTCTGCTATGGTAATACCCATTCACAACAAGGCCCTACATCTGGTTAACCTGTGACACATTAGCATCACACATGGGTAGTACGACCTTTCCTAGAAATAATTTTATTACAGGGGCAATTCTTTTTTAATTTAGATTTATAGCTGAAATACTGTCTTCTTCAATTAAAAACATTAATACAGCGTGCTCTTAAAATTCGCGGAGGTTAGGTTCTCAAAATGGCCGCAAATAACATTTGCTGACGGGAGAGGGGGTTACATTCTTACCCGTACGCAAAGAAATGTATATTCCCTTTACGTGCTTGGCCTTAGGACAATTATTTCTTTTACCTGTTAATAACTAAGAACGGAGCTGACTTGAGGGTAGACTCACCTTTTTAATACATTTTGTGTCTTGTTTTTGATTATTTGTGAGAGGATTTTCCCATTATTATGTATTTGTATGTGTTTTGTGTGTGTCTATGTGTGTGTGTGTGTCTACACACACACACATACACATACAATATATACAATACAGGTAAAAGAAATTACTGTCTCTAGAACGAATGGCTCCCTGTCCCGGCCGCAAAATTGCCAGCAACTTTAAAACTACCCTTAGCCATTCTTGGGTACATCCAGGGTGTCATCCGCAAATAATCGAGGTCAGCGAATTAAAAATCTGCGAATTGTCAGGGCATGCTGTACAGTATTTTCTCAATTTAATGAACTAATTCGAGCCACCCCTTTCTGTTAAATCAAAATTTCCGCTAAATTGAACTTTCCGTTACTTTCGCTCGATTACGAACTAGTTAGCTAAATCGAGCTTAATTCCATTAAATTCTGGAGCCTGGGATTTGTTTACATCCGCTCAGTCTGTGTCCTGCCGCCACAGCGTGTGTTGTTTACTGCTACCTCTCGGTCCACATCTCGGTCAACTAACTACTGTGCTTAGACATCATGCCAAAAGTCTCTCAGAAGTCTCAGAAAGGAAGTGGTGTGGGGGAGAAAGTCATGAGTGTGGCTATCAATTGAAAAAAAGTTTGGAAATTATAGACAAAATTTATAACAATCACTGAACCCCCAAGTTTAAGGCAAGTCATGAATAATGTTTCTACGTATATATCATGTGTCTGAGGTGTCTCCGTAGGTCTGAGCGTATTAATGGAATAAATCTTGAATTAGCAAACTCGTTCACTAAATCGGAAAAATTCATTACGCTAAATCGAGTTCGTTATATCGGATTCTGTTAAATCGAGAGTATACTGTACTGAAAGTGCATCCATCTGAAAAATAAGAACAGACATTAACTAATTATGTTTTCTTCTTATCATAACTCTTGCTCAGGGAATTCTTCAAGTTACAACACAGCAATACATATCAACTTACTCATCCTTTTGCTGCTGTCACATACAGTATAAACTTAGTGACTCGCCTATTGTGACTACTATAATGTAATGTAAACTTTCAATCATCTGGTTTACATTCACTCTCACTCTTACACATATATACAGAAAGTGGATCCTATAAACCTGATGGCTTATTATGGGCAATGTAGGAGGCACCACACTTGACACCTCACTTCCCAACTGTATCGTGTTCATAGCAAGAGAAACACAAAAAGAGAGAGAGAACAAAAATTAAGTGTTGAGTGGCCAAGAATTGTACAATACCTACCACAACCAGCTCGGGAGTTGAGTGACCCTCCCTCTGCCTCCAAAAGTGTTGTCTTCTCGTCTGTCACTTCATTGGGTATCACGTTAGGATCAAATCTGGGAGTTGTACGACCTTCAGGAACCGTGTTTGGCCTGTTGAAAATGGTCACATGGAATACACCAATAAACAGTGTTGACAGAGTGAGATATTTACACATCAAGAAGCTTGGCACACATAATTGACAAAACTGAAGATAGAATAAATGAAAAATTGAAAGAAACCACTTGAGTTTTCCCCTAACCCCTCTTTTGACCTCTGACCTTTATCTCTAACCCCTCTTTTGACCTGACCTGTGATTGACCTACATAGCTTTAAATTTCTCACTGGCAGAACCAATCCTGTTAACTGAATTAATCTGTGTATACTAATCTTAACTTTGACTAGTCTTCCAACATTCTCATTAATCAACAGAATACGCTGCTTTATTCATGAACACACAAAAACTATGTCGATTAAGACATTTTATAAACTAACCTTATAAAACTGTTAAACACTGGAGACAACACAAGTACTGTACCTATATGTGTATGTGGGACGGGTCTGTTTGTTCCTGAATGTCTGTTCCATGAGCAATGGCATATACAAGGCATTCTTCCACTGGCGACTCAGCACAACAACTCCCTGCAGGTGGGAAAGGGGATCAATCGATGAAGTAATAAAAGTTATCTATAGATATATATCCAACACATCAACATCCACTGACTAAAAAGGTGGCTACAGGTGTATCTATGCTCCACCCTAAAGTATCTGAGATGTGGCACTGGAAGTATTATTTCTACACAAGTTAAATCACCTGTTATTTGCACAACTGTGACAACAAAAATATGTTAATAAAAATCTTACACATGCATAAAATGATTCCATATTGATAATCTCATAATCTTCTACCAGACTCTGTACATGGAAGATGGTTCCTTACTGCCTGGATGATACTAAGCTTTGCATTACAAAGTACTTACCTGTCTCAATGTAGCAAGTTTAGGTAGATGTGGTGGGATGAGGTTCCCCTCGATGGTGCGAGGAGATGACTGTAACACGTAGCGACGCAGAACAGTGCACAGCTGGCATGAGGGATCCTCCTGAAGGGTCTGGCTCAGTGGCATCAGCTTCTCATACTTGTTCTGGTGAGTTTACCCAAATATAAATAACCTTTTCATACTCATAAGTAGGAGGTCTGCTGCTTGTAGCTTTGATATGTTATGCAAAACTAGACAATCAATGATGATGGTGTTTGTCTCTGTCAAACCTTCTACGTTAAACAGAAGCCATATAAATGGCAAATATTCTCAGAAAAAATTATTGAACTCACCCAAAATATCATTGACAGAAATTGCATATCCAAATACATTTTGATCTGTCAATCTAGGGTATACATTTCCAGAACTTCATATAACTGATATTGATGAAAAAATGGTCACCTTGACAGGAACATGGAGGCTCTGTACGTCCAGTGCCTCAGCCATTAGGGACGCCATGACACCCAGCCTGCGACTCTCTGAAGCATGGAGGAACTGGATGACAGCCACCGTAAGCCTATCACTTGGATTCATCCACGCATTGATGGAGGGCGATGCTGTGCTCAGTAGGTTCCAGTCCAGCCTGAAGTGTAGAGGTTTTAAGAATTAGGAAACAGTGTAAACAAGGAGGCCAAGTACAGTACTGGTCGTATAATTACTGTGTTAGTGTGAGCTGGGCCCAGGTGTAATGCTGAATAATAGTCTTGCAAGGGAGGGTGAGTCAATCATATTCAAAGCACATACACAGCAGGATTTTTGTAAAGTGAAACAGATACACATTGTTATTCTTCAAAACACTCAACCTCCCTCCAATTCCGTAATTCTCACAATACTCACTTCACAAACTAGGCATCTAACACTTCTTTTAATAAATGATGTAACCTATCTACAGAGAAGTTTGTAGGGATGCAGGTATTAATAGCTTATTTATAATTTCTTTGATCCTCTTCTAAAATTTCTAAACTTCACCTTTATCTTTATTCTACAGCTTGTACAGTTTTGTTTTCCCATACCTGGTGTAGTCAATCTTCTTGGTGATGGGTGTGTGAGGCGGAGCAGCAAAGTTAAACCAGACGGTCCTCAGCTCTACCATGAAAGATGTTATGTCCCTCTTGTCGCTCTTCATCTGCAACGAACATTACAGTATTGTATACATCGAAAGAAAATATTTTCCACATCAAATAAAGTGATCAGCCTACTTCATTACCAACACACCCTCATCTACACAGGCACAGTAATGCTCCTCACAGATGACTTGTCTTTACACACCTTCCCATGCCTTCAAGATTGCTTATTAAAGAACCCAAAGAGCATTTACAAATCAGTCCACACTTCTAGCAACTGATCCTCATGTGAAATCATAGACAGAGCAAGAGAATATAAGTTCAGGTATCCTTAACAGTTTGCATCAATCCCCAGATGGATGAAGGCCTCTCCCCTTAATGCTTCACTGGATGACAGTCTATATCATGTTTCCACAACCATCTACCTTGAGTCTCTGCCCACTGAATGACACCATATTTCCTGGTTTCTTCCTTCATCGGGTAGTAGAGGCATATCTTACCCCTTGTATTATCTTGATCCTTGTAAATCACCTGAGATGTATGACAAGCCAATGGAAGTCATGTCGGATATTAATGAAACACCATATTTCTAATTGGGCTACAAATCTGTGGGTGCTGGATTGATTAATCACTACACCATAACATTCAATGAATATATGATATTTAATTTATTAAAATCTATTCCTTTAGCTGGCATCTGTGATTACATCCCTGAGTGAGTTCATGGATAAAATGAAATTGTGAGAACATCCAAAAACTTTGTATATCATACAACACTAATGGATTATAAGACCATAATAAGTGAACCAATCTGACTATTTAACACCTTCAGCTTACCTGCATGATTGGGAGGTCCTTGGTACTATCATTGGCTGATGAAATGGAGTGAGCCACTCCTGAGTGGCTTGACATGTTAGACATTTGAGACACTGAGGCAGAACACAGACGGTCAGACAGTTCCCGGCGGGATTCGGGACCAGTCCTCGGAGGTTCCATAGAAGCCGTACCAGGAGCTGAGCCACAACTGGGGCCGGCTCCACTGCCTGCTGACGGCACGGCACAGTTGTTCCCAATTGGTGCATTAACATCGTGTCTTCCGCTTCCTTCTGCCTGTTGCCCAAAGCCTTTCCGTTTCACCGCCCTGGTGAACACACAGTTGAATATTAATGTATAGTAAATCTTTAAAGTTTGGTCCCCTATATTTCCTCTCTCTTTTACCATCAACCCTTCCTGCTATGATGCAGTGTGGGTGTGGCCTGTGTCAAAGTTAACATACATACTGTCCTCATATTTGCTGTCACTCACTGTTTCTGATAACTTTATCTGACATGTGAGCCCACAAGATATATAGTACTCATGATATACATCTCACTGGATAAGTTAAAAATGTGTTACAGTGAGTACTGTACACGTTAAATGGCACAAGAATTTGGTGAAGATGCATGTGACAATAATACTGACTTTAGCAAAACAAATGAACACTTAAGTGGAATAAAGAAAAACACATACCGCAGAGCAACATTTTCCAGGCCAGCCTCACACATAATGAAACCCATGCGATCATCTTCCATGACAGGAGTCCCACTGGCACCACCATTATCACCGTCCTCTCCACGTGCACACCGCCTGAACCCAAACAGTACCTGGAGGACACAAAAGCTGTGGTTATGAAAACATTTTAAACTGGGATAGATTGGATTAAGTTAAGTTAATGTAAGGTTGAATTTTTATTCTTACAACACAGTTGGTCTATGAAAAATGTCCATTGTCTATACAGGTACTCAGCATTCAAACTGGGTATATATTAACATAACAGTAAAAAACTAATACCCTTTACGCTATTCCCCACAAATTGTGGAAAAAAGACAAAACTGGTTAGCTTAGCCCACGATACTGATGTGGCTGGTGGGCAGCTTAGCAGAACTAAACCTTTGTCTCATTGGTTTGGAGCCCCAAGCAATACTAACTCAGCCAGTGGTGAAAGGTGAGTAGGTGGTGTATACATACTGTATGTGACAACACAAGAGGTCTCAAAATAATGCACCATCCAGCAGGTCACCTAAATACCTGTACACCTACATTACTGTACCTACATCACATCAAGCTACTCTGCTGCTTCACATACAGTATACATATGGTCAAATATTTATTATCTCATATGCAGCGAGAACAAATATAGATGAACAGTACTACAGTCAGTGCTCGAAAGTCCACACAATTTGGAGGGAAGGGGGTCCAGACTTGCTGATTGTCTGGACTATTACCAATTTGGGGGGATTTCTAGAGGCCACTGTACACTAAGCAGCCACTAATTAGCCCCCACCCCAGCAACCCTTAAATTTATATTTTAATGTGCAGTAAATATCATGTGTGTTTCCTTATATATATATATATATATATATATATATATATATATATATATATATATATATATATATATATATATATATATATATATATATATATATATATATATATATATATATATATATATATATAAAAGTAACTGTTACAATCTAAACTATGATCATTGTGTTCTTGTTGTGGAAGCTGAGAGTTGACATTTATTCTATCAATATATCTTTTGCAGGTGCTGCATTACCCACCTTAGACCTGTGGTTGGGTATGGCTGTAACACTTGCATCCTTGAGCAGTGCACTCTCATTCTTGAGACGTCTTAGCTGAACGTGCATCTTGTTCACATCAACTGACACCATATTTTCTTCCTGTTGCCGCTCCGAGGTTTCAATGTACACGGGCTCTGCCAACAAGTCCACCGCCTGTCTGGCCTTGGACTTGCTCTTGAGGTGATTAACATATCTTTATTAACAACAGTTAGTTAATCAAAATAAAACAAAACACAACTTATAAAACTGGGAGTCAATTACATCATGTGAAGGTCATTCACCATGGTTGGATTCACATCAGGTAGTCCACAAAATTTGGGGATATTGAACTACATTAGTTGCAATGACAATTGTGAGTGAAAACAAACTACAAACATGAATACACCAATACAAAATGAGTGACGACAAGACTCCTTGGACCAACTTACTGAGGGGTAAAAAATGAGGTGATATTGGTCCCTTAGAAGCTGAAGCAACACTTATCACAGCACACAATTATGAAGACTCACCTTCTTCTGCATGACGGGGTCATGTGGGTTCCTCATGTACATCTGTACGGACTTCTTGGACTGGTGACCAGAATAAAATTGAAGAGTCACACTATCAAGGCTCACAGAGAAGAGAGAAACACAGGTGAGATCTCGAATATTATCCAGTGCAGAGAATGAGATCACCTCCTCCACCACTGATGCCTGAAGCAGGGTGATATTTATCTGAAATGAATGAAAAATTATAAGAAATAATCTGGGATGAGCTCAAAGAAAAGTGTGAAGACTGAATATATATATATATACAAGAGTTTCAGAGTGTCCCAAGTGTTTTAGGGTGTCCAAAATGTGTATGAAGATGTCCTAAGTGTGTTTGAGAGTTGTAAGTGTGTTTGAGAGTTGTTCTATGTGTGTTTGAGAGTTGTTCTAAGTGTGTTTGAGAGTTGTTCTAAGTGTGTTTGAGAGTTGTTCTAAGTGTGTTTGAGAGTTGTCCTAAGTGTGTTTGAGAGTTGTCCTAAGTGTGTTTCAGGAGTACAATACAGTAAGTGCACTTCAGGGTTGCTATGGAGTAGAGAGATGTGTGTGTCCAGCCATCAATATAATGCATGGAAGATGTACAATATACTGTATAGTGTATGATGCACACTTTTGTATAATACTAAACACATTTTATTTTTGAAAACACATACAGCAACTCTTAACATTTTTCTTATTTCACAACAACCATTTGTTAATGGTCTAATTACTTAACATCTAAAATTAGATTCTCAAACTTTAGAATACACCTTGTGTAAGTTAGTGTAAAATGTTTTCCTGCCTCAAAGGAACCAATTTATTGGGAGAAGAGGAAGCGGCTCACAAAGAACGATCAAACTATCAAGTGATCATTATCACCATTTTCTATGCTTGCATGGGCATAATATAAATCTCAAATCTGTTTCTGAGTCACACCAAGCAAACCCTCCCATCTTGCCTCACTACTACAATATAAAATGCACAAATTGATAACTGCAAATGAATGGCAATATATATATATATGGTAGTCATGTGCATGAGAGCATAGTGGGGCTTGTTACAGATATTATGTACACTCTTGTAAAATATGTTCAACATCTTAGACAAGTACATCTCTCAAGAAAGAAAATCAGTTGCCAAATAGTCAATTCTTAGGTCCAAGTATGATACTCTGCTAGTCTGTATAAAACCAATTTAGCTTAGGACATGACCCTGTACTGTAAACATTTCACACAGTAAAGCTCCTCTAATACTGTCTGGTAACTGGATCAAACTCATATCTCCAGACTTTGGATTCCAAGGTGTTACCAATGTAGCCTTAATGTCTCAAGTATGTGACGAATGTTATTACCAATATAATTCTGGCACCTTCAATATCTACATGACAAGTAATAACAATGTAGTTCTGGCAAGCTTAATACAGTCAACCCTCGCTTTACGCGGTCCCACTTTACGTGGTCCCACTTTACGCGGTACCCTGCCGAAACTGGAATGCTCACTTTCCGCGGTGTGTGTACCCTTTTACGCGGAGAGCGACGCGAGCAGGGTGCGCACAAGGTCGCCCAGTCATCAAAACATTACCGAGTTCTTCACCCACCACCCACCACAGCCGGCCCAAGTCAGTGATAATGATAGTGAGGATATGGACTTATATGGACTTTGAGGGGCTTGACAAAGAGGCCCTGCAAGCCTCTGTGGTGGATAGTGATACAATTAATACAGGTGAGGACCAATAATCTGCCCTCTGCCTCGGAACCAACCCCCCATCCCCGTGTGCCCAGCCATCTTTTCTACTAATGTAAGTGTTAAAAAACCTAATACAGGTTGACACTCCCTTATCCGAAATCCTTGGGGCCAGAGGCATTTCCGATTTCGGAATTTTTCGGTTTTCAGATTTTTTTTTTTTTTTTTTAGCCCACCCGGGCACAAGTCACTGACCCCCATTGGGGCCTGGGAGGCGAAAATATAATAATAATTATAATAATAATAATTATAATAATTCATAGGCTCTAGGTCGTGTTTCTCACTTTTTATCTTTTTTCATTCTTGTATTTCTTTATTATCACAGTATTATTAATATTTTATTAATACAGTATTGTTGTTGTTATTATTATTATTATAAATTGTATTATATTTTATTATTATTATTATTATTATTATTGTTATCATTATTATTTTATTTTGGTGTATTTTTTTAATTAAAAATTATATTTACTATGAATAATTATTATTATAATTAGTATTATTATTATATTGTAATTAGTATTACTATTACTTTTCGCCCCCCAGGCCCCGATGTGGGTCAGTGATCTATGCCTGGGTGGGCTAATCCCGGTTTAAAAAAAAAAATTAAAAAAATTGCTCCACCAAAAAAGTTTCGGTTTTCGGAATTTCGGATAAAGGGTTGTCAACCTGTATTATTGATATTTCTCTTAATTATTAATTGTGTGTGCATACCATCATAAAATTAATAAGTTATTTTTACTACAACGTAGGTATTGCGTCTGAAAAAGTGGAGTTTGGGGGCGGCCCGGTCTCTATCTCAATTAATCCCATATGTTATGTTGTTCACTTTACGCGGGCCGCCGTGGGTTCAATTGACCGCGTAAAGTGAGGGTTCACTGTATCTACCTGGCACTTATAAGGAGAGTTTCAATACATATGGGTATATATCTCACCCTGGGCACTGTGACCTGCCCCTGCATCTGCTGGAAACAGCTCTCCTGGTATGTTGTGCTCAGCACTGCTGACTGTTCTGGTGTTCCAGCCACCTTCTTGTCCCTCAGTCGAGACCAGTACATGTAACGCTTCTTCTTCAGTGTGTTCTGGCCAGCGACGGTGGACAGAGACCTCATGTGGGCTTGGTTGATGATGGAGAGTGGATGAAGGCTCTCAAGAACTGGAGTTAGTGCCTGGAATGAAAGAAACCACATGATAATTTTTCTTGTTAATATTTTATCTTTAGTTATAAGCACATAGACAAGTACTGTAGATACTTAGGGAGACTAAGTGCCCCACACAGCAGAATAACACCCCAGTAATCCTGCTTAGCTAAGGGATTACCTGAGGCCTCAAGAGTTGGGAGGTCTTTCCACCTGAGTTATAGTCTTGGAAATTATAGTTTCATCAAATTCCTTCAATATAATTATTTCTACACCTTACCTCAAGGAAGAGCTGTGCAGACTCCAGGGCCATTGGAGAAAGCATGATGTCCACGTCTTTCTTCAGCTTGATGACAACAGTAGTGCGAGTTGTGTTAGAGTCACACACACCTCCCACAACATCCTGTAACTAGTTATTCATGATGAAAAAGATAAATTTTTCAATAATAAAACATTTATTTCCACATTATGAATAAGAAACATCCAACTATGTCTTCAGCTTTAGTGGTAAAATGAGACATTAAAAACAACTAATATAACCAATATTCTAAAAAAAATAAAAAATATTTCTAACCACTAACAGCCAGACACACCTGTGAATCTTCATGACTCTGTTCCTCCTGTGCATCACCCCAAGTGAATATGGGCGTATCCCAGGTGTAGGGATGTGACGGGGTGCGTCCAGACGGTGGGGGAGGCGATCGAGGCGGACCGTGCCTCCCACCCTCAACCATCCGTATTGCTGTGAACCCTTCACTTATCTTTTCAAACATAGGCGTGTGGATTTCTTGAGGTTTACTAGGGCTTGACTGGAAGCTGGGCACCGAGGCATCCCAATTGAGGCAACGCAGCTGGGGGAAACAACCAGAGTCAAGCACTGTGTTGTAGCAGGTTGAATGTGTCAAGATACATTCCTCTCACACACACACGCAAGAACGCACGCACGCACACACACTGTGAGGGAATTACTACACCATGTGAGGCCCCCTCATAACACCATCTGTGAGGGAACTACTACACCACGTGAGGTCCCTCCTAACACCATCTGGGAGGGAACTACTACACCACGTGAGGTCCCTCATAACACCATCTGTGAGGGAACTACTACACCACGTGAGGTCCCTCCTAACACCATCTGGGAGGGAGTTACTACACTACGAGTTTGCTGTTCAACACCTACATTAATCTGTATGTTCACTGTTTGTTCCTTTACCTTTCTCTAATGAAGGCTTTTGTTAAACCACCAATGTATGCAATAAGTCATTTATGTCCAATGTATATTTTCAGCCTTCGGGCTGCAGAATTTTTTCAATAAACCGTCAATTATTATTACACACACACACAAAAACTCTTCCAATCTTATAGTTCTCAGTCCCCTCATTCAGAATATAAAACTTAAGGTTAAATGTTGGTAAATGAGAGAGATGTCAATGATAAACAGACATATCTCATCAATGGATGAAAGTGCTTTGTGGGAAACAAGATTTTTTTTTTTTTAAACGGGGAATAGCCCACCCTGGCACAGGTCATCAACCCACAACAGGACCTACGGGGCGAAAAAATAAGACCTCTTATACTCTTGTACCACAGAGTGATGCTTAAAACACAGTCCCTCTAACCCAGGTTTTGAATCTATGAAAATACAAGCAAGAGTGTAGAGCAGGAGAGAAGGCAATTTTGATTTGGATTATTTGTGGTGAGTTACACCATTTTATCTACACTGCTGTTGTGTTACTCAGTACCACATGAGGCGTTAAGCAACAATCCCGAACTCGCCATGGTTCCAAAATTCCATTTTCTATGGTACCAGAATAGTCTCCCCTTTCTGAGAATGTGAGACTGACAGCTAGTTGAGTGTTAGGCATTGTCATCCTGAAAATGGCACTATTTTACAAGGGTAGCAGCCCACCCAGTTTCAGCTAAAGTTGCGAGTCAGCTGTCCGAGCAGTAACCCCAAACCTACAACACCCCACAAGTAGTGAATTAGCTGCAATTAATTTGTACTGTATTTATTATTATGCTATGTAAAACCCATTATTGTACTGGATCAATATTTTGTTTTGACTCATTTCAATTTTTTTTTTAAATTTCTACCAACTAAATCCATTTTTCATCATTATTCCCAAACCTTACAATCAATTGGGCAGTTTGTCTTATTTGTTAATGAAATAATTACTATCTTTCATAAATCTGATACAGGAGTGTGGTACTCAGGAGGGTTGTAGTTTCCATAATTGTTTACCTTTAGAGCAACTTTTTCTGAGACCATAACCATTGTTTTCTAACTATTATTGGTGATGTTAGGGCAAAAACCAGGTTTTAAAACTTTATTGCTCATTATCTAAGTTTTTGTTTTTGGTGAGTTCAAGGTTGTTGCATAGAACACCTCCTGGCACATTGTACCATTTGTCTGACTGCCTCTAATCTTTGTTATGTCATGGACAACAAAGGAGAGTAAACACATATGGACCTAAGACAAAATTGATAGAGTTGTATAGGTAAACACTTGAACCATCATTACTTGAATTATTTAGGTTTCCCTTCTAAAGGTAGGAAACAACTTTAAGAATACAGAGATCACTTATCTGAGGACCTATACTGTATACATTTATACACAAGTTGATTTGTTCATATTATACCTGAGTCATGTGGTTGATGTAAGATGACATGAGCAGGGGAGACTCTGTGATGGGTTTGTTTAGCTGCATGTGCAGGTCCACCAAGGCAATATCTTCCTGGGATGACACAGCCGAAATAAATGAGGTACTGGACACACTCCCTACTTCTGAGCTGCTGTCTCCACTACAGTCCAGAGATGCCTGCAAGTTTGGAGAATTTATTTACCATATACAAGGCCAACCATTTAGCTAAGAAATGATTCAAGTGCTTCTTCAGAGTAGTATCTCTCAGATGAAGGATTAGTTATGTTAGGTGAGATGGTGAACTTAGTCAAGAACATCAAGCATCACACCCAGCCAAGCTTGTCTCAACTCTAGACTGAAGGAATGAATGATTCTATGCCTGGTGCCTACAGGTAGTTTATAAAGTTATGGTGCAGTTGATGCACTAGCTTTTTGTATAAATCCACATTGGTCATAAATATCTACACAAATTGGGGAAAGATCTACCTTTCCTATTTCAACCTATCTGTTGTGCTCTCACTGAGGACGGATTTGTAAATTTTCACTGTAAAAGACAAGATCACAGTGTAGGGTAACAGGGCATATCTTCACTTAAGTCCTTCTTCAATTACTGTACCTGAATCCTATCCGCTTTCTTCCAGGCTCTAGTGGGACGATCACACTCCCATAATCTGGAAGACTCTGACCCAACAGAGTGTATCAGTGATGCCTGACTGTGGTCTAGACACGGACTCTGTCCACTACTACTGCAGCTACTGTTGCTTCTGGCACTGTCATGTCTGGTTCTGCTGTGAGAGCTTGGGCGGCGTCTGCGTCCTTCTTCAACACTTGTAGAATAAAAATTATATAAATTAGTCACTAGTCAGTATCATAACTTGTGTATTGTTTATCATTATTATATTTGGTTATTATCTACTGCACTGTACTGAGGTAAACAGGTAATACAGGTTGACAACCCTTTATCCGAAATTCCAAAAACCGAAAAGCTCTAAAAACCGAAAACAAAATTTGTGGCCAATTTTATTTTTTTTATTTCTTTATTTTTTTAAACAGGGATTAGCCCACCCGGGCATAGATCACTGACCCACATCGGGGCCTGGGGGGCGAAAATATAATAGTAATAATAATTATAATAATTATTCATAGTAAATAAAAAATGTAATAAAAAATACACCAAAATAAAATAATAATGATAACAATAATAATAATAAATAATAATAAAATATTATAAAATTAATAATAATAATAATAACAATAATACTGTAATAATAATAAAATAATAATAATAATAATAATAATAATATTAATAATAATAATAAAGAAATACAAGAATGAAAAAAAGATCAAAAGTGAGAAAAACGACCTAGACCTATGAATTGTTATTATTATAATTTTTATTATATTTTTGCCACCCAGGCCCCAATGTGGGTCAGTGACTTGTGCCCGGGTAGGCTAAAAAAAAAAACATTCCAAAAACCGAAAAATTCCAAAATCCGAAATGCCTCTGGCCCCAAGGATTTCGGATAAGGGATTGTCAACCTGTACAGTTGTCCCAGGGTTATATCTCTACCAAGGAGGCTGTATGTCATTAATACAAGCCACCATTAATGGTACAATTATCTTCCAACCAGTGCACTAAAACAAATTAAATGATTCACAAATGTTAGACATTTTACTCTATGAATTATATCTACAAGGTTCAGCAGTAAAACTTGAAACACGAGTTAAAGAATATCGCTAAATGCATTTGACACAAGAGTCTGAAAAAAAGAAAGAAAAAAAGTGAAGTAGAGTGAAGGGGACTAAGAGAATGAGCTGGGAATATCATTTGATCTATTCATTGTTTCTAACACTGGATTTCTATCTACCTAAATATATACGTACAGTATAGACCTACCCACTTTTCTGGTACACTGACCTAAAATGTCCATTTGAATTTATGGTGAGTGTCCCGGAGTCATGGTGAGGAGTAGGTGGAGTTGACGTCTCACTGGAGTAGCGGTCGTTGTTAGACTGGAGCTGGTCTTCGGGCACTGTCGGGAGGCTGAGCTGGGACGACACACGGGACAACGTGCCTTCACCATTGCCAACCACAGTCATCTGGTGTAGTGAGATGTATCCTTAATTATATAATATTTTTCATAAAGTAAGAACATGGTGGCCAGTGGTTTATGGGGAAGTCACTGCAGTTAAATAGTGAATGGATGAACCATAGTGAGAGGAGAAACTGTGTTTGCTCTTGACTCTGGCCACCCTGTAGTATAGTGGAAAATGGCTTACAAGATCAAAAACTAAATAAACAAATAGAATGGTACAGATAAGGGGAGACACCAAGGGTATAATGGGAAGGCTGATGCAAACACATATATGGTGTGAGTCATCAGGATGCAGGAATAGTGGAAGATACACACTGACTCTGGAACTGGAAGAATGTAATTAGATGACCCATTCACTTACTTACAATAATAAAGAGCCTTGGATACAAAGGAACAGACATGCATACATACAGACAAGTATACATTGATACAGTATTACACAAAATCATGCACACACACACACACACACACACACACACACACATACATATATAAACATATGCACAATGGCAGTAACTATTTATGAAACTACAAGACCAAATTCAATGACCAAAGTAAATGGTGATAAAGTCTTCAAGTAATGTGAAAGATTGTTGATTCATTTTGTCATTATGTTGAGTGTGTTATTTGGTTTCTTTGGCCTTCTTTTATTTGATAAATCAGTTTAGTTAACTAACTGTGTCTGCTCTCTAAAACTATAAGAGCATGAAGGTATGAACTGATCTTACTCCAGTCCCAACTTATTGTAAGAAAACAATGCACAAACCCCACAAGAAACTAAATCCACATCTTGTACTCTTAAAAATACCCAAGGGTAAACATTGACTTGAGTGAATAAACAGAGCTTATTGATAAGGTGATTCTTGGCAGTGCATGAGTCACTGTTGGATGCTGCTGGGTTGTATAAAGTGACAGGGGTAGACCTGGGGCCCTGTGGAAGGGGATTACCACAGTTAAACACATCTATTTCAGCAGTATGAATGAATGAAGAACATTAACTGAAGTGAGAATGTATGTATTTCAACAACAAAATAAATAAAAACTGTTAAGTGTGAGCAACTGACCAGTGAAGGTAAGAGTAGAGATAAGTGTACACTGGTTATGTGGGTGTTGAGGTTGGACCAAGTTTCATTTTTCCTCCTTATGGAGTTGTGTCCAGTTAATGAACTTCATGTAGACTGGAAATGAGATTATGACCGATACACAACAAAGAGATGCTGAAAATGTATCAGATACATGACTCACCTTACTTACCTGGTCTTCATCAGCAGAGAAGAAAGCCTCTGACTGGGTCTCACTGCCAACAGACACAGTTCTCTGTACACTGGCTAGTAAGCTGTGTTGGCTGGAGAGTGACTGTCTTGAATTTGATTCTTTCATCCCACTCACTGACAACCTGTGGCCACTTGCAGCATGAAGAGGTAGTTCTGTTTGTAAGGAGAGGCTGGACGGCATCTTACTCTGCCGACTAGAGTTCACATTATCTACGGAGCGTCGTAGATCTGATAGACTGCCAGGCGTAGAGAGACCCTCTGTTCCTACTGGAACACCCAGTACTACATCCTTGTTTGTTGCCCTCAGGGTACTTGAGTCCCCAGCACCCCCGGATCCCCTTGACTCTACTTCTGTCACGTGAGGATTGGAGTCATGACTTGTGACCGACACTTCTCTGTGATAACTGTGGCGGGGATTGAGTCTCTCCGTGCAGTGTGCGTCCGAGCTGTGGTGAAGTGAGCTGCTTCCTCTTGATGCATGTGCATCAGCTGGTGTAGCAGGAGATGCACTTTTAACATATCCTGAGCTCAAGACATAGTGATCTTTACTTGTTCCTGAATGTGAGTCATAATGAGAATGAGCAAGATCAGAATAGGCCCCAACATGAAACACCAGCTGATCATCATGTAAAATACTCTGGCCATAACCTGGACCTTCTGTGGGATCATTCACTCTGAAAAAAATAAAATAAAATAACAAAAATAAATAAAATAAAATAAACAGTTTCTACAGTACAGTATTTACCTCACAAAGCCTTTTACTGAACAGTATCTACATAATCTCTCGACTAAAATGTATTAATACTCTTGCTGTAGTCTTCCAGGTTAGGTAGGTCGCGGTTTCATCTTTAATGATGACAAATGATACCTAAATACTCTTTCCTGAATTACTGAGATAATTTTTGTCTCTCACTTTTGATAAGTTTGAAATAAATATACAGATTAAACCATTTGGCAGAGTAACATCACAAGTTTATTACTGTGAACTCTCACTGTTAGAGTTCTCCACATGAGACCTACGTCTTCTTTCACACTTGTGCGTGGGCTGGGTCAAGGGGGTAAAGGAACCTCACAAAGAAGAACAACCCTAAGGAGAATGGTGCAAGACAAATGTAGGTGACAAGAAGAGATAAGATGTACAAGTAGAAATATCCACACAGCTTACCATACACACATGGAAAATGGCTGTAACACTGTCGACGATGATGGTGATTATTTACATTGCTTCTAGATTTGAAACCTTTGTATTGTGTACATGACTTTCACACATCTTGACATGAAACAAGTACTGTACTGTTAAGTACTGTAATATAATAAAAGGTCCCTCCTGGTGCCTCTACTCTGTAAGGGACAAAAATTATTGCCAAATTGCTATTTTCATCTGCTTAAAATACTGTTCGTGTCAATCAGAGCATCATAATCCTTCACACTTGTGCCAAATATAAATGAAATACAGTAAGATCTCATATTTCGAGCGATTTCATTTTGCGTTTTTTAATTTCGCGAGCACTACCTAATGTAACCAAATCTTATGTTTGGCGTAAAATATCGTGAATTTCGCGAGATCCAGCCAGCTGAGCGTGAGATCCAGCCAGCTGAACACGAGATCCAGCCAGCTGAGCGTGAGATCCAGCCAGCTGAACGCGAGATCCAGCCAGCTGAGCGTGAATCTGAGCGAGATCCAGCCAGCTGAGAAGCCGCTCAGAGATCCAGCCAGCTGAGCGAGATCCAGCCAGCTGAGCGCGAGATCCAGCCAGCTGAACGTGAGATCCAGCCACCTGAACGCGAGATCCAGCCAGCTGAACGTGAGATCCAGCCAGCTGAACGCGAGATCCAGCCAGCTGAACGCGAGATCAAGCCAGCTGAATGCTGGCCACCGTCTTGAATGACGTCACAACCCTCATACCAGTTACAGTCATTTTTGCTGCAACGCGTGTTTTGTCAATGCGATTGATGAATAGGGGAACGCTGTTTGTACAACGCGAACTTTTGCATACGAATGTTGGCTATAGCGTGATTCCATCCTCAATGTTTTCATTCTATCCTCAACGTTTTAAGCATGGCCTGGGGTAATGCAATGTTTACAATTCACGTTCGACATCACATGTTCAATTGATTCGTGTCTTTTGTTTGTGAAATATTTTTTGAGAGGTAGTCTGTAATTTTATTTACTGTATTTATTTTTTGCAGATTTAGCTGTTACCCACAAATGCTGTATGAAAAGAATAAGTAAAAAGACTATCGCATTGAGGACTAATAACGGTTTACACCAACGCTCTCTGTTTACATCACGTGATCAGTTGAATAGCTCGGTTTCTGTCAATTACTCCGTGATTTTCGCTGTTTTCTCCATTTTTTTGGTGTTAGCGATGAATACGGAAAGACAAGGTAAGAAGAATGTCTCCAAGTAGCGTTCTGGTGATCGAATTGCAGGTGGTGAACGTAAAAGAGGTTTACAAGAATGCAACTATTGCGTTGTAGCCCGCGCCATCCTAGCGACCGCCCGGGCTGTTATTGTGTGCTTTTTTGGGTGGTGCTACCACCTGTCGAGTCAAGATAATGGCCTCTACCTCTACTGGGGGTCCTACTGGTGCTGGTGGGGGTGGGACAGACTCACCTAAGCGGCCAAATAAGGAAAAGGAGAAGAGGGACTATCATAAGGGAGTTAAGTTTGCCAAGTACTCGATGCAGGATAAGCAGCGTGTGATTAAGTTACTTGAGGAAGGCCTAAAAACTAGTTTCTGGAAAGCACAATCAAGTCAATAAAAACAGAATTTGTATCATTTGGAGGTTATAAATGGGAAAATCAGAGGTTGATGTAGAGTGGCCAGTCTATATTGTTATTATTCCCATGAGTTTATGTATTTGCATTTGGTGAATTTGAATTTGGCGCAATTTTTCCAGTCTATATTACTCGCGAAATACAAGATCTTACTGTAAAGACAGGAAAATGTTTATAGAAAACCCAATTTTGCCCGAGGGTGAGAATGCCTATTAACATGTTGAAGGGTGGATGAGTTACAACTTGTCACCAAGCAGAACCACTAATGTTTTTTGTAGCAGAGAAAAACAAACTTTTTAACTGCTGTGGACTTACCCTCAGAAACAGCAATACACATGACTTTTTAATAATGATTGCTCCTAGTAAATGTTTTTTGTATATAGTACAGTACAATTAATATCTAAGTTAGCCAGAATACCCCTTAACCAAAACTCTCCGATAGCCGGAATGGAAATTTTCTCGGAAAATCGAGGGGCACAATTTTAGGGAAATTCCGGGGATGGGGGATTTTTTTCTGGATTTATGAGATGAAATAATGTATCATTCTGGAAAATTCTGAGAAAATTTAACTTCCCGGAAAAATTACGGAGATGGGGGATTTCTTTTGGGGTTTTAGAGATGATGTAATACAGGGCTGCCATACTTATCGCAAAGGTTAAGGGCATGAAACTCGTTGTGAATGTCGAAATTGCGAATAGCGGAGCAATTTCTCCCATAAGAAATAATGTAAATAGGGGGAATAAAGGCATCGCGGTGGTCACGGCCGTCAGATTTTAACACTTGTTTTACTCAATACATATCGACATAAAATAAATAAAGAAACAAGGGCATAATATCAAATAAAAACATCAATAACAAACACTTTGAGTTTATTAGGTGCATATGTTTATAAGTACAGTATACAGGGGTACTTTACATGCTTGAGTGTGTGTGTGTTTGAATGTTTACGTGCATAGGTGTGTGTGTGTGTGAGGTAAGTTTTAAACGTAGACTGTTAATTTACCTCTAATGTGCTGTGTTGCTTGCTTGCTGAAGTTGGCATTAGGGGAGAGGGTGAAGGTTTACTGGGGTGAGAGGAGGCTGGGGTCGTCAGCCACCTCACTCGCATTATCGCTGTCAATTTGCACTGAAAGCTGTTGTTCTCCACTGCCTTCTGTTGAATCATGCATTGCAATAAAGGGGTTTTAAGGTGCTGGGTCTGGTCGTCAATCCACGTACTCAAAATCCGCTCCAAACTCTCCATCTCGGCATCACGGAACCTCGTCACCTTTGTAGCCGTCCGTGGTGTTCCAGACCCCCATCTCCTTGATCTTGTCGGCACTTTTAACGATAGAATGCACCGTAGAGGGAGTCAAGCCGTGCACGCGCTCAATCACTGACGTTCCTTCTCCGTGTTCGTGTCTTTTTACGATATCCAATTTCACGTCCAACGTAACTGCCACACTTGATCTCTTAGCAACATTGGTTGGAGTTTTAGTAGCTGGTCGCTTAGGCATTGCGAGATCACACAAAACACACGCCAGCAAGTGTGAGACTGAGGTGAGAGGGAGCATATGGCGGAGGAATACGTACACACGCTGTCCTATGCTACGGTTGAGGGCCGGCTCAAAATTTTTGCTCGTAAGAATTTGCGAATAAATGGGGCAACCATTGCGAATAGTGGAAATGGGTAACAATAAATTGATTGCGGATAAATGGGGTTATGAATACCGAGGCTATGAATAACAGGGTTTGACTGTACTGTACACAAGTTCTGGAACTTCAAGAAAATTTTCCCATTACCCAGAAAATTCCAGAGAATTCCGGGGATGAAGGACTTTTTTCTGGCTTTGAGAGAGTCGTCTGCTCTGCACCAATTGTTCTGGCTAACAGAGATATAACTAGTACCTTTGTTAGCAATTAGTAATAGAATATTATGACTATCTAACTATCTACCCATCAATCTTCTATCATCATCAATGTTTTACAACCATTTCCATACCTGTATTCCCTCCAACCCAAAAGTTTCCATTCAATTGCTTTATTAATATCAAGGTTATTAAAAAATGGCCTGGTGTACTGACCTGAGCTGAGCAATATTTACACCATTGTAGAAGTCCTGCTTGCTGGGCTTGAAGAAGGTCAGGCCGTTCTTGTTGTTACCGAAGAAAGAGCAGCCACCAACACAACCACACTTGCCAAACACCTGTGCTGACACTTTTGTGACCTCCTGTGGCCACAGGAACCACAGTCTTTTGGTATTCTCATCATGAAGTTTCAAGAACCTGGTCATAAACCAATTATGATTTAATACTATACAGTATAGTATACCGTATATACTCGTGTATAGTTCGAGTTTTAAAGATAAAATTTTTAGGCAAAAAATTGAGGGTCGTCCTATACATGCGTAATAGTTTTGTTAGGTTGAACCCGTGCATGATGGGAAGGGCGAGGAGCAACTTTTAGCTTCAGACATGAAAAATATTTACCATTTACTGCCAGTAAACAATGGAAACGTAAAATATGTACCAATTAGTAATGAAAAGTTGTGCAGTTCCTTCAGTAAATGAAGCTCACCCACTTACAATAGGCTAAAATACCTTACAACGTGCTTTCAGTAGTCTATGTTGAAGTTCTTAGCACAGGCTAACTTATCATATCATATACAGTATCACACTTCTCATTGATCTACAAAAAATACCGGTATTAAAAACCTTTTCGATATTTCACACTTAATATAATACCCGGTAATCTACTTCAACCTCCTATTGTTTACAACGACGCATGATGCATCACGCACCACCAGCTGTATCAGCTAGACGGTACAAGTGTTTTTCGAATCGTTTCCAGTTAAAAAACTGTTACATCACATGTATATTTTACCTTAACTGTGCCTGAATGAATATATTCTCAGAAATAAATAGTAGTTTTGCTGAAACGTGATGTATTTTAATGTAAAATAGGATAAAATACATGACGAAAACAAAAGATTTTACCTAACCTTCCGATGTTCAAGAGAAGTTACTCGTTTTTTTAATAGTTTTTGGTTAAAATATTGTTATATTACAATGGTATTCTATTCATACTGTGCTTGATATAATGCATTCACGGAAATGTAATATTTTTGCTGAAATGACGTACGTATTACAATACAGTGGAAAGTGGGATCAAATCGTGACGAAAACAATGACTTTCGCTTTCTTTCGTTCAAAAGATGTTACCGTAATCGCTTTTCGAATGGTTTAGTTAAAAACTGTTGTATTACAATAATATTCCCTCCTAATTGACTTGAATAAATACTTGAATGGAAATATACAATACTTTTGTTGAAACTACCCGCGTTTCAGTGTAAAGTGTCGTAATAATAAATGGTAAACAATTTGCCTTCGGCACCTGTGTTTCATGCACGGCGAGCCTCAGTTTATAGGACGTAGAGCGTTTTTAGTGAAGGTTTTGTTGTTCCATTACCCTCAAAAACGTGGGTCGAACTATAAACGAGGAATATCGTAAATTAACGATTTCTTGGGCAAAAAATCAGGGTCGACCTATAAACGAGGGGGGATTATAGACGAGTATATACGGTATGTCTGTCATGTACTAACTCAAGTCCCTTTACAATTAAAAACTTGATCCAATCTCTTGCTTCTCAGGGTGTACAGTAGCTTTAAGAACATGGTCACAAACACATTATAATACACTTTTGCATCAAACACTGTACAAATTTTCTTTAGTTCTTAATTATAGTAATGGGCTTAATATCTGATGTTATTTAAAAAATTTGACTTGATTACAAAAATTAGCACAATACATTTTATAACGGATTATTTTCTTTCTGATTTAATTAAAGAAAGTTTACTGAGACAAAGATTTAGGTAATAAGCACAGATCTAGTAGAGTAATTTCCAGGTGACAATAATATTACAATGATGATGCCTTAACCTTGATAAGAATAAAATTCTTACTAAATACTATTTACTTGAATCATTAACACAAGAGTAAATCAACCTTTTTCACTGTCACCTTAAACACAAAGTACAGTATGCCTAAGTTAACATCTCCACCTAGCATGCTTGCCATCAAACCCTACTTATTGTCTATACTCTGCCTTTCCCCACTCTACCTTGATCTGTACTATCATCCATCTTCTTTACCACTCAGTCATCCACCGTATGTTCTATAGCTCAATTAATATCACCAGTGTAAATATAAAATGAACACATTTGACACCATTACTCGAGGGAGTGACATTTAGACCCAGTCACTGCAGGGATCCAACACTAACATATGGGCCCAATAACCTGCTCTACAGTACATACTTATGCTGTATGAGCTGCATGTCATGGTGGAGAACATCCATGCTGGTGGCAGCATCCACATACACGGGACCAAGAGTAAGAGCTGCTGCCTCCAGCCACACATCATCCGTGTACACATCTGCTAGACCTAGACCGCCCACACCGCTCGTGGATGTACCACACATGGATGCTGCCTCGCCTCGGCCACCCCCCTCTTTGTGCCCATCCTGAGCACAGATGTAGTTTCGGGCACTGATGTTCTGAATGTGAGCAGTAATACCAGACCTTGTGTGCTGGCCATGCAGATTACAAGTTGCCACTCTCATTGGGTAAATCTGGAAACAGAGTAACGTCAAAAAGACTTTAAAATTATTTAATGCTAATTATTACGACAGTAACCTTCCAGGCTAAAACTTAATTATTCTAATTCAAATTAGATAAACAAATATCATTAACATGGAAAAAAGAGAAGTGGAAGTGTACCGGTATGGGGTATCAGATGGAGGGCAGATGAGGGTGTGTCACGGTGGTATGGGCATACTGAGAAAATGAAGAGTAATTGAGAGGTAAAAAAAAATTTAAAAAAATTTGAATATGAAAGGAGAGAGAGACAGTGGAACCCCAATAAGGAGGTAAAGTGAGGTACTCACAAGTGGAGGATAACATCCACTGAGGAAACAGCAGTTAATAGGTTTCTTCAGGTGGTTATGAGTGGTTTATAGGGCTGGTAATGGGTGAATGTTGGGCTGTGTGAAGCAACAAGGTTGTTTTGTTATGGAAGGGAATGCCACAGAATGCATGTGACAGCTGGTAGAGGAGTGACACCACATGGTCATGAAGGGAGAGTCTGTGTTGGTCTTAATTCTGATCAGCTCCTCCAGCTACACACAGTTGAGAAACTGAAATAAAATTAGCCAATTTCCCATGGATGGCTGAAACCAAGACCAAACACAGACTCTCCTTCGACTCTACTGTTACCCATTATTGCTGTAACACCATTCAATGCCATGCTCTCTCAGGTAGGTAATAAATATTCCTTTATCTTACGTGTCTAACCTCCCAGTAATATATATTGGCACAACTCACCTCAACATTAAGGATAGCACCGCTCTCCACAAGGTTAAGTGAGAGGCCATCAATGGAGGCTCGCACCATCTTGTACTTGATGACATCAGTGGTGGGACAAAAGTGCTCAGCTGTGGTGTGGATGCACTGTGGCTGTGGTGTTCTATGGTAACAGAACATGTGTGGGCGTGGGTGACGTAGACAGTTTTCCATGTCCTCAACAGTGAACAAAAATGCTTCCAATGCTGTAATTATGTTTTGTAACTGTGAATAGAAGAAATACAAAAGTTGTTACATCATAGGGCACATGTAATAATTTGTCTAATCACAAGGACATACCAGTACATAATAAAACTGAAACTTAATTCTTACCGTATATCACGGCCTATAAGGCGGCGGGGTGCATAAGACGCCCCCCCCAAATTTCCATTTAAAAAGTAGCTTTTGAGCTCTATTTGCTGTATAAGACCAGTACCCCAAATGTGACACTTACCCACTGACTCAGTAGTCCTTTACCAACCATCCTTGATTTTTTAAAATAAGGCCAATTCACTTCAAGTAATGTCATCAAATTATACCCGCTGGTGTAGTGTAAACACTAGTGACGTCACTGAAGCGTGTTGGGAGTGTTCCCTCGTCTCGGTGGTGTGACTATTTATACAACATGTGGTTCAACAGCAACCACCGTATTCTAATTGTGGTGTTTCATTAGGATTTGAGTGAAAAAGGTTACCAGTATGTACTTACTACATACATTTATTACACAAATATATATATATATATATATATATATATATATATATATATATATATATATATATATATATATATATATATATATATATATATATATATATATATATATATATATATATATATATATATATATATATATATATATATATATATATATATATGTACAAAAAATGAATGTTCAATGAATTATTTATGGTGCATTAGGGTACTGGTCACTTCTGATGGGCTATAAATAGCCTTCTTTATCTCCCCTACATCTCACCCTGAGCCAGACGGAAGGGTCTTGGTAAATAACATGTTTGCTTATTTTCCATTTACTTTAAATAGATTTACCGAATTATTTGTTTTATTTATTTATTTATAATATACTGTAATATATTAAACACACTGTAATTATTTTCTTTAATTTATAAACTGTTTTGCGACAAAGGAATGTTCTCCAGTAGTGTTTCATTAGGATTTGAGTGAAAAAATATTACGTACTTACACAATTGTTCCTCTTACTTTGACAACACAACATACATACAGTATATTATTTCTCAGTTTTGATCTTTTTTTTTAATTTTTGTATTTATTTATAGTTAGTTACTTAAAATAAGGCCAATTCACTTCAAGTAATGGCATCAAATATTACCAGCTGGTGTAGTGTAAACACTAGTGACGTCACTTGAGCGTCTGTAATTAACCGTCGATAGTTTCAAGAATTAATGCACTCATTTACTGAATATTCTTTGGAAAAAAATAAAATTTAAATCAATTATTTATAGGAGATAAATATTATTATGAGTAAATATACCGATACCGGTATGCATTACTGACCACCTCCACGGCTCCTCACTGGCAAATGGGGGGGGGGCGTGGGGAGGGGTGTGTGATGATAGCTGTGTTTATTATAGGGGTATAAATCTCTTTTACGGTATGTTAGACAGGTTTATAATACATTTTTATTATTTTAATATACCGGTAATCTTAATTTGAATCCAGCTTGCCAAACGTAAGTTTCAGTATAAAATAATTAGTGGTAAGACCTTGTGAGTGGCTTACGATGTTTTCATCACCACTCTTGACACACTAAACCACAATATTTAAGAGGTAAGAATTTTAAACTTGGTGGTTTAGACGACCCCCTAACTTTGGGCAGATTTTTTTAATGTTCAAATTTCGTCTTATAGGCCGTGATATACGGTACCAGTGAGAGAGAGAGAGAAAAATTAATAAACAATGTTGGATGTTAATAAATTATGTTTGTGAACTTAATTTTTATCATTAAATGTTCAACATAACCATAAGCACAGCCAGGATTTATCTGGGGGGTTGGGGGAGGCACACAAAATTTCCAAGTACAATTATCAAAAGGAGTTGGAAAATACACGAGGAAACACTCCTCCATTTTATTGCCCAACAACTTGTATAATTGTAGAGACTTGAAGCCTGCTACAGGCTGTCTACAAGATGAATGATGCATGAACCAGTCACAATTACTGCAGGCTGGTGGTGGGAAACACTCCTGTCGGATAGATATTATGGAAGTATTTCACAGATGTTAATGACATTTGAGTAATTAAAGTATACAGTAAACCCTCGATAACTCAGAATATATGGGGCTCTAGCCATTCCGAGTTATCAAATTTTCCAAGTTATCGAGGCACTTTCCTCCCAGTCTTTTATCCTACCCCAATACTCAACTTTTGGCCAAAATAACCTACCATAGTCAGAAAACTTGCACAAATATTAACACTTACCAGCACTGCAGGAGAAGGATGAGGATAATTAAAGCTTGTGGTGCCATGTGGTAGGTGGGGGGGGGCTCAGTACACAACAGTATATACAGTAAGCACTTACAGCACCAACTTTACCATGAACAACTGAGAGATGTTCACAGAACCAGTGCAAAAGAGAGATGGGAGCCAGAGTTAGCACTCAGAGCATTTATTTTCCAACTCGCAATTTCAGAAATAAATACATAATTTTCCTTCTTTTCTCTTTTACTCTGTCACGTGCACATACAATGTTTCATACAGAAAGTGCAAGAAAAAAAATATCATAAAGGTAGAAACATAAAGGGAATAAACATTTCTTATGTGTGCGGAGTCATCAAATTCCAAGTTATCAAGGGTTTACTCTTCCAATTCTTTCAATTCGTACAACAGCCCGATACATTATCAAATTTATGAAGAAAATATACTTTAAATTGGTGGGAGGGAGAGGGGTAATCTGCATTCCTATAATCAAGATACTTTAGAATATTTCTGAAATGAATTCCAAATCCTACAATTACCTAAATTACTTACCTTGCTCACTAAAACCTACAGTGCAGAGATGTCCATATTCCCATGTCACATCATAACAGAGATGTAAGGACCATCTATACATATCACGCCACAACAAACAACTCATGGTCACAAATATTCTCATGTCAGTTATCAAAACACAAGGTTGGCTGATATAGTAACAAGAGGGAGGTGATGCTATTGTCTTGTGACTGATCTGAGGAGAGTGCAAGTGATGCTGATTGATTGTGACATGTTGACACTGTTGCCCAACTATCTAACCACAATTAGTTTCCCTTGTCAGAAAGTGCTTGTTATGTGCTGTAAAAGTACTTCAATCTTGTGAGTAGTAAGGTAAAGTTTCCTTGCAAATGACTACTTTCAGTTAGGGAGATTCCATGCTGTTCCATGGCTGCAGATGATCCTAAATAATATTCCAACTCCCCATGGGAGTTTTTTTTTTAAAGAAGCCATCCTCACCCTCACGTCCCACTGACCACACCTCTGAACATATTCCTGGTGGACATATGTGGGTTATCACTTTGGTCGTTTGTACATGAATTAATATCTACTTTGAATAATCGTAGGCAGTGATGGAGTGCCACAAACAATGACCGACTAAACAACCAACCTGAGGGGTGGTGAGCTTGCCACTGAGTGTACCAACAGTCAGCTCAACCAACCACGCATACTCCAGAGTCTCTTCATCCAGGGACCGCTCCTCGGAACTGAACATGGCATGACCTCGCATCTGGGGGAGAGGGAAAACATATGTGACCAGTGAACTCATGGAGACCACAGTTCAGCATTTACTTAAATAATTATTATAAACAATTTGTAACCAGCTTCTGATCATGTAATCTAAAGGTTGATTTAAATATTTTAGTTGTCATACACCTGAGTATCTCTTGTTGTCATACATTCAACAATAATGTTCTGAACATTTGTGCGGGGAACCCAGATGATGCAGGAGTTACCTCATAAGAAACATCTTTCCTTTAGGTATCTCCTGCACACACTGTCTCCTATATTTACAGCAGTCAATAATCAAGGTTTAGTCTCATTTTGGAAATTGGTTAAGTTAAGCTGGATTTCTGTAGCTTAGCAATGTTAATCAATATTCAAAATGAGGCACAAACTAATGTGCTCCTGAACCCTTAGATTGCTCCTCATTTTTTCCAGAAACACCAATATAGCTAAAAAAAAAAAATTAGGCCTTATGAAAGTTCTGAAAAAAATTAAGGCTATAGTCTGGTCCAAGTACAGTAAGTCCTCGTACAATGTCGGCCTGCTTAACATTGTTTCGGTACTATGTCACTAATCTTTAGAAACCAAAAATTCGTTTAACGTTCTGATGACTCAGTACAACGTCATTTTGCGTCGTCAAGGACTACCTTCTACGGCGCATCACCCTCTCTCATCTGGCCACGCTACACTCTCTCAGCTTAGCGCAGTCTCAGTGACTCGCCACCCTCCTCCTCTCCCGCCCTCCTCCTCCTCCTCTCCCACCCTCCTCCTCCGCTCCCGCCATACTCCCCCCCCCTCCCGCCATCCTCTGCTTCACTACCCACTACACACTCTCTACCACCTCCGCCCATCAGTGAGTACCAATACAAACTTAGTAGCTGTATATGTTTGCATTATTTTCTATAGAAATGGCAATGATTTTCTGTGGATGTAATGTATTTCATGGGGCAAAAGGAGGCTCAGGAACTTAACTCCCGTATTTTATCTAGTTCTTATGAGGAAAGTTGATCCGCTTAACGTTGTTTCGTATAACGTCGCATTTTTAGGAATGTGACCCCCGACGTTAAGTGAGGACTTACTGTAAATTGATGTACAGTGATTAGGGAAGCCGTTGAGGCAATTCTAGCGGTGATCGCTAAAATATACAAACTAAAAGAAAATAAAAGAATGGAAAATCACTTTACAGACCACAATAATGCCCAATAATCACATAGAAGTAGTTATAAGCACAAAATAATACTCTGAGAAGCACTGAGAAATGTTTATTATACTTATAGCATATTTTTCCCACCTTTAAAATCTTTATTTTACCATTTTATTCACTCTCATACATCATAAGGACTCCAGCACACATTATCAACTATCATACAGGACTGTTCAGGTGGCCTGCACCAGCTTAAGGGTTAAACAAATGTCACACAAGTTCTGCCTCTTTGTAAATCAGTCTGGGAGATACACAACCCCACCAAATAGACAAAACTGAGGGGCATGAGCACTTGAGTCCCTCCTTATTTCAATGCCTGCAATAACTCCAGGGTACTGAAGGTTAAGTAACAAAACTATCAGCCACAGTTGTCCATGGTGTTACTATGATGGGAAGTTTAAGTGATAAGTGTCTCAATGACAATTGTTTTCTTTGGTTATGTTCACACTGGACCACTGCCACAATCCCATCACCAAACACTGGTGTCAGGGTTCATCTCCACATCTTCCTGTGTTAGACTGTAGAAACACCTAAAACAATTACTGTACTGAAGAATTTGTTCATGTTTGCTTGGTTTTGTCATAATGTTGCATTTGCCTATATGTCTTCCTCACTATTATCTATTTTCTGAATTAAATGAAGTATAACTGGAATCTATTTTACTAAGCAACTCAAAACCTTTATGTTTCAGAGCTTTGGTCCTGGTTGGGAAAAACAATAAGAAAATATATTAGCACCTGTAGCCCAGACAACATAAGGAAGCCAGTGCGAAGGTGTTGATGCGCGGGTGGTCTATGGTCGTTGATGTCAGAGGTGGTGAGGATGAGGGGAGACACCACAACTTGCAGCTGTGTCTCTGAGAACCTCTTGTCCATCTCAAACACCAGACGGTCCAAGGCCACAGAAGGGCAAGGTGGGTCATTCTCAGTACAGTCCTAAAAAAGAAAGTTTATTTAAAGGACTTGTCTGACCATACAGGTAAGTGCCCTCTCAAGAACTAAACCAGCACCTTTAGGACTAGATTATCTCTCATATATCAACTCAGGAGGTGCAGGAAATTAGATTCCAAACAATATGAATTTAAAATATTGAAGATTAATCACATCAAGTAACAGAACACCCAATGAAGAAAAATTATTACTGATACTGTAACTATTTGTGTGGCTGCTGCTGGATGAAGCAAGCCTCCATATTCCTTGACTATGAAGGTCATCTCTCTCCAGGATTGTATGACATTCAATCGATCAGAGTGCCATCCTCATATCTGAAGGTTGGCGACCACAGTCCTCCATACTAAACGTTCTCACGTTCTCAGGTTGTTGTTACCAAACCTCCAAGGTTTTGTATCTCTCAGAGGACCCAGTTTTTATTTCATTCATCCATCCCAGTTTCTGCCTTCCCCTGACCCTCCTACCCTCACTTTGCCTATTAATATTGTTATTATCCCCTCATACCTAATTATATGACCAAAGTATCTCATTCTTCTTTTTCTGTACATTTCAAGTATTTCTCTTGATGTTTTTGCTAATCTTAATACTTCTTGACATTACTGTTCCATTAAATTGTTTAAGTATTGCCTTGAACGTAAAATTTAACTAAAGTGAGGATATAGATGTTGGTTGGCACATGGCTGCCATGATAAAAGAATAGTTTTCCTTAACTTGTAAGGTAAACTAACTATTGTCTCATTAAAATTATTTTTTCATAGATTTTCAAGTGTAGCAATCAATTTTTTTAAAAGGAAACAAATTCCTTCTTTTAATTACTTCAAAGTTTAACAACTCTGCCAACAAATAATAAGTCCCCATTGTAAACTTGTTTGCATACCTTCCCTGCAATAAAGACTCCCCTTACCTTAACAAGGTGACCGAGGACATTTCTGATGTCTAAGTAAACAGTGACCCTAAACTGGCGGTACTTGCGACAGTCGAACTCCAGCTTCTTTTCCTCTACCAGACTGTTAGACTTTGACTCTTCCTGCTGACTCAGCTCAGCTGGGTTGTCTTCATCCACATGTATCTGGTTCATGTCTGTGAATTTCTGATCTTCACCAAAGATATTTTCCTAGGAGATAAAATTGTGAGATTCAGAGAGACATCTCTATCACAGTCACTAAGGTGTGGGGGAACTGGCATCATCTTCATTTACAACTGAAGGTCTTTTAAAAAAAAATCTATGGAGGACTCAAAAGAAAGGGATGGCTCAGAGACCCAATGTGGTCCCTTACGCCAACCTGAGGTGTCAGTCAAGAGGTCCTGTGTCATACACCACCAACTGGCTGCAACAGAATTTGTATTTCTTCCACAGTTTGACAGCAAATTTGTGGACAGATCTGAGAAACTTTTATTTATTAATGTCAAATTACTGTACCCATCTTTTCCCAGTGGTAAAGATAAGACCTCCAACACCTGCCTCCTACATCATTTCACAGCACACATAAATATTCTGCTTAATTTAATTTAGCTTTAAAAACAGCACAGGTATAATGCATACTTAACAACTACTGTATATGACCACAATACAATACTGTACAATATAACTAATTTTCAAATCCTTGTCTTACTAAAATCATAAATCTTGGCTTAGGAAATTTTTCTGGAGGTACAGTATGCTGCCACACCTTTTAGAAATTATTTACTGACTACAGTACCTTATTCTCTCTAAATTAATGTATATGAGCCCTTCTCTGATTTTCTGGGAAATCAAACAAAATACGACTACCCAAACTGTATACCAATACTAGTCGAGCAATCGAGTCTTAACGGTACTGTACCTTGAGGTGTATAAACTGACGAAGTACAGATCCATATAGTTTAATCTCTGATGGTTGAGAGATACGCAGGTCAACACTGAAGCAGTCGGGCGTCATGGATGTTGGCTCAAACTGTTCAGGAGTAATGTTCTGGGGGGGGAAAATACGTATCACTTAATAAACATTAAAAATATGCAAGAACTATTCTCAGGTAAAGATTGAGTGGTATAATATAAAGACTGTGACAAGAATATCAACAAAGAAAGCCTTACCTTTATAATCTCCATAGGTGACTTCTTCCTGTGTGGAGCTCTGATGGGAGACAAGAGCAACTCCTCTTTCTCCGGGGTGGACACATTGGCCTGAGGTGAGGGTCCCAGGGGTGGCACTGGATGGTAGGTGTAGCCAATGTTCAGCTGAAGTTCTGGTACCTGCCAGCAGTCCACCCAGCCAGCACTGGAATATCAAATTTCTCCTCTTAAGCCCTTATCTCATGTGTCTCCTCTGGTTACAATTTATTAAACACTGTTCCTTATTCCATTTTATAGAGGACAACTTCAACATGACTTAAAATTGTAATTTCCTATATAAAAAAAATATAAGGCACTTCTAGCCCTTTCAATATGGGGATATGATTTTATTCAGGTCCGAGCCAACCTTGGACACAATGGGTTCAGCAAATAATCTAACTAGAGTATTTTGATCATTACCATGAAGAAAACCTTCTGAGTAGTTGAAAATAGGTATTCATATATAATACAAGATATATCATCTGCACAATGTTTTAACCATGCTAAGACAATTTTGAGTGAAATAATGATCAAGTGAATATTGAAACTAAACCACTTACAGTTTTCTCTCTCTTTAGAAGTATAACTTTTGCATTTAACTAACAAATATGACCATCCTATATTTATGTAAATTCTTCTAGACTCCAAGTGTCTCAGACCACACTGTATGTCACCAAACACCATGATAGTCTTTAAAAACTCCACAGGATGATGACAACTCCATCCATCATCATCATACTGTTCACTTTATTTAAAATCTCATCCAGTGTCTTGTAAGTACAGGTATAAAATTGTTTTTGTATTGTACTGCATGTTCACTATACCCTCACTAATTCAACAAACAAGGGGCTCTGGGTCACTCAAATTACCGAAATATCCAAATTAACCGAATTCAGAATATGTTGACATTATGTGACAAGTTCCGAATTTTTATGTTCATTTTTTGTTCTTTTCTGTTCAGTTTTTGCACCTTATTCAGATTGTTCCAAATATTATTCCTCGTTATTCTAATCAGCACACACACACTCAGTTACCATGCCTTGGCTGCCACATAAAATATTTTATTTATAATTACTGTGCAAACAAATATTTTTTTAAATGTTGTACAAACAGTAATAATAAGGTAAATAATACAGTCACAAATAAATGTAACACACAAAGAGGTGAGGTGATGAGGCACTTACACAGTACTGTACTGTAATGTACACAAATAAACAGCATTACCAAACCATTGTCTTATAACATTTTAATTTCTAATTTCTACTATAAAATTAAATTCTAATCATTCATTTAATGTTTACAGAAATTTTTTTTCTTCAACAACATTTCACTAGAATCAACACTCGTGTATTGTACAGGAAAAACACTAGTGTACAACACACATGCCACACAGGTAGTACACAGGGTGTTGTCAGACGTATGGGCGTCCATGATGCAATAATAGTTTAAGCATGGTTTTATCACAAATTGCATTAATTTTACTCAAAATCTTATCCCACAAATCTACTAAAAACATCTGCTTTAAAGTGCTGAGCACCTCAACTAACACCTTAGGAAGCAGCACCACATAACCTCGCAACTACGCTGGTGACCAGTTCCCACATGGTAGCACCCAAGATTACATGCCACTAAGATACAGGTACACCACCGATTTTCCGGCACCCTTGATTCCAAAGCTTTGCCAGATTATCTGTTTTGCCCAACCAACCGAGGTCAGGTAATAATAATTCAACAATACACCTCTTACCCACTAATTGTGCACCTCCCGTGTCTCTAAAGCACCATGGACTGCTAGAAACTTAAATTAAACAAATGTTAAATTTAAATTAAATGTGAAAAAGCCATAATTTTGAGCAACATATTACTGTACACACTTTGTACTGAAATATACTACCCTAAAGGACTAAAAAATTTATTTGTTGTGCAAACTATGCGACGCTTAAACTCGAATTATTCACAACCTTACAAGAATTCCGGCAATACAAGTTATATTTTGCTAAGTCTAGTCAGCAACATTTTATAAGATAAAAACTTTAAGCCTAAAACCACCTTCACCCTGACTGGGAGGAAGGGGGAGGTGAGGTGTTGACAGCTGTCAAGGAGGGGAGATAACAAAGTGTGTAGGTAGTTATCCAATAGAAGGAGTTTAAGCTTTGCACTTATAAAATGTCACTGCATTTACTTGGCAGAATATAACTTACATTGCTGGAATTCTTGTAAGATAGTGATTAATCTAAGTACAAACGTCCCATAGTTTGCACTAGACATACTATTTTAGTAATTAACTTCGTATATTTGAGTACAGGTTTGCCTTTAGTACAATTATTTCTTCTACTCTTTTTCCCAATACGCTGTACAGTCTCTCCTCGACTTATGACGGGGTTCCGTCCCGACGACCAGGTCCTAAGTTGAATTGGTCGTAAGTCGCAAAGGCAAAAATAATACAGTACATAGAAATTCTAAAATGGGTGTCTCTTTTTCTTCTCAGCACCATGAGAACTCTCACTTTTACGCTTGCCAGCCATTTTAAAGGGAATTACGAACGAAAATTTTGTCAGTACACAGCGCGATCACTAACGCCAGGACTCGAAAATACATACAGTAATTTGACAAATATTTTATACAACCACGGCGGTCGTATGTCCAGGTTGTCGTAAGTCGAGGAGTACCTGTATGTATTTAGGATGGTGTGTGCATGTAAATGAGTGAAAATAGATGAATAAAGTTACCTATATCTACCCGAAAATGAGTTGAAAAACAACCATAACACCTCACAGCTTGGCCCAGTAGCCTGGTGGTTGTAGTGATGAGTCTAACCTGGCTACAGTGCCATGATTAATCACTATTAAACATTATTACAGTATATCAGTAAACACTAATAGTAGCAGTAAATCCAGTGAAATATGGCAGGGAGGGAGGGAGGAAAGTTAAGTACCCTCTCGTAATTTTGTCCGGACTAAAGGGGGTGCCGGACCTTCAGTTCCCGGAAAATCGGTGGTGTACCTGTAGATGATTTCTTTTCACTTGAACAATTCCCATGGAAGATTATAATGAAAAATCATCCATACATCAAAAATTCTATCAGAAATACTATGTTTATCTCAGGAATATATTATGAATTATATTAGGATGAATGAATTATAGGAATATTATATAAATAAGATTAGGAATAACAAAATACAGCATAAATTATCATAGGAATGTTTTACCATAAAGATTATACTGTATGAGTATAATGACGGTCTCCTCACAAACTCATGACTTAACTAAATGACCTCACTATTTCCACCTGTTTCAGCCTTGATGTTATTATGAGGTCACCTGATGTCAAGTGACCTGACCACATGTCATGTGAATATTAAGCTTGGCAACCTGACTTACTGACAGAATATACAAATACTTTACTTTTTCATGAATATGAATATTCTGGGAATTGTCCAAATGGGATGACACCTGACACAAGCCTGCTTGGGTAGCCATGAGAGCACAGTTGAATCGAAAGACTGAAATTTCAAGCCCATCGCCATGTAACTTTTTGGAACTGCTCAGTTATTTTAGATTCATTCCAAATTAAAATTAAAATATTCAAATTGTTTAATTCATTTTTGTAAAACATATGAATTAAGCCAAAGTCATAATTACAACAATCCAAATCAACGAAGGTACAGTGTACGGTATTTCATCTATTTTGTTAATTATTGGTTTATAGTCATTGTGTACACCAAAAAGTTTCAATAAAAACATGTTTTATGGCATCTCAGATATTTGGGGAAATTATTTTTTTGTAGGAATGTCCCTCAGTTTTTTATAATGGGAGTCTGTAAGAACATATGATTCAATTTACAAAAGGCAGGAACTGAACCCTTTCATAAATCAGGGAATGCTTGTACTGTACTGTACTGTATTGTTACAGCCATTATGTACCCTCACATGACAAATACTTCTTACTCTTAATATATCCATCATACCTGAGTTTACAGAACTTTCTCCACTTGTCATTAGAAAAAGCATGTTTGGGTCTATCTTCTTTGTCAATTAATTTAGCATTTCGGTCGAGGGCGGTGATGATGTTCCTTGAAGTGTTGGAAGGTGGCAGGTACAAGCTCAAGTCCACAGTTTCTGCCTGCAAGAAAATTTTTTTAGTAGATACCAGTAAGTATACTTATGGTACAAGAATTCAATTTAAGGATATTTTCTTTAGTTACAGCAAGAGGTGTGTACATATTTAGGAGAGGGTAACAACAACACGATAATGTACTGCAATGTAAAGTATACAAAAATACACTATACAATGGATTACGTACCAGTATTGCAAACTTTAGGAGGACAGTCTCAGGCAGGAAGTCAATGAAAGGCAGCGTGAATTTCAGCTCAAACAACTCCCCACAGAAGGCAACATGAGCTGGAGCAAGAAACAATAGCATTAACAGCCCCCCCAGAGAGGCATTAATGTATCATATAAATAATTCATGAGATAAAGCTTTTACTCCACTTTTATACTGTTGACAAAAACCTAAAATTTTACATGAAGTTACCTGAACAGGGGTAGCAACACCCTTCCTATCTGTAAGGCCAAAAACAATCAAATGAACAGGTGGGAGGCAAGTTTTGTGGCCATGTCTGAACACTTCCTTGATTGTCTCGTGAGAATCACCGTTTTTATGGCCATTTTTCCACACTTGCAGGACCTAGCCGTGATTAACTTATGGCAGCTCTTTATGCTGCACAGTCTCTTGCTGCCTCTCTTGTCAGGTTCTTAACTCTTATGATCACTCTCACAATCTCTTGCCAAGTCATTCTTGGCCTTCCCCTGGCTCTCCTTCTCGCCTTACTCAGACTCATGCATCTCAGTCGTGCAGCACCCCACCCACAACACATTATACTAAAAGATTAATTTTTTGAAGAAGCCTTAAAAGACAACTACTGTAATGCTTTTGCTAAAAAGGAATAGCTTTTCTGTCTCTTTCTGGTACAGTTATGTCTATTTTATGAGACAAAATGTACTTGTTCCATCCCATTCCATCAAGAGAGACAAAAAAATAATTTATACAGTTCTGCATTACAAACCTAACCTAACTAACACAGGAGTGTGTTGAAACATACAAGAGGAGACAATAATTAATAAAGTATTTGTACTCCAGCATGTGGCATAAATATTTCAAAGATACAGTATAACTATCATAAAAAGGTAAACAGTTTTAGAGTTTTGGTATTATCTACCATTGGCTAGATGCTGTGAAGAACAGTCCACCCAGTTGTAGCCATTGGCGAGGGTGACTAATTCAAACTGTTGTAGCTTGAGGGTGAAATTCCAGGCGTAGGGCACAAAGTGTAACAGGTCTGGGGGCACGCGGCACGACCAGTCTTCAATCAAATCTGAAATACAAAGACAAAACATGTAGCATTTAGTGATATTTACAGTGTTACCTACAAGCTAATCACAGTTCCCTCTGTCAATCAGGAAACTGTACTCCAATTCTATTTCTTTATTTTACTCTTTCAAGCCTTTCCTGTTATACTGTCAGGTGGCCAGAATCAACAACAAACAGACTCTCCTGTCATTCATTCCTACTGCTGTAACACATGTATTCTACTATGGTATTCCCTTCCTATAACAAGCCCCTTACCTTATCTACGTTACAGTATAGCATTGTATGTTACGATTCCAAAATAACTACTGTATATAAAACAAGTCTCCACATTATTTTCCTTAAATTAGGTGAACAACGGCAATAACAGCATAAATGACTATTGCTGTGTAATCATATACTGTACACAGACTAACAATTCATTATATAATGTAGTTACAAGTTGTTGCCATGTCAATAAAGGCTTAACTATGAACTTCTTCACAATACGTCTGTGTGTCATATTCTGTTTCTTTGCCCAACCATTTCTAATAACTAATACAGGTTGGACCCAGCTAATCCAGGGCCCGATAGTCCGGCAGCTTCGATGGTTCTGGACGGTGTCATAGCTGTTGCCACTATTTTACCTTTAAATACTTATAATTTACCCCTAAATATGCCTCCTAAGAGACCAGCAAGCAGTAGAAGTGGTTGTAATGCGGCGAAACATGAGCATGTGACGTGAACTATTTTAGAAAAGGTGTCTATACTGAAGAAATTAGACAATAATAGTTTATTTTATGCCTTATTTTGACTTTTTTAACCTCAGGTTCGATGGTTCAGAATTTTTGCTAATCCAGAACCGGTCTGGTCCCAAGCTTCTCGGATTAGCGAGGTCCAACCTGTATAAAGCTATGTAAGAGGTCTCTTATATAGTACAGTGGTCCCTCGGCTAACGAACGCCTTGGTTAACGAAATGTCGGTTAACGAATTACCTTCCATAAGAATATTCAATTCGGTTAACGAATTCCTCACGAATTCCTCTCAACATGTTTTCGCTTGCTAACCAGCTGGAATATTAGTCCGCCAATACAGTAATCGGGTCTAGGGCTTAAATTTTTTCCCATTTGAGTAAATATTAAGAAGGTTGTACTATTCAATAATTTTTCAAGTTTTATACTAAATTTTTTAGTCATTTTAACAATTATTTAACATAATTGAAGTACAGGAAACTAGTTTTTAGTGCGCCAAACAGTCACTCAACTCACCAAACAGGCGTCAGTTTGTATCTCTGGTCAGTAGAGGTAACATTTTGCTTGTGACTCTCTTGAACATAAATTATTTTTATGTTTTTACAGTACAATTAATGGTCATTCTGAAATTTATTTTACATATTGACAACATATAATGCAGTGCAGTGTTGATTTAAAGAAAATAATCTCGAATTACACCTAAAGAACTTAAAATTATATGGGTGAAATGACGGCATGAAGCATGGGGTGATTTCTTTTTCACCCCCACTTCCTTCTCTTCTCCCTTCTCCTCCACCCCCACTTCTAATTTCCATCATCATCATCATCAACCAGGAGCCTTCTACATACACACCTCAAAGTAAGTGTACTTTACTGCATTTATTTTTACTTTGTATGTAATTTTCGGTGAGCTGGAATCAATTACCTAAAATCCCATTGAAACAATGGTTTCGGTTAAGGAACGACCTTCTGGAACGAATTGTGTTCGTTAACCGAGGGACCACTGTACTGTTTAAGACATTCATTTCTACAACTTTTATTTTTAATTCCCTTTTATGTTAAGAACCTACAGCTTACCATCCAAATATTAGGTATTCATTTACACTTCATCAAATATAATCCTCTAGTATTTTCAAATATACAGTATTCAATTTTCTTGTGAAAAAATACAACTTTCTTCAACTCAGTTTAGCAAATGGAAAAGTATTAAAATACTGTACCTGACATAAGAGTAAAGATATAATAAGGCTAATGATACAAAAGGTCGAGAGCATCATTTAGGGCATCACACGAGACAGTCAAACCCACCTTGGAAGAATTCTTTATGGGAGTACAAGAAGTGGTAGGTGGCTTTGCTGCTGCTGAAGTCCAAGTCCCACATCTGGTGGTGGTTCCACACACGAGGGTAGTGGATGGTCACGCCGTAGTCCAGTGTCTCAGCTTCCAGGAGACTACGGTACTGTGGGCAGAGTGTGTACTGTACTGTGATAGCCAAAAGGACTTATAAAGATGGAATAGTGATATTGAACAAGAATCACCAACTGGCAACACATCCCTCAGCTCTGTAGGTGACATGAATGGAAGAATTAGTAATAATAAGAACAATAACAATACTAATACTAATACTAATAATAATAATAATAATAATAATAATAATAATAATAATAATAATAATAAAATAGTCATAATAATAATATAATAATAATAAGAACAATAATAATAATAATAATAAGAACAATAATAATAATAATAATAAGAACAATAATAATAATAATAATAATAATAATAATAATAATAATAATAAAAATAATAATAAAATAGTCATAATAATAATAATAATAATAATAATAATAATAATAATAATTATAAATAATAATAATAATAAAAAATAATGATAATAATAATAATAATAATAATAATAATAATAAAATAGTCATAATAATAATAAAAATAATCATCATAATAATAATAATAATAATAATAATAATAATAATAATAATAATAAAATAATAATAATAATAATAATAAAAAATAATAAAAATAAAATAATAAAATAAAAATAATAATAATAAAATAATAATAATAATAAAAATAATAAAAAATAAAATAATAAAATAAAAATAATAATAATAAAATAATAATAATAATAAAATAATAATAATAATAAAATAATAATAATAATAAAATAATAAAATAAAAATAAAATAATAATAATAATAATAATAAAATAGTCATAATAACAATAAAAATAGTCATCATCATAATAATAATAATAATAATAATAATAATAAAATAACAATAATAATAATAATAAAATAATAATAATAATAAAAATAATAAAAATAAAATAATAAAATAAAAATAACAATAATAATAAATAATAGTAACAATAATAACAAAAATAATAATAATAATAATAATAATAAAAATAATAATAATAATAATAATAAAAATAATAAATAAAAATAACAAAAATAACAAAATAGTCATAATAATAAGTCATAACAATAATACAATAATACTGTAATAATAATAATAATAATCTCAATAAAAGTCATAATAATAATAAGTCATAACAATAATACAATAATACTGTAATAATAATAATAATAATCTCAATAAAAGTCATAATAATAATGTAAAATAATAATAAAAACAGTCACTGCTTATGTCACAAAAGATCCAAGAACTTGCTTCAACATCTGATGCTGACATTAAAAATATAGAAAATAAAAATTCATACTAGAACGCTTAACATGGGAGAGGTGAATGTTGAAATATAATAGACTCACTCACTCACCTGTAGACTAGTAGAAGCATCCACATGGAAGAGTTGACCATTAATCCTGGTTCTATACCCTTCTTGGTTTATTGCCCACGGGAGAGTCATCTCAAAGTAAGATCCTCGCTGTACATTCATGTGGACTGCGTTGGTCACTTTCTCCTAAAAATAAATAAATTTGAAAATCATTGTACATTTTTTACACTTTATGCTTGAACATTTTTACACTATATTTGTACATTTTTACACTCTACGCTTGTAGAGTTTCACACACTTCACTTTCTGTTTGTACATTTTTCAAAGAAAGAAAATGCAAAAAATGGAAAATACACTTTCTTAAGCCAGGCTCACTGAGTGTGGGCTTGTGATGGCACCAAGTGTGAGCTCATTCAAGATCAGACCTGACCAACACTGATGCAGGTACAGGTACATTCAGGTGCCAGTGCATGCCCAGTACTTGCCAACAGTGTGTTACAGAGATGTAACTGACTGCCCAAGCAACTAACAAGCCGATCAGTGGCAAAGAAGATAAAGTAAAGTAATTGTATATCATTGTGCTCCAAAACTTAAAATACACAGGTACTGATGAAGGATTTGATAACACTCACCTGATCTCTCCCTGCACTTTTTATTTGTTAGGGGTGTTGGTGGCACACCAGTAGAACATTTGCCTAGGTTCAATTCCCAGCAAATGTCAGATATAAGAAGGGTGTTAACTTAGGTGACCCTCCCAATCAGCTTAGATTTTCTCCGGGTAATGTAATCTGGTTTCCTCATGTACTAACACAGGACAATGTAACAAAGAACAGACCAACTGCCTAAAAAGCCAGTAGCTAATAAGTTGTAAAACTGATAAATTAAAAATTGAATTAAAATAGAAGTTCTTCCAGTGCAAGAATAAAGAAAAAGCAGTAAACGTGACATACACAGTACCTTGGAGAAGAGAATGTCAATGGTTGCCTCAGTCAGAATGCTGAGACGTAAATCAAACTGCTGAACTTTACGTAACTCCCCAGGAACTGGTGCATTTGGCATCTGTTGGAGAAATGGAATAAGAACTTAAGTCAAATTCAAGCGCTGTAATAAACAAGAGCCATTGTTAGCCCCATCAGAACCCACTGGTTGTCTGCCCCTTCAGAAATGACAATACTGTACTTACAGAACAACATCAGAATAGGTGAGCAACTGATAGGGAGGGTTTTGTTCATCCTTACACTGAAACAATAGTAATGTAGATTAAAAAAAAACTTTATACCCCGTATAAAATTGCCTCAAATATATAATGCCATAAAACTAATTATATTTTCTTATGCAAACTTACAGGCATATAAAGGAAACATAAGAGCTAACAATTTTTTTCATTTACTAAGTGTGCAGAAATTAAGTACTAGGTGATTGTACCAGTATGAGGGAAACAGGAGATACAATGTCACATATTGCACTTCAGTGTGGGAGAGTATAGTGGGAGGTGTGTGGGAGGATGTGCTGGGGAAGGGTAGGTGGCAGGATGTGATAATATTTTGTTAAGTTCCACTGGTTATTAGTCTGGGACCCTGAGAAATTATTAGGGGTGTGTCTCACTGGTTACAGGAGACTGAGATATATGATATCTTCACCAGCCTGTGTGAACATGCTAAAACAATGTGAGCAGAGACAGCCTACAAACTGCAGGTCAGGGGACTAACATTCTGACAACAAACTATGTACAAAATAGTAAGGGATAATAAGAAATAAAGGTTGCCACTCATGAAACGAGCATGGCTGGCCCAAGGGCCACCTAGGCATGAATTTGTTTAAGGTGTAGAAGCTGTCGCCAACACAACAACCACACCCTGAGTTAACGAGTTGCATGACCCAGTGTCAAGGAATAGTCCGAGAATACCGGACAACTCGCCAACTGCACTGGCTAAATATTACCCCGGAACACGATTTGCAAATCAATGAACATCCAGGTCCCCAATTACTGCAGGGTAGACAGAGGCAAATGGCGTAAAGAAACTTGTCCGTAGTTTCACCCTGCCCGGGGATCGAACCCGGGTTCACTAGCTTGCAAGGCGTGCATACTGACCATTACACCACAGGTTGCCACAGTAGTAAGGGATACCTTGTTCTGTACACTATGTAACAGAGCAACATACAGCAATCTTAAGTCAAGACTACATCCACCACCTCACCCATCTTCTGATCAGTCTATTAACTTATCAACAGTGTCATAATGGTGATAGTATGGTGTTAGTATAATGACAGTAACATTACAATGATGGTGGTGATACTTAATTAGACCCAATATTTACCATTAAAGAGCAACAACCAAAGTTCCACTTTTTAAGGCTCCATGAACACAACTTAGCATCTAAAGTTCCCCTGGGAGGTCAGTGGGCCCCAGCCTCACCTTCACTGTCTGGTAATCTTGTGGGCAAAAGAAGCGAAACAGCTGCTCTCGTTGACGGTCGGCCCACGGACCATAGCTGAGGTTGGTACCCTTTGCACACTTAATATCCAAGCCCCACACAGGTGCTGAGGCCGTTACTTCATCTCCATTCGGCAGTCTCATTGTCTGAGATCATTTAATAGAAACTGTGTTTATTATTTAATGTAATACATCCAACCAAATATTAGTTACTGTGCAAAAACCATTTATGTACAGACAGGATAGCACCATGACTACAGTACCCGAAATATTTTCAATCAAGAATGTAACAACTACCAAGCTCACCTGAGGGTGCTCTGGCACAGGTCCTGGTTCATCCACATAATAGTAGAAGTGCACGAGGCTGGATGACATCACCACAAACCCTTCACCCATATATCTAGGTGGCTCATCTAAAACACCAGTGTATTTTGGGCTTGGAGCAAGGATCACCTGGTCAAAGAATTCCCTCATTAATTTATGAAGATCAATCATTCAAAGATAACTCAGTAAAGAGTGAGAGAGGTGTGGACATGGAGGAGTGAACAGACAAGTGTAAACATCACTGTAGAGTTTGGAGAAAGATTTACAACAATTAATCTATAATTAATTAGAATATCATATTGAATAAATACAATGGTAGTGAGTAAATATCTTCAACCCCTTCCCACCATAGGAACTGTACTTCACTATAAAAAGAAAAATCAGTTTTGTTATCTTTAATGGTCAACAAACACTTCAATTATGGTTTGAACTGACTGGTACATGTATATGAATTCCTCCAAGTGAAATTTTCAAAAAAATATATAAATTCTATAATTCCTAATGTAATGGTGGCAGGAGGATAATAAATATATTTGCATATTTTGTAGAGTACTGTACTCTTTAACTTTACTCTTTCTGTCATTACTGTAGTGTAGTGTAGGTTTTAAGCTTCAGCACAACTACAGTACACCACAATGTTGTACATGATTAACAAAGATACAGTCAACCCTCCAGTTTGGCGAATTCAAAGTTGGCAGTCAAAATTCAAAGTACCCTGCCCGCCATAATGGCGACCAAACCCTCACCTTTGGCGAGAGTTTAAATTTAAATGCAATCACAACTAATAATTGCACAGTAGAATAATAACTGCAAGACAAATCTCGCTTAATACTACTGGTGAGTATTATTGGCGAGTATTTACCAAGCGCAAAGTGCCAGTCAGCTGTTCTGGCAGCCATTTTGACCGCGCCAATCCACATTCCCGCTACTTGTTTGAGTGACCTTGGCCTTTGTGTCCCCCCCCCCCTTTTTCCCCCCTCTCGCTTGGCGCGGTGTTCTCGCATGGAATTATGGCCTCAAAAGTACCTGGGGGTATTGGAGGGGATGATAATGATGGTGAAAGACCGTCTGACCGTCTGAGCGCCTGGGAAGAAAATGTAAAAGTACTCAGATAGCAACTTAGTGTACGTTAAGCTGCTCAACTTTAATTTTAAGGTTGGTTTTCTGTTTATGTTGATTACCTAATTATTCATTCTCTTTCAGCAATAAAATATAGGTTATACAGTAGAACGTCGATTTAAAGCAAATGGTTTAAAATTATTGATTTACAAAGACACCCACAATTAAGGACACCTTATCAATTTAAAGAGAATCTTTCCTTTTAACGTGAATCAAATCTGGCGCGGATTACCCCGGGGGTAAGGTTACAATTTCCAATTTCAAGCTAAAAATTTTCAAAATGGGTTATAAGCACACCAAACACTCCTCTACACCTGCCATCCCACCTCTCTGTCTTCAGTTGCTGCATGGGTATTGTCAGAGTAACACCTGCCTCTAGTGTGTGTCAAATTAGTGCGCTTTAACCTCTCTCATACTCGTTCATAATGCCCAAACACAAGCTAACTCTGTACTGTATATGTACTCAAATGTACTAAATAATTACAAAATTTTTTATGCCTAGTGCAAACTATAGCATATTTATATTCAAATTAATCAGTATCTTACAAGGATCCCAGCAATGTAAGTTATATTCTCCCAGGTCAGTTCAGTGACATTTTATAAGCAAAAAACAAAAACTCATTGTAAAGGACAGATAAATAAATAAAAACTTATAATAGACCTCTCGATACCAGCTGTCAAGCACCTCAACCCCTATCTTCCAAGCCAGGGTTTGGTGGTTTTAGGCTTAAAGTTTTTATCTTATAAAATATCACAGACTAAAGTTAGGAGAATATAACTTGCATTGCTAGAATTCTTGCAAGACAGTTAATAATTTGAATATAGACATCATATATTTTGCACAAGGATAAAAATTTTAGTACATTAATGTAATACATTTTAGTAATGTACAAGTTTTTCAACTGTATTTTTGGGTAGATTTACATAACTTTCTTCATTTAATTTTACTCATTTACATGCACAATGTGCGGCGCCAGTGAGACTACCCTCTCACATCAGCTGATTTTAGCTGTGTTGATTTATGAGTCTTTGTTTTAGCATAATACTACAAAAAACAATGTTTTGTTTATTCTAGGAGATAGGCTGAGGTGCATCTGGGTAGACTCTGTCTTTTTAGTATTTTGTGTTTCTCTCAAGTACCAAACTAAATTATTCCATTGACACAACACTACGATTTAGTGCGAATTCAGTTTAAAGCGACCTCTCTTGGAACGTATATCGTGTTATATCGACATTCTACTTATGTTGGTAAAATAGGAAAAAATTGAGACTTTGGGTGGCCCCTCAGTGCCAATTAGACTTTTTCCCATTGGATTAAGCCCTCTGCTTTGGCGATTCTGGGTTTAGCGAGGTTTTTTCGGCACAAATTAGTCGCCAAACTGGAGGGTTTACTGTACAGTACTGTACAGTATATGTATCAAAGGAGCATAACACTACCAGGTCCATCTCTGACACCTAATGACATACCCTGAAGTTCTCTGCTTTTGAAGTGAGAACTTGCATAAAGTAGTCTAGGGAGCATGCTGCTGGCTTGGTCGTGTAGCAACACTCAGCCTTGTCTGTTGTCAGGAGGAGTGTCGACGCTACCAGACGGTTGCCAAATACAAACCTGGCCTAAAAGGGAAAATTTTCATAATTCTTGATGTTACATTTACATTCCTGCAAACTGTAAAGTATCTAAGTATTATTACTTATATTCATACTCCATAACTGTAAGGCATGTAACAAGGTACAGTAATTAAATTCTTTGATGAAGTAAAATGAGAAGAGTGACAACTGTACTATACTTATTTACATTTGTACATAATGAATGGCAGGAAGTGGACAGGAATAACATACAATTAATACAGTAATTTTAAAAAGATGTGTCAGGTTCTTTGGCCAAATTTTTACACATTTTTATCATACTAAAGATTTAAATACCAATTTCCTTATACAGAGGGTTATGCAATTTTGTTTGTTTTCTTATACTGTACTTAAAAAATACTCCACCCAAATCTTTACTGAATTCACATCCCATTAAGCCATCATTTCCACTATCTTATTTCTTGACTCACCATAATGAGATCAATATTCTAAATCAACATGAACAAGCTAAGAAGAAAGGAAAGACTCACCATATCATAAAAATATTCTGGATTAACATAAACAAGCTAAGAAAGGAAGAATGACTCACCATATTGAGATCAATCTTAACGACAGGGATGAGATCTCTCCAGTCATGCCAGAAACTCATGTCATGGTTCTGTGTCTGTCCCTCCTCCCCCTCCCCATCCTCCTCAGACTTGCCAGGTCTGTTCCCAGATCCTAGCTGATTATCTAATCCAAATGTTTTCTCTAATTCACTGTAAAGTTGTGACCGATTGTAAATGTGCAGTTCTGGTCCGTTGAGCTCAAGCCACACTCGATGGTCACAGTGTGACATATCTGAAATTATAAGAAGTAAGTTAGAATCCTTTAAATGTTGCAAAAGCCAATACTGTACATGATATCCGCTTTAGACAACCACCAAAACACAAGGTGGCAGTTTATACAAATGTATAAGGCCTTACAAACTTTTCCCATTTGGGCTTGTGTATTTTCCCAATATACTGTACAGGTGAGAACTTTTTTTTTTTTCAGTGTAGCAAAGTAGGTTTTTGGTTCTGTGGTATTATAATTTTATGACCCTGTTTTGAGGAGGCTGTTGGAAAAGGAAATCTTTCCTAACACATAGTAAATATCTAATTTGTCAAAATACACACACAAAGGACCACTACTAAAGGTATATTATGTGTCTCCTAATGTGAAAAACTTTAAACATTTACCTTCTGAGAGCTCACGCTTGGCATATGGCAGCCAGTATCTGAACTTGAGGATCCCATCAACGATGCGGAGGTTGTAGTCTTCTGTTACATATACAACATTACGAAACATGATCTTGCCCGACAATACCGACAATGAAAATGAACCTGGAAAGTTGAGAAAAATATTAGTGTAACGTTTGCCTGAAATATTTATAATAACACTGGTGTACCAGGTATGCATAAATAACACACCTAATATTTCAAAACAGATCAAGTATCTTTAAACCTTAGACTGTGGCTAGTGCAAAAGCTGCTTTTTACTGCACTGTACAGTATATGGAAAAAAAAAATTTAAAACACATGTGATATTCTTATAAATTAAAGATATACTGTATACACTGTACTGTACATGCAGAAGACTAAAAATTAAGCATTAATTTACTCATATTTGTTCAGCCCTGGTGGAGTGTTTAAGTGAGTGTGCAGGGGCCAAGGTAATAGGGGGTAGGAGGGAGAAGCCAAAGGATGGTGGGGGAAGACTGCCAGTAATGGAGATGAACATGCATCTTCCATGATGACAAGGCAAATGAGAGCCCTATACTGGCTATACTGGTGTGCGTAGTTTGAGGAGGTCTACTAGGACACATGATGTGCTTTATGAATGCTAAAAAAACGGTCAATCTAATAATGAGGGACGTTGCAGTTTAACCCTTTGAGAACTATGACAATCTCTGGGGATGATGGTTTGACAATTTAAGAACAATGGGTTAAGGGCCCATGACATGGGGCAAAATTTCCCCATTACTCAGGAGACACCATCGTACTCAGTTAGATTTTAAGCCGGAAAACAGTAATCTGAGGACTCTTAAAATGACCAGGAGTTTCTGGTGGAAATTAACGGGATTTTTAGTTCACTTCAGCTACTATAATATCTGATGCTGAATTGTAATGGCACAATTATAAATCTAAACTTAAAATAATCTTACAGTATACTGTATAAATAAATTTTTAAATAATTATTGGTTCTGTACCAGCAAAGCATTCACCCTTACACAGACACAGTAATGTATTTTTAATATTCTTAAACAGACGTTCAGCATTTGTTTACATCCAGCAAACTACAACATGCAACAATACATGTTGACAAAATGGATTGTGAAGCTACCAGAATTTTGTGCTGAAACCGCACCTATTTTTTTAATTCCTGATTCTTTTTCTTCATATATGTTTAATGCAATTAAAGTATGAATAAGCTTTTTTGGTGAAACACAGTACAGCTGACACCAACCTCATGTGCATCCATCATTGTTGTTTTTATTTGAGTGACGGTGGAATGACAACAAGGCGGTAAATGTGTGATTGGGACCACACGTTTAGTGATGTGGGGATGAGAAATAAGAATGATAAATGGTAGAAATTTTGCCCAGTGTGTCAGCCTCTCTTACCCTTTGATGAGTTAACCCTTTGAGGATGATGGTGTGACAATGTGAAGACAATGATTTACACCTTTGTCTCCTCAAAGTAAAGATATTCCCCTTAATATGGACACATTTTTTTCCTTCCATACAAAGCACAAAATCTTAAAGGCTCTACCACCTAACCCTTCACAACATGGCTACAAGATATTAGTGGCAGGTGCTGTTGAAGATTATTTTTTTATCACAAACTAGCATTAAACATTACTGTATTTTAATTAATTTACAATATTTGTCTCATACAAAATAATTCACTCATTGGATCACCTCAAGATTAGCCCTAGCTTATTTCAGCTTAAGACTAACCACAATAACACTCAACTAACGTAACCCACCAAGTAGCATTAGGCATTTAATCATCAGGTGAAATAAATTGAGGGGCTAATTTCAAGTATAATCCCACTTAACCCATAAGAATTTACACTGATTTCTAAAATAATTTATTGCATATGGTTGGCCTCAGGTTATGGCATGAATAACAAACCTCATGTTGTTATTATGTTTCTATTACACAAAAATATAACACTGCCTCCCCCCTTCCCCAAGATGATGATACATATTAACATTTCTATATAAAAGACAGGAAATAGTTTATCAGTAATGTAATACTGTATTCTTTAAATGGCATGGGAAAGGAAGGTGTTTATCAGCAATACAATATGTTACACTCAAGTAATTTGGGGAAGCGTTACTTCATATCTAAGTGGGAAGGAAGTAAGTCAGACAACAGACAGATATCCCAATGAAATTTATCTCTACGTGTGATATGCTACAGTAGCTAGCTATATATATATATATATATATATATATATATATATATATATATATATATATATATATATATATATATATATATATATATATATATATATATATATATATATATATATATATATATATATATATATATATATATATATATATATATATATATATATATATATATATATATATATATATATATATATATATATATATATATATATATATATATATATATATATATATATATATATATATATATATATATATATATATATATATATATATATACTTATGTTTTCCTGTATTTGTTTCAGAATTTTGTGTAATACAGTAATCATTCACTCTGTATACACATAGCAGAGTGGTGGCACAGCTTCACAGGTGGCTGGTTATCCTGCAGTGAGTCATCCCTCTAGTATAAGCTCCCCACATTTCTGCATATTCATGTAATGAACTCTCTCTCTCTGCCGTTTCCTTCAACAGATCTTTACTCTGTATAATATCTTCCAACTTATTTTAATACACTCTGTCATTCTCTTCATTGCCTTTCTCAGTAGAAGCTTACATCACCTCACCAGTCAAAGCTCTTCTTTTTATTTATTTATTGAACTTTTTCATCTCAAACAAACTGCAAAAGAACCACAGACCTTGAGTTGAAAATAAAGTAAATCACTTTATTATCACATTCAACTTGAAACATGTCCTCCACAAAACCTGAATACTTCACAGCTAATCATTTGCTGTAGTTCACTAAGTCCAGTACATCTATTATTAAGACACCAAACATTCTTCTAGTGTCATACACAGTTTGCCTCCGCCAGTACACAATCACAACATTCTTTACATTAAGCACTTTGGAACACCATATTACCCACTGAGTTTATCAAATTTCACTTAATTTATCTTATAAAACTTGTGTCTTTACTACCACAGCTCCAGGTTCTCTCAAGCAGTGATCAGTATGGACTGCACACTTTTTCAAGATTAAATTTAAATAATTCCACTCTAGAACATTTCCCTTCACTGTATGCCCAGAAAACCTGTATCTGATGTTCTCATGCATAGCAGGAGGGTGATTACTTTATTGTAGATCACCTGAAGATTAGGCATCCCAATTTACCTCACCTGGAGATTAACAAGCCTGATACTACCCTAACCTAAACAGTGAAATAAGCTGGTATGTCTAATCATAAGGTGGTCATTTTTTCTTGAAGTGAAGGGGAAGCAATGGCCCATAGTAATAATACACATATCTTTACACATTTGTCTGGGGTTTGGGAACCAGCAGAGTTATTACAGTATATGAAATCAGTGAAGGAATATATATAAAAAAATTCAAGTTACTCTTCAGGGTAGTTGCAGTTGACACAAAATACACATGGTACAGTAATTTCTTTTAATTTATCATTTCACCCACCTGTCAACTTACTAGCTATTCCGGCAGTTAGACTGTTCTGTGATATGACCTTCAATGTCCAACGGTAGTAGAGGAGGTAATCATAGTACCCATGCTAGGAATTGATCCCAGTACACAATGGTGAGAGGCATGTACCACCAACAAAGTTAGTATCAACACCATCCAACATTGCATCCAGATACCTGTGGAGTATACACTGAAAGTTACCGACTTACCTATTGTCAAGTCCCCAGTTTTGACGAATCTCCGTAGGATGGCGGTCAGAATGCTTCCTTGTACCCTTGAGTTAAAGAGTATGGTGTAGATGGACCAAGATATGGCCACCAGCAGGGAGAGAACCAGGTATCCCAAATCGGGATTTTGCTGTGGGAAGAGAGACGACTCATATTTTTCTCTAGAATCTTCAAGTGACACACAGACTTAGCGCAGTGTGCAGGCTTAATCTTCTGAGTGAGAGAAAGATATAGTTGCCTCTGAGTGTAATTCTGACATCATGTTGGCTGCCATATCTCTGTCACATCTAAAGCCGGTCAAGAAGATTTAATTCATCGGTCCCCAGTTATGAGGAAGACAATGCAAAAAGCCTCTGAGAATGTAAGCCCAGGAGGTCAAGGCTGTGGTGTAAGATCACCAACAGGTAGAGGAATGGTTGTACTGAACACTACACTAGTATCACGAGGTAAGAAAACTGGGTGTGAGTTTTGAAGCTGAAGAGTAATATTAAGCAAGAGCAGGAAATTACAGGTGGTTATATTAGTTGAGTTATTAAAATAAGACACAAGTGAGAAGAAGAGTAAGGACCATTGAAGTGTTATAAGCAAGAGGTCAGCATGGTTACTTCCTCCATCAAGTTTCTCTTATTCTTAGACTAAACTGTATATAATAACCAGAAAGATATATATATATGTTAGTAGAAAGACTGCAGAAGTTTCTACAGTAATCCCGTGTTTTTCGCGGGAATTACGTTCCTGAAACCCCTGCGAAAAGCCAAAACCGCGAATATTCTTTTAGGAATCACTGTACCTGTGGCCACCAAACAGCTCAGGTAGGTCATGCACTTAACCACACCATGCTCTCCACTCACGGCCCAGTGGTCACACTGATCACTGATGCACTGTATCGGCATTTACTAACATCATTATTTGAAACTAATCTTATTGTAGTATAATAATGGAAAAACGTAAACAGTTATATACCCAAAAAAAAAAAATTCTTTACAAGTAAATAAAAAAATATATATTTTGCTGAGGTCGGCAACACCTGCATTGCCAGCCTCTCCCTGCTATCCCGGCGTCTGCCAGCCCTCACGCAGTCACGCCAGCCAGCCAGTCCTCTTCCACTCACATTCCTCCACTTGTATTCTGACAAAAGACACAAATGAATTGTCAGTTTTCACCACATCTCGAGCCATAGCTCATACCACCTCTGAGCTTGTCCAATAAAACTGTTTTTTCCGTTAAGGTCATCACAATTCTTGATCTCTTGGTCACTTTAGTCTTTGCTAGTAATATTTGCCTTTGATGAGGCTGGCTTACATCCCGGAGCCATGTGGAATGCACGTGGGAGTACAAACAGAAGAGGCAATCACAGTACGGTAGGCACGTGAGGACAGAGGCTTCTCGGAGCAGCGGGTGTATGAGGCGGGAAAGGGTGGTGTCTGTTTGCTGCACCGCACAGGGGAATATCGAAAATGACGCAAAATTTTAATTTTTGTTTTTAAAGGATATTGTATATACAGTTTCTCCTTCACTTATGACGGGTTCCATCCCGACGACCAGGTCGTAAGTCAAATTGGTATTAAGTCGAAAAGGCGAAAATAATACATAGAAATTCTAAAATGGGTGTCTCTTTTTCTTCTCAGCACCACAAGAACTCTCACTTTTACACTTGCCAACCATTTTAAAGGGAATTACAAAAAAAATTTTTGTCAGTACACAGCTCGATCACTAATGTCGGGACTCGAAAATACGTAATGTGAAAAATATTTTACACGACCATGGCCGTCATATGTTCGGGTTGTCGTAAGTCAAATATGTCATAAGTCGTGGAGAGACTGTATATATAATTTTTTAGTAAAAAAAATGCGAATGGTCAAAACCGCGAAAAGCACGGGATTACTGTACGGTAATATGTTGCTCAATATTATGGCTTTTTCACAAGAAAAAGTCTGTTTAACTAACCCCAGTGGTCAGGATAATATGTTCTATATTTTTGGTGCTTTTTTATAGAATTATTTATCGTTTTTTATACATTTAGTACATTCACCGGAAGATTGGCTTTTTCCGACAGGTGGTCCCCCCTTTAGTCTGGATCTTTGAGGGTTCACTGTACAAGACAAAACATTCATATTTCTACTCACCAGATCTTCGAAGACATCATTCAGGATACCCGTACTGGAGTTCTTATCCGTGAATGGGGCTCCTTCTAAAGCAGTGTCCAAGAACACCTCCTCCAGCCCCTCCCCACTTGTGCCAGCCTCTACACTCATTATGTCTACCTGCAAGAATTGTCATACAGTATTTCAAGCAGTATTAACAATAGCAATACAAATTTTTCATTGTTATAACAGACCCTAACGTACCGAATGATACGTACCTGTACGTACGCCAAATGAAACTCAAGCATACTGACTATGAACTGTGTAAATGGATGAGTTGTCGGTTCTGTGTTTGTTTTTGTTTTTTTACAGGGATTAGCCCACCAGGCCACAGGTCACTGACCCACATCAGGGCATGGGTGACAAAAATATGATAATGATAATGATAATAATGATGATGATGATGATGATGATGATGATGATGATGATGATGATAATAATAACTATTATTATTATTATTATTATTATTATTATAATTCAAAAAATAATAAAACAAATACCTGTGCTAAAAATAAAAATAATATACTAAAAATAATAATAATAACCATAAATAAATACAAAAACAAGAAAAATAAATCAAGAATGAGAAACGATATACATTATGTATGTTGTGTTGTCAAAGTAAGAAAAACAATTGAGACCCTGCAATTGTGTGTAAATGAGGCAGAAAGTCAGATCAGCAAATTGGGACTTGGTCACAATTTTCGTGATGCCATATAGCAGCAGGGTCTACCATTAGACAACACATTATGCTTCCAATATCTTCCCAGGTGGTAGTACCTCCCTGTTTGATAGCTGCCTACTACCTACAAGAAATACACTGTCACATTCGTAGAGTGATACGGTATATATAATTTGTAATAAAAGTTTAAAGTCTTGTTATAATAGTCAAAATCAGTTTTTTTCTCTAGAAACAGGGCCGTCATTTGTAGTGATGTCACCACCTTCCCTGCAGATGAAGCAGGGATGGAGATACGAGTCGATTTAGAAGTACCTACAGAGTAATGACATTGTCTGGACTTTGTTTTGAGAATGCTTGATGCTAGGTAAATATGACAACATGGTGCTGTTATTGTTTTGATGATTCACTAATGAACCACTGGGATATATCATCATTTATATTAATTAAAGGGTAAAATTTTACTTTAACTACCATAAGTATTTGGATGCATAGATTCGAGATAGGCTATATTGGGTAAATTTTAAGTTTTAATCATCCCTGGACTTAGACATGCAGACTATGTTTTTCTGATGGCTTGCGATGTGTTATGAACAATTTAGGCCTTCATTTCTATCAGAAATCACTAGTTTTGAGTTACTACCCCCTTACCGATGTATGTTAAGCTAACCTTATAGCTTATAATATAACTTATCATACCTGTTACCGCAAGCGGTACTGAATTATGATGACACATAAACAAACGTTATGTTAGGCTGTAACTCATGTCAGGTTTATTGCGTGTGCCTGCCAGTATACAGTATATAGTGTTGAGATGGAGGCAGATGAGACCCCCCGAGTAGGTTGAGGTGTTGGGTGGTGGGAAGTGAGCTTGTTTGCGTATAATACGCCTGACACAGCGAGTTTGAAGTGGCCAGCTTGATCATATGGTGCCCAGCCGGGCACCGCCAGCCTCCCTGTAGCTATCCCCATCACACCACCAACACCTAACCTGTTTCTCCTGAAGACTTTCAACACCTAAGTTTAACTTGTATTTATTGTGTACACAGGTAGACTGTGTTCATTGCATCGTTTATCATTGTGACAACATAAAAATATGGCAAATTAAGTACTCTTTGTAAGTGTTAAGATTAGACTAATTACATAGCTATGATTGTTATGTAAATATATATTGGATTAGACATTAATGTGATTGCCTATGTATGATTTATGTGAAATACTAAAATGAATTGTATTCAACAGGTTTGACCGAATTATAATGTTCGAGTCCAATGTCACGAGTCTGAATATTCCTTTAACCGCCTGACTGGCGGTTATAAAACCCAAACCTAACCTAACATATGACCTGTATTTTCTTATGCTATTGAAAAATGTTTTGCGACAGAAATCCTGTAGAGATAATGTGTCTTATTATTTAAAGTACTTAATTCTAGAGTTGGAATCTTAAGGTTCCACAGAAGACCAAAACCAAAATAATACCAATATTGTTTGGAATGTTTAAACAATGAAATTTGTATTAGGGGCAGCAAATATCCATTGAATTAGTTAATGTGCTTAGTAATATTTATATATTCAATAAACTGTACATTAGTATTACTGTGTTGCACAGTAAAGCACAATTAATTATCTAATAATATTTATTTACACAGCCGATCAGCGGAGAAGGTTGGTAAAACTACTTCCAGGGTTCATCAAGGCAGATGAAAGAAATTTACCAAAGTAGATGTCTTTATGATTGTAGAGCATTATCAAGAACTCCGCCATCCAGCTATGAAGCACGTTAAATTACCTCTGTCATCTGATCATCTCAAGCCCATCCCCTGGCCATGGTCATCCCTTGTCCTTCCACAACATTAAATATAGACATCAGTGACGAAAACTTATATTTTCCAGACATGAAATAGAGAACAGTGATGAAAACTTCCCTGTTGGAGTTATCGGTCTTTTGCATCATTTTGTCACCCAGCAAGTAAATACACACGATGATACTTGAGCAGTAATTTATTTTAACCTTAAAATAAGGTATGCCTGTGTAATCAACATTGTATATGGCAACAAGTCCTGTATTTCTGCTGGTAACAACACATACACCACAGCTGGCTGCCTCCAGGCTCCTGCACTGCGGCTCGCAATCTACCCGACATCCACCTCAAATGCTTGCAAAGCATTTTTAACCTTACGCCACAGACAAATAAATTTATGTAACAGTATTCTCAGTTTTGTACTGACCATCACTAAGAACAATAGAATTCATTTCCCAAATTAAAGTTGCTTCAACCAGAAGTCATTCTGTGATACATGTTGATTTAAACACATTTATATTAGTTTTCCAATCCATGATATGATTATTGCTCCTAATATGAATGAAAAGTGCATTGCTTTCAGATACTGTTCTATTATTATACTTGTGTTGTTTTATTCCAAGTTGTAATGCTTTCCCAGTCTGACCTACATTACATAATTTCCATTAAAATTGCTACATGAAATACAGTAAACACTTCCATTGGGCTGTTCTTAATTAACATAATAGTAATAGTTGGGTCATAATTAAAAACAACATTAATGATAAGTAAGTTAAGTGGTTGAACTAATGGGATAAATTCCTTATGATAAGATAGATAAAATATTCTTAAATGGAGGATCTTGTTTAGTATGAGTACAATAAAGGGATTTTTTAACCCTTTTAAGACAACAGTCATCAAACAATGAAGGGTAACCAAGTTTTTGTGCAATGAACTGAATGTGTTGCAGTTCCTCTTCAATAAATTCCGGGTCACAAATTTGCAAATGTCTCAAAGGCAAAGCAGAAAAAATGGCATTTTGGTTTTTACTGTATAATGACCAGGTTAGGTTAGGTTCTTTTAGTTATTTTTTACCCAACATTTTCCCTCTACATATTTCAAAGCCCTGCCCACTTTGAACAAATATTACTGTGGGTCATTTATCGGTCAAAATACTCGAAAAACATAACTTCTGACAGAAACGTTATAGAATAAATTATATTTATTTTTTCTCTTTCTCCGTATATGAAACTCAATATATAAGTCGGTGTTAGCAACTTCTAAATATTAACCTCATCAAGCATTAACCAAATAATGTAAGATATCAAAAGTGGAGTCCCTGTAGCGAAGGGGTTAATGCCAAAATAATATGCCAGTGTTTGCAGAATAATTACTCTCTTCTTTCAATACACATCTAAAACAGCCACTTTAGGTGCACAGGAATGTCAAACTTTTAGTAATTAACAAATAAGTTCACAATTGAGTAATATTATCAATTCAGTCATGCAGCAAATTTTAGGATTTTAAGTTTAGTTTAGGTTAGGTTAATTTAGATTAGGTTAAAATTATGGTTTCCGGGAGGTTGTTGACGTGTTTTAAACAACTTCCAAATAGGTGGATGACCAAAACGATAATTTTACCCACAATTGTTCATCAAATACATACTGTATGACAGTACAGGTGTACCACACAATGGTTAACAGTAAGTTGACTTAACCAAGGGCAGCCTAAGATATGTTATAATCTTATATACATACTGAGATAAACGTAGTGACAGGGGTTCACATGTCATAATTTAACAAAACCTTAAATACCGAGGTTAGAGGTGGGCGAGGCAGCAACACCTCCCTTCAGTGTAAATAAACCTTTTAATGTTTATCTTGGCCAAATAAATCTACTTTTTACCACAGTTACATAAACATTTACCATATATTTGCATTGTCCAAGTACAAGATGTGCCAAAGTGAACTTGTCTGATAATATAACTCTAAATATCAATCTCTCGCTAACAAACTTCCCTCCACTACTGTACACACGGCTTTCACCTACCTTAATGATGAGTTATATTCTTCCCATAGTTACTGACTCGCTGCAGAAGTATATCAGAGTGCCCATCATGAGTAACAAGGTTCAGGTGCAATTTACTGGACATTTAAATCTTTAGTGTCATGCCGCTGGGTCATTTAACCTAACAGCAGCATCACTCTTCTCAAACACGAAAACAACTTGAATGACTAGCCACATAAATAGTGTTTCATTTATTAATAATTATCTTTTTATTAATTTTTCTAACTTTTGTAGGGAAGTTGAAGTTTGATATATAAGTTATTTTATTTATATTGCGGAAATAAGAAGTTAGAAGCAAAATTCAAACTGTATTTAATATTCGATGGATTTCTCGATTATTTTATGTTTAGATGAAAATATAGAACTTTGATTGATAATTTCAAATTACATAAACAAGTAGGAATAGTTTGTTAAATATAGAATATATCTTTAAAATATGAATATTTATATAAATTATTTCTTTCCATTTTAGTCCGTTTATATTATTTTCGTATTTCAGGATAAACTAACAACAATAAACTTCGTCCACTTTCCTACAGTGTTGTACTAATACCCTTTAATACCTTTAGTTCAAAAGTACCTAAAGCTTTATATTCATAATAATATGTGGAGAAGATATTCCAATAATAAACTATTTCACATGTCACTTGTTAATATAGATAATTTAAGATTGGACATAAAACTAATATATCAACGATAACATCATATTTAGATCCTTATAAAAATACGTTATATGACTTTTCATTTCATCAACGAGGATATCAAACAGAAAATAGTTATCGTGCACACCAATGTCAGTAGGTCATTAAAAGGGAACAGGCTGCCAATTAATTGCTTAAATTAGATATATATTTTTTTATTTTAACATATTAGTTCACGCCAGCCACTGTCCTCTTGTACAATATATTGCTATTACTAACGTCTTTGATTGTGCTGTAATTAGGGACTTTTTGTGGCAGAGAGGTACTTATCACAGGATTCAGATTCAGATTTGCCCCCGAGGGGGCTAGTTTATTGGGCACCCCCTTATATCCTGTGCAAGGTGAAGCGCAGAAGCGTTTACAGCGCCCAACAGGGAAGCATGAAAAGTTCATACTTGCCTTTATGATTCGTACATTAAGGGCGTAAAAGCCTGAAGGGTCATAGGTTCTGTCAAGTTACATAAAGTGAGAGAATGATGAGTGTGTGGGGGGAAAGTTACCGGTACATTTCATCTGTTTATGGCAAAGAGTGGCAGGTCCCTAATAATGTCAAATGCCAGGCCTGTGACTAGGAGGAGGGATATCTGGTCTGGGAGGGAAGAGGTGTTGGTAACGGCTGGGGACCTGTAGGAGGAGGTCATGGGGCAAGTGAGGATGTAGTGAGAGTCGGGTTGGCCACAAAGTTTACAAACAGTGCGGTGAGGCTCAGGGTTGCCAATGTACTCCCATAGGTACCTGTACCCTAGGCGCAGTCTCATGTATATAAGCTGTTGAGATCGAGTCAGGGATTGATATTCTTTGTAGTGGCGGTTGTCGTCACCGGTTACAGCGTCATTGTGGCATAGTGTGACGCTACCCCGTTGTTTCAGGTGTGTCCAATTTTCGTTGAATGCCTCTCGTTGTGTGGCGTGTATGCGAGATTTGAGATGATTCAGGGAGAGGGCGAGAGTGGCTTCAGTATCTTCTTCTTGCGTAGCTTCTTTGGCAAGCCGATCCACAGTGTCACAGGCAGTTATTCCTATATGTGACGGGATCCAAAGAAACTTGACACGGATGTCATCAGTTTGTTCTAGCCTGGCAACGGCGGCTAGGGTGTGTTGGGCGGCAGGGGAGGAGGGGGAGGGTAATTTGAGCCTCGCTAGCGCAGAAGTGCTGTCACTGATTATAAGGAGGTTCCGGCGTTCAGTGCGAGCATAGGTCGCCCCCTCATGAATGCCCGCGAGGATGGCTATGCTTTCAGCATCAGTGGAGGAGGCCCAGTCGTGGACCCTGATTTTCCTGCAGGCCTGGCGCTCAGGAATCCACACAGCTGCCCCAGCGTTGCCCAGCGTGGTAACAGACCCATCACAGTAGACGAGGATAGGAGGGTGGGAGGTCTTAAGAGAGGAGGCGACATCATTAATCTGCTCAAGGCAGTTAAGTTTGAGCATATACCTCAGTTGGGTGGATTTACGACCAGGGAAGGTGTGGACGACTTATCACAGGATGTTGCCGTGTAGTGGATTCCTCCCCTACAAACGCTTGTCGCTGAGTAGCCGACCCCGCGAATTCCCCAGTGTATGCCTCGTGGTCTAGGTCAACCAGCGCCGCCATACATGACGGAGGTCAACTATTAAGCCACGCCTACCTCCGCTATATAAGATCTCACCTCGTGGTGACCTAGCTCTTTCTACTTACACCAACCAGCAAGCAACACCTCCTCTTCCTGCCTGGCGGTCCTCGCTCCCGCCGGCGAACATGGCGACCCACAAGCTGGTCCTCCTCTGAGCATCCTCACCAACCAGCTCTCTCTACTCAACGCTTGTAACCACGCTGCCACTTCCCAGCACCAAGCTGCACTGTACATCCAATACAACATGTATACAGAGAGCACATTGTGAGTTTCCTTTCTCCATCCCATCCTGAACCAAAATCTCGTACCCCACAGCCTAATAACTTGTTTTAATCCTCTTCGCTACTGATCAGCTTGGCCTGTCGGTCACGTATCTGCTGGCAAGTACTGGGTATGATTATATATTTAATTTACTTGTGGCATGATGGCCTCAGTGAGTGAGGTAGGCTGAAATTATGGTCTTAGAATTGTCTAAAATACTGCTTCCAATAGTTAAATTACGAAGATTCCCTGGATGACCGAAACTAAAATAAACCGAAATTATCTTATTGTTTACTTAAGTTGTACTTGATCGCATGGAGTTTTCTGCCGCTTTGATGACGACACAACAATACATCCACACTCAGATGACATCACAATGCTACATCCATGTCCTGAAAACTTCTCTCAACGCTACAGCCACACCCTGATCTCAATGTTACATCCACATTCTGCTGGGGCGGATCCAGGGGGGTTCTGGGGGTCCGGATCCCCCCCTTTTCCATCAGAAAATTCCAACACGTTTTCTTTAATACAGTATTGTACCCAGGCGTTCTTGTATAGTAAAAGGTAATGACTATTGACCTCACAATATCAAGTGCACATGGCTTCAAAATGGCCCCAAAATGCCCATGATATTGTAGTGGATACTCTCCCCTACAACTGCAGATTTGTCACTTGCCGACAGCTTACCAGCCAACCAGTGGCGAGTTCCACAGACCAAGCCTCGCTTTCGGACTGTGCGGTGATTGGCCAGTTACCGCCTTCACCTCAGCCAATCAGCAGTGCCACTCACTTCCGATCTGTCTATCTGATCCGGCAGAATCATATAAATACCCCCAACCTTGCCACGAAGGTGATTCTACCCAACGCTCTCAAACAGACAATACCTCCTCTCAACAAGCTCCTCACCACACAGCAACTTCCTAGCACTGCATTGTACATATAATATATCTTGATAAAATCACACAGGAAAAAGGGAAACAATGGAGCACCTTCGTTCATGTAAGAAACAATAATCATCCTGTAGTGGATCTCTCCCCTACAACTGCGAAGCCGCATTCCAATGCGACAGTATCCTAGCAACCAGCGAGCTTCTCACGGGGTCGCCACCTGTGACGTTTACCCTAGCAACGGAGTCAAGCAACCTGCGAGTTCCCACAGGTTTACTTCCGGCTGCTGTGTATATAAGCTCTGTCTCGTCATTGAGAGGCATTCTTCCTTACGTTCCTGAACACGCAACACCTCCTCCGAGCAAGCTCCCCGCCGTCCAGCTCTCATTCAACCTGGAGGACAGCAACACGCAACATCTCCTCTAACGAAGCTCCTGCACAGATACCTCCTAAAACACACTACTCACCGAACGTGACTTCTGACCAAGCTTCTCACCACACGGCATCTCCAGTACCAGATTGTCTTGTATATAATATATTTTATATAAGAAAACCACCACCTAGAGTTTCCATCCAACCCATCCTGAGTGCTAGACAACATAACATCACGTAACCCTACAAATGGTGACCCCCGGGAAAACGCGCTCACACAGGATGGAGGACGGACGGACCTCTCTACTGACTTTCAACCACAACGTCGAGGACTGGTTAGATCATGTGGAAGCAATCCTCATCGGCTCACAAGCTACTGACGAGCAAAAGTACGGTGCCCTGCTCTCTTCCTTGCCCACGGAAGTTGCCACGCATGTATTACGGACTACTTCCAACCTTCCAGAGAACAACAAATTCGCCACCCTGCAGGACGCCTTAAAAACGCATAACCAACGGACCCGCCCCAGTCCTGCAGAACCTATCTTCTATCTCCCTTGGAAACTCAACTCCAGGACTTCTCTGGGAGGAGATGTGTAGGCTGAACTCCCAGCACGCAGACAGACTTCCCGAACCTATCCTGCGGCAGCTTCACGCACAAAAGCTCCCCACACAAGTACGTATCATTCTGTCCGCAGTAGATTACTCGACGACACCTGAACTCTATGCAACCGCGGCAGACAGAATATTCAACGAGTGCGCGGCTGCGTGCCTGGCTACCGCGGACAACCCAACGACCACACCAGTACTTACCTCCGAACTTGTAAGCCGGGTCAACACCCCTCAGCCGAGCAATACCCCACAAGACATCAGGGACCTGTTGCAAACTTTGAACCGCAGGATGGACACCATTGAACAGTTTTGTTCCTCCATGCCTGCCGCTGGACCTGTTCCTAACTCACGCACCACATTCTACCGACCCCAACACACCTGTCCTGCCTCAGACGCCGCCCCCAGCACAGTGTATCTACCCCCTGTTGGTACCATCAACGTTTTGGTGCCTACGCTAGACGCTGTGAGGCTCCCTGCAACCACACGGCGAAGCGACATCGACGGAGATGGGTAGACGCCATAACCTCCGACACTATCAAGCAGCACATCACACGCCTTACTTCTGACCTTGACCACTTCACTCCTGCTGCCTGTCACGACCTACTACAAACACTACGTCAGGCGATTTCTGCATTCAAGGCTACTGCCCCACGCCAGCCTTCCCACCGCCCTGAACACATTCATCCCGCACCTCCTCCGCCAGTCTACCCACCATTGCCACTTGGAGTACCACCTCACCCACAACATTTCTGCATACCCTCTTTTTATCCTCAGGTACGTACTGCTCCTGACGACCCCGCAGCCGGCCCTAATGACCCAGATACCCCACCCGGCCCTAATGACCCAGATACCCCACCCGGCCCTAATGACCCAGATACCCCACCCGGCACCCCTGTACCTGCCGCAAGACAAGCACCACATTCCTCGCCAGTACAACCTTCTCTTATCCACAACCCTCCTTCTCCCTCTGCTTCTCCCACAGATCTCGTGCCTCCAGACAGAGTCGTCTCCCGCAGCGGCTGACTGATCCACACCCCTTCCCGTTATGTTTCTCATGTGGGATACTACCCTGCCGACAACAAGTCTCCTACAGCACCAGGAGGGGAGGGGGAGTATTGTAGTGGATCTCTCCCCTACAACTGCGTAGCCGCATTCCAATGCAACAGTATACTAGCAACCAGCGAGCTTCTCTTGGGGGGGGGGTCGCCTCCTGCGACGTTTACCCTAGCAACAGAGTTCAGCAACCGGCGAGTTCCCACAGGTTTACTTACGGCTACTGTGTATATAAGCTCTCAGTCTCGTCATTGAGAGGCATTCTTCCCTACGTTCCTGAACACGCAACACCTCCTCCAAGCAAGCTCCCCGCCGTCCAGCTCTCATTCAACCTGGAGGACAGCAACACGCAGCATCTCCTCTAACGAAGCTCCTGCACAGATACCTCCTAAAACACACTACTCACCGAACGTGTCTTCTGACCAAGCTTCTCACCACACGGCATCTCCAGCACCAGACTGTCTTGTATATAATATATTTTATATAAGAAAACCACCACCTAGAGTTTCCATCCAACCCATCCTGAGTGCTAGACAACATAACATCACGTAACCCTACAATCCCATAGATTGGGAAAACAATTTAGAAGTGTATAAATCATCATGTGTCACAGAAAGACTTCTGGTTGAAGCAAGTTTGATTAGAGAAATGAATTCTATAAACCTTAGTGATGGTCAGTACAAAACTGATAATATGTTACACAAATTTATTTGTCTGTGGCCCAAGGTTAAAAATGCTTTGAAAGCATTCGAGTTAGATGTAGGATAGATGATTAGAGGGTCCCATATTTTTTACCTGACTTAATATGACTAGTTACGTCGCCCTATATTTAAAGCTCCTTTTGTGTTTGTGGTGGTGGTGGTGTGTGGATTAGTGGATGTCATGTTTTTTACCTGACCTCATGTTTTGTAAGGTCACCCTGTGTACATAAGCCTCTCTCGGTTCTTGTAATTTAGTTGCCTCTGAAGATGTCTTGAATAAAGACGAAAGCTAAGGTGCTCCATTGTTTCCCTTTTTTCTGTGTGATTTTATCAAGATTTATCTTATCCACGTTTTCATTGTGGATCTACATGAAATAAAATATATATACAGTATATAGAAAATGCCATTGTGAGTTTCCTTTCTCACCTCCATCCTGTGTGCATGATCTCTTACATGTAAGTATGTATGTGAGCCTAACAAAGAGAAAATAGACAAACACAAAGAGAAATTTGACAACTGGCCACGTACGATACGCTACAATTTTACTGGTAGTCAAATTTAAAAACAAAATCTGGGGGGGAGAGGACTTACACCCCCCCACGTTTAGCTGGGATGCTCGCTATGCTTGCACGTTCCCCACCCACAACTTGGACCCCCCACTTTTAATATTCCTGGATTTGACCCTGCTCTGATGATGTTACAACAATATGCACACCCTGATGACATCACAACAAAACATAACATCTCAACACTACAGCCACACCCTGATAATGTCTACTACAGCCACACCCTGATAATGTCTCAACACTACAGCCACACCTGATAATAACACCCGGATAATGTCTCAACAGCCACCCTGATAATGTCTCAACACTACAGCGACACCCGGATAATGTCTCAACACTACAGCCACACCCTGATAATGTCTCAACACTACAGCCACACCCTGATAATGTCTCAACACTACAGCGACACCGGATAATGTCTCAACACTACAGCCACACCCTGATAATGTCTCAACACTACAGCCACACAGCACCGGATAATGTCTCAACACTACAGCCACACCCTGATAATGTCTCAACACTACAGCCACACCCTGATAATGTCTCAACACAACAGCCACACCCTGATAATGTCTCAACACTACAGCCACACCCTGATAATGTCTAGGTGCTACAGCCACACCCTGATAATGTCTCAAGTGCTACAGCCACACCCTAATTATAGCATCTCAATGCTACAGCCACACCCTGATGACATCTCCACATTACAGCCACACCCTGATAATGTCACACTGCTATACTGTACAGTACTGTACTCTCATGTCAAATTACATTTTCTGCAACATTTACAGTAATGTTAAGTAGCTTTTATCAGCTTTCTTGGACTATGTTTCATTAAATTGACTTAAAGAGTTCTCCAATGCTTGTACACTTCCCCCTCACTTAACGCAGGGGGCTGTGTTCCCAGAAAAGTACATGTAGAGCGAACGCAATATAACATGGGGAGTAAGGGGATGCATCAGGTGGAGCCCTAAAGGTCACCCCCCCCCCCCACACCAAAACCAAAGTTCAAAGACATCGTACAGCTCTAAAGTAGCTCACTAATACAGTACTGTACACAACATACAGTATATCTAACAAATTCGCTTAAAACATGATGTTGTGGAGGCACTGATATGTCCATGAAATCAGTTCCCGAAAGTTTAACACAACAGTATACGGTAGCTATTTGCAGATGCTGGCCGAGTCACGTGTGGCCTCCCTCAAGCTTCACCTTTGCAACCAGACCCAGCTGGAACTTCCCTTAGCCATGCTCACACTTCTGTTGGCACACAAAGAAATGTTTAATCATTTTGTTTTTAAGCTAATGATTACTTTTTGTATTTTTTTTACACATTCTATATGTAGGATTGTGTGTGCATGTAACTGAATAAAAAAAATAAAGAAAGTATAAGTTCATCTACTTGAAATTACGAGTTGAAAAACCTGAACATAACTCCTGCTAAATCTTGCTGGTGCACAAAGAAATTTTTACATAAATTTTATGTTTATTACCGAATGATGATGATTTTTTTTTAACATGTAGGATTGTGTACATATAACTGAATAGAGAATATGAAGAAAGTTATATTTCTCTACCCAAAATTAAGACTCTAATCTTCTCGATTTCTTTTTTTTATGGGGAATAGCCCACTCGGGCACAGGTCATGTACTGTACTGTACTGTACTGTACATGTAATATGTATTATGTTTGTATGGTGATTTTTGTAACAGTAAAACTGTGTCTTTTTTGGGGGTTATAAGTTGCCTCATGATCTATAGGACAGTATTATGAAACTTTTTTTTCTCCCTATTTCCAGCCCTTTTTAAGGTCTTTAAGTATCTATTTATCTGGGCTCTAATTATCATTAAAAAAAATTGGTCATACTTTTTAATGCTGCCTTTAAATTAGCTGTTAGCTAGGATGTCACACACAACTGTTGACATTTGTGGTTAATAACACACCGTCTGTAGTTATGATTTAATAATGTCAAATGCTTGGAGTCATCACAAGATGGGTATAATGAGCAATATGAAGGCCTCTAACTGATGAGGCAATCTATTAATCAGTGAATTGTATTTATTAACAATTCTTTGTGTTCAGATACAGACAAGAAGTGTAAAATACTTATTGATTTTTGCTTAAAAAAAATGTTACAATGCTTCACTGTACAATATATTTCTTCTTAAATTAGATTGTAAAATATCCTAACTCACGCATACCACTTAATTGTAATAGAACATTAATAATGGAAGCATACTCTATGTAAATTACAAATAAAATTAAAAATTTTACTTTAGTGTAATTGTACACCCTTCACCACAACCCAATACATATATATACTGTATATATATATATATATGCCTATATATATATATACAAAAAAATCTCTAGTTTTCCTTTCCCTCATTTGATCCCTGTACAGCATGGAAAACTGAGAGGTATGCATCATTCACTGACTTGTCATACCTCTACACCAGAGATGGAGCACATGTCACCTGCTGCACTTGTAAGATGGATGTACTGCACATGTCTCCCTTTACACCTCTTAAAGAAGGATATGAAAGAAATTAACCGTCAAATATATCCTAAATCGAGGAAATATGAGGTAGGTCACCCACATTCTATTCCCACATCAGAAGGTGTGATGACATATTTTCCAATTTCAGAATGGGGTAAAAATTTCAGCCTGGCAAACACAATTAGGCAGAGTTGCTATATGGGAACCAGGCAGCTGAGAGTGGTACTACAGTATCACTTAATGTTCATTATCAATACTGACAGAGGAATCTTACACAACATGGCTAATGTATCACAAACCACATAAATTCATAAAAATAAGTACATTTCCTTATGAGCCTGTAGGGTCACTTGGACCTTACATCAGTCAACCATACACATTCCTCCATTACTCCCCAAATCTTAATAGTGCTCAGAATTAAAGTATTGAAAAAAAAATACCTTCTGATGCTGTACATTAAATGATCATACATATAGGTAATGGAGTATCATGAGGTAAAAATTGATTTAAGACAAGTTTGGCACAGTTCAAGTGAGAACAGTGGAAGGGGACTCCATTTTCTTAAGACATTATGGAACAAGTGAGAGCATCGATGCGGCATCACAACACTCTAGAATGAGCTGATCATTTATAGTCTTGCTGAATAGCACTATGTATTAAGATTGGTGCTATAATTTCTTACAAGTTGCAGGCACAGTCATAAGGCAGGATGACTAACGATCAGCTCTAATGCATGAAAAACGTGAAAGGGGAGGACTGAAAAATCAAATGTCTTGATAAATGAGTAACAAGGGTGAGGATAAGTAGATCTGGCTGACACATGAGTACACTGGCTACCCAAAACTGGATGGCCATGGCATGGGATTAAAAAGTTTGTAGCATCTGGACAAATTAAACTAGTTCTGGATGAAGCATGAAGAATGAAATTTAAATACAGTTCAGAGTTTACTTTCAGGTTAGATTCAGAAGACTGAACATGTGAAATGGTGACTTGGGTACTATGACCAAGGCTAGAAGAAGTGGACGGGTTAATGAGAGATGACTGAGGTACATATGGGTAGATGGCTAATGAGGGTTAGGTGTAGTAGGCTGAACTCCAACCCCTTTCCCACCTACCTGACCTTTGTATATAAGGTATTCAAGGTGAGCCAGAACTCTAAACATTTCTTGAGCACCTTCTTGATACTGAATGTGCCGTCGCAGAGTTGCCAGTGCTGACTCCACATCACTCAGAGATGGACCTCGCTCTCCTTCTTCCTCCTTTTTATCATCATCATTATCCTCTTCATCTTCTTCATCATCATACCGCATGTCATCATCTTTGTCAGCTCCAGTGACAATGGCCAGAATATCATCATCATTATTGAGGTTACATATTTGCACATCATCATCAAAATGAACAAAGTCATCAAAAGTCATATCAGGGATAGGAAGACCTAATGTTCGCAGGCGATGAAGGAGTGTCAGGTTTTCAGCACCCATAGCCGGGTCTGGAGGTGGAGGCGGTGCTCCCCATGCTCCATATTTGCTCACACCAGCACGTGTAAAGCTGGCACTGATGACAGTATCTGTAACACTATGCCATGCAGTTGCAAGCTGGTGTAAACAGGTGAGCAAAGTCAGTTTTGTATTGGGTTTCCGAACACGTTTATTGGCAGTGGGGTCGTCTCGCTGCAACTGATTCACCAAGATTTCCAATATACCACGTCTATAGTTTCTCTTGAAGGTTGTTACCACCCCATGTCGCAACGGACCAAGAAATCCTTGAGGGGCAGTTACCAAACGAACAGAACGTAACCCTCCAGGAGGCTTGGAATGGATGGGTAATGATGATGCAATTACCACTACACGTCGTCCTTGCTGTACAAACCAAGAATCCACATCTTGAAGCCAAGCACCAAAGCTGTCACTCGTCATCCAAGCTTTCTGATTTGCTACATATTGCACCGGGAGACTCTTTACATGACGAAAGCTAGAAGGCTTTGGATGTTTACCCACCACAAGTAATGGAAATTTTTCAGTCCCCGTCATGTTACCACACAACAAAATTGTCAATCGGAGTCTACTTCGGATGCCTCCTGCACACCTCTCCCCACATAGGGAAGGTGCAACAGTTGGCAGTGTGCGATAAAGAATTCCTATTTCTTCAACAGCAAATATATCGCCAGGATCGTACTCCAGTAACAGCTGATGTAATACAGATGTTTGCCACTCAGCAGGTTTAAGTTCTGGTGTACTATTATCTTCTTCTTCTCTCTTCCTTCTTGCTGGCGATCTACCAAAAACAATGTTTTTTCTTTTCTTAAAACGATCTAACCAGCCATGCGTTGCTTTAAAATCTGTGTGACCAAGTTTACAAGCAAAGGCAAGAGCCTTAGAGCATAGGATGGGACCAGAGACAGGAACACCAGTAGCAATTGCTTGTCTGTACCAAGAATACAGAGCTGCCTCGATATCTTCACGTTTAGGTCCTTTCAGTCGTTTACTGTCAGGATGAAACATTCCTTTCTTCCAACACTGTAAATAGCTATTGGACTTTTTCATTATGGACTTGATAGTTGAGCGGTTGACCATATATTCTTCTGCCATGTCAGACTGTTTTTCCCCACTATTGATTCGTTTGATTATCTCAATCTTGACTTCAAGAGAAAGCCCATTTCTTCGTCGATTTACATTGTTGGAATGTTCTACACTATGATCTTGCCAGGCTTCAGGAGAAGGTAGATTCAAACCACATAAAATGCATGGATACAATAAACCTCCTCCAGCTTCTGTTATAGGTGTTGGTAATTCTAATCTTGCTGGGTCCTTTTCATCATGTCTACCTAACTGGTCTTCATCAACAGTTCCCTCTCTACCTCTCTCATCATTTCTCCTTTTCTTACTAGGCAAAGGATCTACTACTTTTTTTTTCTCCTTTGTAATGTTTTCTGTGATGGTTGTGGGTGGTGGTACAACTGGTTGGTGCACAGGTTCTGGAGGTGGAGGTGGTTGATACTGAGGCTCAGGGTGTGTAGGAGGAGCAACTATTGGGGGATTGTTGTACTGCATGTCAACCATTGACACAAACTGTCCTCCTCTTCCATAATGTGGAGTGCGATCTGTGATGTACTGTATGGTGGGTGGTGCATGTGCCGGTGGAGCAGGCTGGTGATGGGCCGTGGGTGGAGGCCTTGGCACCTGATCATATGCAGGTCTGGGGTGTGTGTCATGCCGACTGTACTGGCGTTGATAGTGATCAGGAGGGAACTGAGGGGGCAGGACGGGGGCACTGACAGAGAGGGGGGGTTGATGAGAAGCTGCTAAAGACTCAGAGTAACCCATGGTGGCTGCAGCAGCAGCTAGCCGCTCCAGTTCTGTACAAGAAGTGCGATGAAGATCCTCCATTTTGTTGGATGAGTTACAATTCAGGACCTAAGACACTCCACCACATCAAACCTGCAAAAGGTAAGCTTTTCATTTATGATGATACACAAAATGTAAACACTAGCAGCAATACAGTACTCTCATGCCATTTCTTAATGGATGAGAGGGTAACTTCCATGGAAACCAAACATAATCTGACAGATATTAATCTTGATGAAATAATTGTGACATCTACTAATTCTACCCATAACAGAAGACTATATGCTAAAGAACTCAATATTAATGTAAAAAGGGATTTCAGAACAACAGTTATCATGAAATAATCCTCAATAAGATCAAAAGAAGACTATACTGTACAGGCACACCTCTTATGCTGATGTTTCATTATAATGCTCATTGTTCTGGAGGATATTTTTACCATAAAATGATTTAAATTTATAAAATGGTTCAATGGGTCTGTGTGAGGCCACATAGCACACAATACACTTCTCCTTGCTGAGCCATGCACCCAACCAATGGGAAGTGCTAATTACTGCTCAGCCAGTCACCATCCACCTCTTAACTTTTGAATGCTTCCCACATATATGTAGACACCACTGTGGTACTAGATCTTTTATCTTATTTTTGACCCACAATGGATGAAAAAGGCATACAAGTGATACTGCTGGTAATGTGGCCACACAATCAAAGTAGAGTATCAGTAAGTTTGTAAAGTACAGGTTGTTAGACTTGTGAAGGTGGGTGAGAATCACATCAATATTTGTTGTAGCTTGGGTTTGACGACATCAACCAATAGAATCATTCTTAGGAATGTAGACAAGATAAGGACTTCTGTCCAATCTCTCACTTCATCAAAAGCAACCAAGACAACTCATTTAAAGGATATACTAATAGCTCTTCCCACCTTGTCTCACACTGCTGCCATGTAGGAAGAGCCGGATCATGTTAGCAGTGACAGCAGATGGTGCCTGAATGCAGTGGTGAGCATGAACTTATTGTATTTTCTAATGTCCACCACCATTAATAAAAATATACTGTATATATGAAATGCTTTAAAATATCTATCATGTTTACATTATCAATATTAATGATATATTACCTGTACTGACTCACAAGTCAGAAACAGTGCTGACACAGACACACCTCCTTTGGAACTTTGTTACAGTATACCGTACTGATCTCTTTTATAGCTGTTTCTTTTAGTGCTCAATTTTCCAGGAACATATCTAGAATGCTATTTATATGCCTGTATGGTGTATAAATAGATAAAGTGAGTGCAGAATTAGATAATGCATCTGAGGAGTGTGGGTACAAACTAACAGGAAAAACAGGAATAGTGGGAAGACAAGTTACCAGTGCTAAATGAGGAGGGCCTGTGAGTGAACTGCCTGAAAGGAGTGACAAAAAGTGGAGGAGTAAAAGATGAGAAAGATGATATAAAAAATGTCGAGAAAGGCTGTGTCACATAGCATTAACGAGGACAATAAACTCGTCTGGAGGGAACTACCCGGTATATACAGTGAAAAAATAGAGAGAGTTGATGGAAATGGCAGTTAAGAATGAAAGAGGAGAAAAAAGAAAAAATACAAGGGAGATGATAATAATATTTTATGCAACTGCAAAATATAAGTGATGAGAGAGAGAAAACAACATGGGGGATAGGTAGTAAGTATTACCATCAGTAAGTAAGTTTATGAATGGTATGGTACCAAGAGTGTATGAAATTCTCAGTGACAGGGTGGACAGGCTACAGGTAACAATGGGAAGGGTATGCTGTACAGGCAGTGTATCCAGTATCTTTGTCTACAAACTGCAGCCATTTTGACCCTTTTCATGCTGCAATAGATTTCAAGGGAGTTCCATAAAAGGCATCAATTCTCCACCCAAAATGAAAGCGATAATTTAGGTTTCATCTCATGACTAGGATGACTGGGCATAGATTCAATACCTACTTCAGGTCATGGACCCCTGCATTAAAGCACCTGAAGGCCTGTATCTGAGGTCAGTTCCATCTCAACATCTCCCTGTTTAACACAGACATCAATACCCTGATATCCTGTGAGGTTCATGTAATTGTTTATATACAGTATATCTTTGGTATCCTGTGAGGATCCTTGTCACCAATAGCAGACTCACTATACCCATACACAGGCTATGATGACAGTTTTCCCTGTACAGTACAGTGTTCTGTAAGGATACATGCTACAGTATTATTTAGTTGAATGAAAAGAACAGTGCTTTGTCACTGAATGTGCCTCATACTCTCCAGAAGTCTTTTCTGAACCATGCATCACTTATGGATGGGCTGTTTTAAATTAGCAGTTTTCTTTTTATAAATTTTGTTCACAGAATATATGAGGCTGTAACTTGACAAAAGATTTATTATATTTTGAATTTTCATAAGTACAGTACAGTACAATGACTGCCCTGCATATTATACTAAAGTACAGTACAGTATAAACCATAAACAACAAGGCTTAATGTTCAACTGGTAATGAAATACTGTATACAGCTGCTCCCCGACTTACGATGGGGTTAGGGACCCAAATCCAGGTCGTAAGTTGAAATGGTCGTAAGACGAAAATGCTTAAATAAATACATAGAAAATTTAAAATGGGTGTCTCTTTTTCTTCTCAGCAGCACAAAATCTCACTTTTAAGCTTGCCAGCCATTTTAAAGTGAATTACAAACAAAAATTGTCAGTACACAGCGCAATCACTGATGTTGGGACTCGAAAATACGTACAGTAATTTGACAAAATTTTGGTACAACTGAGGCGGTCGTATGTCCGGGTGGTCGTAAGTCGAGTAGGTCGTAAGTCGGGGAGTAGCTGTATAATGATCAAAATAAGATGATAGTACCTTTTTTACTCTGCTTCCCTGAGAGTAAGATGTCTTCTGTGGGGCTGTGTGGTGTGGGAAGTCTCGGCAGGTGGGTGACGGCCACTACACACACTTGGGGACTAAGCTGCTGTTTGCCATTTTCACCACTGAAAAAAATTATGAACATATTAAATAAATAATTCTTTCTAATTTTTCTTTGTTCAGTACAGTAACCTTTAACATTTAACAAGAAAATTTATTATATCTTAGGTTTTTTGTTGCTGGTACAGTATTTCTTAATCATCAGAATCTTGTTCTGTACATAAGTGTAAAACATTGTACAGTACTGTAGAGAAAAATTCCAAACTTGCCACAATGCCAGTTCTAACGTGCTTCACACAACTAATGCTTTACAAATATGCCACATAAATAAAACCTATACTGTACACCGTTTACAGGTGCTGTTCTGTATTTCACACACACAAAATATTGCTGCAATTACCCTCAGTTCTTTATACAGTACTGTTCTATATTTGTATTGAATATAGATAAAATTTATAAAAGTTAACATATTACATTCAATACAATACAGTATTACAATAATCCACGACAGAAACGTGGTTATCAATATAATTTTATCTGATAAAAAAATTATTTTATAAATAAATAAATTAGGATCTTACAGTAACTGAAATACTCTACTGTACTTGTATACAGTACATGTATATAGCAGGGTTGGCTGATTTAAACCACACATATAATCAATTTTTTTAATCTCTGCCTTTTTCATTGTTTTTTTTTATTATTTCCCGAGTCTTAATGATTTACAGTAGTTTTCCATCACCACTGATACCTGTACTATTAAAATTTAAAAAATGCCATGACCAAGGATATAGACACAACTTACCTCTTATATGGTTAACTTCTTAACACTACATCTTGAATCATGTACAGTACCCAGATAAAATATGAATTCCCAGGTACAGGTATTTTAATGCGGCTATAAGTCCTACTCTAACCTCCTGCAGTGTTCGGCTCCTACTGCTGTTTTTCATCACTGCCATTGTTCTAGGCCATTTGGGTAATTTAGTGTTACTGTATTTTTCTTTTTTTATGGGTAATAGCCCACCCGGGTACAGGTCATTGACCCACAATGGGGTCTGGGGTATACGTATTGTATATTCTCTTTAAGTGCAGTCTGTCATCTTTCTTTCAACATGTAATAGATATTGTTTATAAATAGATACCAATCTTGTATTATCATTAACAACAATTGTCAACTACAGGTAAATAAATACAGTCAACCCTCGCTTTACGCGGTCCCACTTTACGAGTTTCCACGTTTACGCGGTACCCTGCCGAAACCGGAATGCTCACTTTCCACGGTGTGTGTACCCTTTAACGCGGAGAGCGGCGCGAGCAGGGTGCGCACAAGGTCGCCCAGTCATCAAAACATTACCGAGTTCTTCACCCGTCACCCACCACAGCCGGCCCAAGTCAGTGATAGTGATAATGATAGTGAGGATATGGACTTATATGGACTTTGAGGGGTTTGACAAAGAGGCCCTGCAAGCCTCTGTGGTGGATAGTGATACAATTGATACAAGTGATACAGGTGAGGGCCAATAATCTGCCCTGTGCCTCGGAACCAACCCTCATTCCCGTGTGCCCAGCCATCGTTTCTACTAATGTAAGTGTTAAAAAACCTAATATTATTGATATTTCTCTTAATTATTAATTGTGTGTGCATACCATCATAAAATTAAGAAGTTATTTTTACTACAACGTAGGTATTGTCTGAAAATGTGGAGGTTGGGGGTCGGCCCAGTCTCTATTTCAATTAATCCCATATGTTATGTTGTTCACTTTACGCGTTTCTCACTTTACGCGGGCCGCCGTGGGTAGAATTAACCGCGTAAAGTGAGGGTTCACTGTACTGTATTACAGGTTGTACCTCTCTAGTCTGGCAACCTTGGAACCTGACTGGTGCCGGACCATGGAAATTCACCCTCGAAACACACTACATAAAGCATAAAAACATAAGATAGGAAATAAATAAATAAGAAAAAGTAATACAGTTAAAATACTATTTCATTTACCTTTAATGCTACCATAATTCTGCTTCCAAAGTGAAGTGATGGTACTGTAACTCAAATTACATTTGAGTTACATCAGGGATGTTGGCTATTGGGCAAGCTAAACTCATTCCGGACCACAGAATGCCGGACTAGAGAGGTACAACCTGTACTGCAATTTTCTGCTGCATTACAAGAACTATTTTAAGAAAGGTAAATTATCAAACTTTATAAATGAACAAAGCATAAGTCCTTTAAATAAATTATAATATATTGGAAAAATACAAAACAAAATATACTTGTAAATGTATTCTTCCATTTTTCAGCAATGAAAATTATACTGATCTTTTATAGTTTATCCTCTTCACCACTCATCGGCTCATTATCCGCTCCAGTGACTTTTGGAGGTGAAAAAGAGTATAGGGTACTGTATAAATAATTGCTAAATCATCCTAAATGTAATGTTTATGATTAACACCATTTAAAAGGTTATAAAAGGGTTAAAAATCCTTGACTTATTAAAACCACTATATCCCCCAAAAAGTTTTTTTTTTTTGTAAAAGAAAAAGAAAGGATTTTGTCAAACTTGAAGTACAGTTATGCATCTGATGGCTCTGTTGACTATACTTGGTCAAATTGACTTACTGTTACTGTTGCCAGTGTTTATATACCCACAATATATACATATACACCTAGACCCCGACTTACGACGGGGTTAGGGACCCAAATCCAGGTCGTAAGTCCGACATGGTCGTAAGTCCGACATAGATAAAAAAAAAAAAAAAAAAAAAAAATAAAAAATTAAAAAATCTACAATGAAATACAGTACAGTAAAAGTAATGAATAATGATGAATGGATACAGTACAGTGAAAGTAATAAATAATAAGGAATGGATACAGTGTGACTGAGCACTTAACCTTTAATGTAGTCAGCTGAATGCACATGGGGCCCCCATAATTTTCTAATTATACATGGAGACTACATTAACTGGAAACATTTCGGTATATAAATGCGTGTGTCATTTAAAAAGAATAATAATAATTTTTACCTATATCTGCGGTCGTAAGTCCACGTAGTCGTGAAATCGGGGTCTAGGTGTGTGTGTGTGTATATATATATATATATATATATATATATATATATACACACCACACAGTTTAGTTTCACTTAACGCGATTTCTCATATACGCGGTGCCTCGCCAGAACCGAACTTTCACTTAACGCGGTTCATCTACTCATATACAAGCCGCGGGCACGATGCGCACAAGGTCGCCCAGTCATCAAAACATTACCGAGTTCTTCACCCGCCACCCACCACAGCCGGCCCAAGTCAGTGATAGTGATAATTATAGTGAGGATATGGACTTATATGGACTTTGGGGTTTGACAAAGAGGCCCTGCAAGCCTCTGTGGTGGATAGTGATACAATTGATACAAGTGATACAGGTGAGGGCCAATAATCTGCCCTCTGCCTCGGAACCAACCATCCCCGTGTGCCCAGCCATCTTTTCTACTAATGTAAGTGTTAAAAAACCTAATATTATTTATATTTCTCTTAATTATTAATTGTGTGTGCATACCATCATAAAGTTAAGATAATATTTTTACTACAACATAGTTGTGTGTCGTCAAAAAGTGGAGTTTGGGGGTCGGGCCAGTCTCTATTGGAATTAATCCCATATGTTCTGTTGTTCACTTAACGCGGTACCCTGTGGGTTCAATTGACCGCGTTAAGCGGGGTACAACTGTATATATACACAGGTATATGTGTGTGTGTGTAAGAGATCAACATTCTTAATTGGGGTGACTTATGGATGGTTACCAATCCAGCATTCCTCACAGCATGAAGCAACACTGGCCACTGTGCATGAAAGCTCATCACAAAATACTATTGTTTAAAAAACTCCTTTGGGCTTATTGAGGCCAACCACCCCCAGTATACCATCATAAACCATCTTTTCAATATGTTTTCTACATTTAATTATTGGTGTTTAAAAAATTCTATAATCAATAAAATTTTACTGTGCATTAACCTTCACTAAGAGGACTCCACTTTTAATATTTTATTTGGCTAACACCAAATGACCTTATTCAGCAGAGAAAGGACCCCATACACAAGTGGTTAGCTTACTGGAACTGTAAAGAAAGCTCGACAACCTATACCATTCCAATCCATTGTTTCATCAAAGTTTAATTTAAATCAAAGTGCAACTCTAACAAAAGAAAGACTTTACTTAATTTTTTACTAAGAGTTGCATTCTTACTGATGACTGCCGTACCTTTCATATCATTACAGAGCTTTATTGAATGTTTTCTGTACTGTGCAACCAATTCCTTTCATGCACTGTACTCAAACTTTCCTGAACCAACACAAACCACTAAATATTCCTTCTGTGTCATTTAGTCACCATTAACATCTTATTTATGAATAAAAATTTGAAGAACTGAGATGTACAGTACTGTATTACATTACCAAGTGCCCAAAGGCAGAATCTGCCACTGCCTTGGGAACACACAGTGTCTAGTGACAACACACTAGTTATTCCTGTGAATAATGTTTATACTACCAGCAGCTTTCTTATCTAGTTTACTTGAGATTCATTTTGTCACAAGAACCAGTGAGGCTTCAGGTCATTGACTGTCAGATGACTTACTTCATGACAATATCTCTAAACTATAAGGAGTCCTTTAGCTCACTCAAAGATGACCACAGATCCACCTTCTAACTCCACTAACCTGAAGCTCACCTGCTATTGTACCTGTCCCTAACATGTAAAATAAGCAATACTGTATAATTATGGATAAAAATAAAACAATTTTGCAGAAAATTATATAATTATGTATTTAAATCTACAATATGTTGAAAGGATCAGTACAAAAGTGGTGTGTTGAGATTAAAAAACACACACAAAATAGCTACCGCCATTTTAAGCCACATAGTGCTTAAAACTATGAAGGAATACCCTTACATACTGTATTATATAAAACACATACGACACATGGCATTATCTTGTCCAATTTTTAACACCACCAACCACCAATGCAATAAAATGCTCAAATACAGCCCAACACTGAGCATCTGTACAATGGCAGCTCAAACTCTCTAATACAAAACCTGAAAAAGGATTCTGAGAAAATTTCTGACACATTCTGAAGGAGAAAAGGGAATTAACTTTGTTCAGTCACATGGGAGCTACAAGAATTAAAATCCAACTGAACCTGTGAATGACTCAAAGGATTTATTGATCAATGAATGTATTTCCAGAACTGCATTATATTTTACAATACAGTCTCTCCTCGACTTACGACAACCCGGACATACGACCGCGGTGGTCGTAGAAAATATTTTTAAAATTACGTATTTTCTAGTGCCGAAACATTTCGGTCCCGTACGACAGCGTGAGCTGGGCCGCCCCGTGGTGTACAGCATCCACACCTAGCCCGCTCAGTTGGTGTTTGGCCGTCTTGTTAGTGATCGCGCTGTGTACTGACAAAAAAAAATTTATAATCCCCTTTAAAATGGCTGGCAAGAGTAAAAGTGAGAGTTCTCGTGGTGCTGATAAGAAAAGGAGACAGTCAATTACTTTTGAGATGAAAATGAAAATAATATTGCAATGTTAAAATGGAAAAACAGTAGCAACTATTTCACGCGACATTGGCTTCTCTCACTCGACGATATCAATAATTTTGAAGGACAAGGAGCGAATTCGTGAGGATCAGCACCTATAAAGGGAACAATTAATAACGAAAAAAGACAAGGTTCTCTTCACGAGATGGAAAAATTACTTGCGATGTGGATGGAAGATCAGCTGCAAAAGCATGTACCCTTAAGCCTTCTAACCATACAGGCTAAGGCAAGAAGCCTTTTCGAATGCCTGAAAGAGCAGGCAGGAGATGAGTCCGACCAAAACTTCACAGCAAGTCATGGGTGGTTCCAAAGGTTTAAGAAATGTTACAGTTTGCACAGTATAAAGGTGAGTGGAGAGGCAGCGAATGCTGATGTGGGTGCTGCCAAAATTTTTAAGGAGGAGCTAGATCATGTCATCATGGAGGGAAATTATTTACCTGAGCAAATATTTAATGTGGATGAAACTGGCTTATTCTGGAAGCGCATGCCAGAATGGACATACATCCACAAAGAGGAGAAAACCATACCGGGATTTAAGGCATTCAAGGACCGAATCACACTTCTGTTGGGGGGGAATGTTGCTGGTTTCAAGGTAAAACCCTTCATAATATATCTTTCAGAGAACCCAAGGGCTTTTAAAAATGTCAGCAAGCACACACTGCCAGTGTTTTATCGCAGTAATAAGAAAGCATGGATGACCCTAGCACTGTTTGAGGATTGGTTCCCGAGTTGTTTCATTCCACGAGCCAAGGAGTAATGTCTGCAACAAGGGGTTGTGTTCAAGATTTTATTAATTTTAGATAATGCTCCGGGACACCCACCACACCTGGACGACCTGCACCCTGATGTTAAGGTAGTCTACCTTCCACCTAACACTACCTCTATCATCCAACCCATGGATCAAGGTGCTATTGCTGCTTTTAAAGAGTATTATTCACGTACGACCTTCGCTCAGTCTATTGCTGCTACTGAAGGTGAGAAAACGCTCAGAGAGTTTTGGAAGGAGTACAACATTTTGCAATGTGCATGGGATGAAGTTACAGGTCAGTGCATGATTGGAATATGGAAAAAGGTACTGAAAAGATATGTGAACAGTTTCAAAGCATCTAACGAAGATGAGGCAATTTCTAAGATTAGTAACAAGATAGTGCAGATGGGTCAATAACTGGAGTTAGAAATTGATAATGAAGATGTTGAGCAGTTGGTGGAAAGTGTAGCAGAGGAGATAAGTAATGAGGATCTTATTGAACTGGATGCACAGAAAATTGCAGAGGAAGAAGAACATGCATGTTTGAAGAAATGGATCAAAATGTTGAGCGTTTTGCAAAAGTTGACAGACTGATCCAAGATGCACTTGCTTGCTACAGGGAGATTTACAATGAAAAGAAAAGGCAAACTGTGCAGTCTAAATTGGACATATTTTTTAAGAAGTCCCCCACTGCTGTCTCCTCACGCCCCACCGCTGCTGCCTCTTCACTCCCTAAAGATAATCTAATACCTTCAACAAGCAAGTATGTTAGCCTGTCTGAAGAAAGCGAACTTGATGACCCACCCAGCCCTGCCTCCTCCTCTGCTTCATCCAATTAATGTAGTCGACATGCTTAATTAAAAAATTATTGAGGCCCTGTGTGCATTCAACTGACTACATTAAAGGTAAGTTCTAAATAACACTTTATTCGTTTTTCATTATTGATTACTTTTACTGTACTGTATTTCATTTTAAAATTTCTATGTATTATTTTTCGCTTTTACGACTTACGACCAATTCAACATATGACCTGGTCGTCGGGACGGAACCCGTTGTAAGTCGAGAAGAGATTGTA